ATCAGGGACAAGCAAACGACTACAAGAAGCAATCTTTCCCAGAGGGGATAAGTCTTACGATTAGTAGTAAAGGACGAAAAGATCGTGTACTAAAACTGATGCAGAAGAAGCTAGTTGAATGGTACATGTGTGCTGATGCATCCTGGCGAGACTCGCACAGAACTAACCATCAGCGAACACTACACCTGGAGAGACTGCGCAAGACTGTGCAGGCCGTTTGTCAGCGTTGCCAAAGCTGCCAGATGAACAAACCAAGACGCGTAAGCTGGGATATGCCTCCAAAGACTTGAGGAGATCCCTTGGGAAGGACTATGTATTGACCTGATAGGTCCTTACAACAGTCGGGGATCCTAAGAAAAAGAATTCCTGCCACTCCATTGCTTGACAATGATTGATCCCGTAACCGATGGTTCGAGATTGCAGAGATCTGCTCCAAGGCAGCAGACGAAGTAGCCATCGTCCTAGAACAAACGTGGCTTACTCGGTATCCATGGCCTGCTGAGGTTATCATGATCATGGATAGAGGACGTGAGTTTCGCGCAGAGGTCGAAAAGACTCTCCGGGATGAATATGGACTTCGTCGCAAGTTCATCACTACGCGTAAACCTCAAGCCAACTCTATGGTCGAGCGTGCTCATCAAACCATACTAACTTGATCGCTGTTCAAAACATCAAGTGGCCAAGACGACCTCGTGAATGGATCCTGGGATGGAGTCCTCACGCGGTTCGGTTTGCAATGAATGCCATGATTCATACCACCTTGCGCGGAACGCCCGCACAGCTCGTTTCAATCGTGACGCGATTCACAACGTCCGGTTCGAAGAATGGAAACACATCAAAGAACGTCGCCAACGGCTAATCCAACAGAACAACGATAGGAAAACGCAACGCGTGTCCTCATCAATACAATGTCAACGATACCGTGATGATTTCAACAGTATCAGCACCGTAAGTACGGTCAGCAAAGTACAAAGGTCCTTACACTATAGACCGGGTCAATGACAATGGCACTGTACGGCTCCAACATGCTACCGCAATGGCGGACAGTCTACCAGACTTGGACAATAAGGTATATACACCCATACAAGGCCTGATCCCCTTGTAGGATTGCCATCGTGCGACGCACATGTCTACATCCAAATCTCATGAGAGTGCCCCGCACTTTAATATATATGTTCTCCTTGTCCGACTGCTGTCGCGCCTTCTTGACCTTGTCAGGGGGCAATGCAATACACGGCTCTTAGCCTTATTCGCGACTCGATCCTAGAAGGGTTTGATTCGACTCATGACTGAGTCTCTCGTGAATAGTCATTTGAGACAGGGTTCTCAATGACCGCTCTGGTCATACTAGGTTGATGATGAAACATCGCTCTAGATATTTAGCCAGCGTGGAGTACTTCCACGCTACTAGATCCATGCTAGATGAATCTTCCACGCGTTCCGTTTTAGGATCGTGGAGATACGTAGGATTACTACCGCAACCTACTCTATCACACTTTATAGTCTCCCGCGGGAAGCCAGATCTACGATCCCTTGATGATGATCTCTCTCGTTGATTAGTTTTCATAGCTTTCTAATCTCTCTCATAACTTTCATTCTCTCAAACTCAAAACACTCGAAAGATCTTTACACTAGCTTTTAGCGTAGTGCAGTAGGAATAAATTATGATTATTCAAGGTTAATGCACTCAACACAATAAGCCAGCAGAAGCTACAAAGTTACAGGTACATACGGGAGTGACAGCTGTAGAATTATGGTTAGCGGGCGACAACACCCGACGAAGTCGGGTGTTGTCGCCAGGGCTAGCCTAAATAAAAAGAAGGTTACAATGAGGGAATGATACCGGGCGGCAACACACGACGAAGTCGGGTGTTGTCGCCTGGGCTAGCTTGAAAGAAGAGTGCAATCTCAAACATGTTATCCTTCTTCTATCTGTCTTTCTACCGAGGTATCGCAGCTCCCGCTGACTTATTCTTCCTCTCTGTCGCCGCTCGCAGTACAGTCTGCCCGCTGTAATAATTATAATCTTGTATTTATTGGTCGCTGTTATAATTATTAAATCTCGAGGTCCCCCCCCAGTCCCGGGTATCTGTGAATGAAGGAACAAATCTTTCGAGCAGCCCAACAACGTCGTACAATCCATTCCAACCGTTTCAATTTGACCGAGACAGCATGTCAAATGCCGATATCGATCCAATGGAGGTGTCATTCCTGGGTACCTCTGCGGTATCTCTGCACGCACCTCTCCGAGGCTGTCTCGTCGGTGCCAGCCCAAGCCCTGGTTGTTTACGTGCATTTTTCGAAGGATGGTTTTGACGAGACAAAAACAATTCAGGTGAGCTGCCAAACAATTTCATACAAACCATACCAAAAGCTCGAACTTGAAACAACAGAAGCCGAACTGGCTGTGCTTGATGACGAGGAACCGGAACCAGTGGAGATTGATCCGGAACCAGCCGATGTCTTTGCCTTATTTGCCGAAGCTGAAGAAGCACTCAACAAGCTCTCCAAGAGTGCCTCTGCTTTGGGTATCAAACAGGCGGCCACTGTGCATCTTGACAGGTTTGCCAGGGCATTGCATGTGGCTAGGGCTGCTAGGGCTGGCAAACGCAAACGTGACGGCTCTATCCATTCGTTTTTCACTAGTGGCTAGCCTCCAGAACGTACTATATTTAGTGTCACTGTTATATTTACTGAGATCCACCTTCCCCCCTTATATATATTAGAGAGGGCAGACCGAACGCAATCCTGGATTTCAGCCCCGTGATCTGTTAATTCGTGCAAGGACTCGCCAGTCATCAATGACGTCAGAACTCTGAAGGACCAAACCAAACCACCCAACAATTGCCAAACGCCAACAACCTCGTCTCAACCTTTGATGAGCCGAAAGCTAGAAAGGTACCGGTACGATACTGTCTTTATCAGCTATTGTGGTGATCATGAGTACTAGTAGTTGTAGAAAACGATTTCTATTGTTCTTGTTGGCTTTGCTCTCCTGCCAGAACGAAGCCTTGATTTCCCGGTCTTCTGAACCGCGTACCCATACAAGAAATAATAAACCTTTGTTGGGTACCAAAGCAGGGACTGCGGAGTTTCAAGTGGACACAGATATCAAGATCAAAATAAGAGACTGCAAATATGGCGGTACGTCTATAACTATAGTTTACTTCACTTTTATTTTCACGGAAGGGGTTAGTTGGCTGGGTCGTAGAATAAAATCTCGATCCATTCTCATTCATTCATTGTTCCTCACTTACTGTGTCTTCCCGTCCTGCCGCCACGGCACAGAATTGCATCCTGTAAGTCACCTTGTGCTGGATGCCTTTTATGCCGACAAACCCAATGATATTTTCATGCACATGTATCGGCTGGCGGAATTGAATCGACTCCAGCAAAACTTTCCCTATGCGGATCAAATGATGAAGCATCGCATGCTGGTGGCTATGGCATCAGACAACAATAATAATGATGATATCGTAGGATTTGTCGATGTCGATGCCAGAACGGCGCCTCCCAATAAGGAATACAAGCAGTGAGTGTGTTCTATCTGGAACTAACTAACAAGATAGAAATACAAACATGTCATCATCATATCTCATATTTGTTTTTCCATGGACAGCAACCCCAGACCAATGCTCAGTGACCTCATGGTCAATCCCAGAATGAGACGGAAAGGAATTGCCAAGCAGTTGGTACGTAAGATTGTATCGTTTACCAAGGCAATTGAATGGCCAGGTATTGTTTTGTAAGCCAACTCCTATCTATACCGTCTATTCCTTCCTTTGCTTGCAGGTCCAAAGATGCGAAGAGATTTGTCGGCAAGATTTCCAAGAGACAGAACTGTACATTCGAGTCCTGAAGGACAATGAAGCAGCTATTGCCATGTACGATAGTTTGGGGTATTCCATTTATGACAACCCCGGAGATCCACCGGAAGTACGCTTACTCCTGAAGCAATTCGAGCCGATTGAAACAGTACTGTAGAGCAATGAAGACAATCATAGAAGGCGATCTGCGAACCCAGCAAGCATAAGGTACCATTAACCCTCCTGGGCAAGAATGGAGGATGCTACATGACATCAAGCATCCAATTTGGTGGATCGTCTCTTCTGCAATGAAAGATGTAGCTATGTATGTAAATAGTAGACAACATGCCACGGCGCTGGTGCGTTAGTTCATAGTAATAGTATGGGGATGACTTCATGTACCCAGTACTAGTACCTCTCTCGGCTCTCTCGCAAATCCATTGGATGTGCCTTGGATCTTGGATGAGCTAAACCCTGGAAGAAAAGCCGAAATAAGCTGCCTTCAAACACTTATTGGAAGTGCCTATGGATACATGTATACCTTTCGGTACGGTACACTTACTTGTAAACTTATGGGATCAAGACATCAATGAACAAGGATATTTCAGATTGTCGTGGGAGTTGAGTCGTCCAACTCCTTCGCCTTCTTTCGCTTACCGTACTTTCATCAAATTTTTCTACCCCACCTCAATATTTATCTTTTTAGAATTCAATTTCATTGCAAATAGTTCATGTTTAGATTAATTTCAGTGTTTGTAAATACCCATCTTGCATTTACATTTTATGGGTTATCAATCACCTTGTAGTACTTAGACGTGGGCTGTCTAAGAGAAAATATTTCCACTTGGTTACTTAGACAGACTTGAGACCCAAAAAACGCTTGGTTCCCAAAGGCCATCGACTCTCATCACCAACTTCTGCCTCCACGAAACTGAGTGCCGAGAAAATCACAAGACGAAAAAAGCTAGACAGCTCCGGTAGCCAGCTACCTCACCTACCACAGCAACAACAAGAGCTGGCAAGCCCACTGGCACGACACTCGCTTCGCCGATAGTGTATGTCACTGTCGACTTTGTGAGTAGGAGTATCAAGGCACTGGAGGCAGAGCAGAGGGTATCTGAGTGGTGCAAGCAACAAGTGGTACCAGAACCTTCAAGCACCAGGCAGATCAGCTGAGGATCACCGCAAGTGGCGAAGAGTAAAGACAACCATCGGCATCACGACGTTGGTGGCAGAGAGGAGCTTCTATCTAGCTACCTACCTACCTTTTACTCCAATATCCTTGTTCGATTGCAATTAGGTCTTCCGATAGATTCTTCCATCTTGCTTTCAGTTATCAACCTGAATTTGCCGTTTCCTACCAGAAAATCGCCAGCGAACACCATGTCCTTCTTTACCAGATTTACCAAGGAAGCCTCCAATGCTTTCCACGATATGTACGGCAATGTCTGCCTGGGTGACGATGCGGGAAAATCAGCACGGTTAACCCTGGTGCTGAAACCCCACGCCAATCCAACCAGCTCGAAGGCTGCCAAACTGAACCTGGGTATGACGTTCCTAGAGGTGAATGGCCGTGCGTATGTACAGAGTGTGATTCCGGGTTCACAAGCAGCCAGAGCAGGGGTTATGCCACAAGATGCTATTCAATTTGCAACCGTATTTAAAGAAGAATGGGTGCAAGAAGAGCACGATCAGCAAAGTCTAAGTGAGGAAAGTCTCCTTGATGCCACCGAATTGGCTACCCAACACGCACTTCAAGCAGAAGCCAGTGGCGTACGGATAACATACGATGGACTTCGAAAAGTACTTGCCGAAGCCATTGATCCTACACAATCTGCATTCGTATCACCACCCACACACAAGGATAAGACACCGTGGCATCACGGCCCTCCGATACCCTCCACGGTCAATATATGTGTACCGCAATCAGACGCAGATGGCTTTGTGTACAATGATAGCAATCGACCTTCGTCTCCCTTTCGAGTAGACTTGCCAAGACCTGTCATCTTTGTCTTTCGAAGAACTCGACAACGGAAATCTCTGCATCACATGGGAATGTTACTGCCTGGATTCCGGTTGGATGACGAATGCGACTTTGCATCGTCACTGGTCAAACGGTTAGCACCGACAGCAGATATGGAAACACCAATACCAGATACTTGGGAAGAACTAGTACACGATGGAACGGATTGGTTGTTGGGCAGTGGAAGTATGCTACCACCCAAAATGAAAGCATTGCAGGCGAACGGTCCTATTCGAGAGGAAGGAGAACATTCTATACCTTTGGACTCGTTCGAACGCGAACGGGCTACCAAATTGGCCGACCTACGGTCCAAAATGGCCGCGGAAGCCATGCAAGTAGACCGAACGGATGATGTGGAGGCTGCCACTATTCGAGGAATGATTCAAAAGGCGGTGGGACTGGCATTCGTTAGAGCTTCGAAAGTCGTCTTGGGAGTCTCGGTTCATGGTGGATCTGGTATTGTCATTTCAAGACTTTCGGATGGCACTTGGTCTGCTCCTTCTGCAATTGGCACTTGGGGGTTGGGATTGGGATTGCAATTTGGCTTGGAAGTTGCCGAGTACATCTTTATCCTTCAGACTCAGGACTCTCTAGATCATTTTCGAAGTGGTGGTTCCTTTACTATAGGTGGAAACATCGGGGCAGCAGTGGCTGGGATGGGACGAGAGGCTTATGGAGCAGCGAGTGCCGGTGGTGGCTGCGGCGGCGGTGAAGTTATCAAAGATGACGAATACAACGACAATGACAGCAATGAACATGAGAAAAAATCCAATGTCGGAATTGCTCCGATTGTGGCCTACGCCAAGAGTCAAGGACTCTACATTGGAGTGTCTCTGGAAGGATCTCGGATATTTGCTCGCAACGATATCAACAGCCGGACATATAAGTTCACCTGCGGACGCGACGTTTCCGCGTACGACGTCTTGAGCGGCAAAGTCCCCACACCACCGGAAGCAGAAGACTTGTATGCAGCACTGCATAGCGTCGAATTCACCCATGAAATGTCATGTCTGCCGCGTCCACCTGAGGTGCTTCGCAAAGACTCACCCAACGCATGGTTCTACGATCGGTCAACTCTTGGTGATGGGGCACCAATCAAACAGGACCCGTTCAACTTCTTGTCAACTCTGAGTAAAAAGAATGCCGAAGCATGCGAGACATTCGAGACTCAGTTCAAAAAGTTTATGTATGGTGGTGTATCTGTTCAACGTCTCCTCCCCAACACGGAGTCTCGCACCGGTAGGACGTGTCGGGAAAGACGCACGATGTGGTTAATGTTGCCAGAAGTTGGATCATTGAGGCTTGGCTTTGTGTCCAAGCTGAGTGACGGCGAAAGTTGCGTGTCCAACAAAAGTAGCACCATGAGAGCAAGACAAAACGACTCGAACAGGCATTCCATGACGGAAGGCGATCTAGTGACTGTTGAATCGGAAGAAGTAACACTGGACTCGGCACTCTATACAGATAAGGATGGCGCATCCACCATTGGACAAATCCGAACCGGCAATGTGCAACTTTCTCAGAAGCATTCAGTGGCGCTGACTGATCTGACGCTTCTCTCCCATGATCCCTTAGTACCCATCAAATTCAACCCAGACGATCAGACGGAACACTTGCGCGTTATATCTCTGCAAGATGTCTCTGGTACATCTCTGCTTTTCCTAGCCAACAACTTTCGCGAGGCGGAACTCCTGATGTGTGGCTTGAAGCTTCTCTTGGAACGAGAAACTGCGCGTCTTGGTGTTCGAGGTGGACTGCCGATCTCTGCCTTGGGTGGACGAGTGCTGGACGGCGCCATGTCTCCAACTGCGGCTAGGGGCTTCCGCGATACTCCGTCGTCGTCAACCACCTCCGGGGGACGACGGAGAAAAGGCAGTAGGCAAATGTCTGGCTATGCTTCGTCCGAGGTCGAAGAGTTTGACGATAGCGGCGGTGAAGAAGGGTCCCAGAATCCTTCGAAATACCTCCCGGAAGGACGAAAAAGCTGGGGACGGGTGCCGGGACGAAGCTACATGCGTGGTCAAGCGGCGGCAATGAAGGGTAGCCAGAAAAGTGGCACGAATGAATCTGGAGTTCCGCAGTATGTTCATGGGCAACTCTTGGTGCGAGATGTCGCCAAGAAAGTGCGTTTGCCACTGCCTCTTCCGTTGTGTCGAGTTCTTCTTTTGGACTCTACTTCTCCGGTAATTGCGAGATGGGAAAAGGATCGTGGCGATATGAATTTTGACCACACCCTGTGGACTTTTCCACCAGCTACACCTCGTGAACTTGAGCGGCATGCTTCGGAGCACTCTTTGATTGCAACTGGCAGCATGTGTGGCGCCCATCGGACGTCAGCCTTTGATCGAATGCGAAACGGTTCTTGGGTACGCTTGTCAGAAACACAGATTGTCGATGCAGATGACTCTGAAAAGTTGGCTATCACCGTTTCAGAGCGGATGCCACGACGAGGATTCTCCATCAAGATTAGGATTCTGTTGCGTGCGATCAAGGACAATGCATGTGAAGCGACAGTCTTTGCAGAGATTCGACCAGTGGGCAAGGATATGTCAAATCAAGCGGCAGTTCACAGGGCATTTCTTCTCGTATTCAACGAGATTGCTTCAAGGTACGGCGAGGAAGCTGGGGGTCTAATGGCAGGGTTCTTGAGTGTCATTGACACTATGGGGAACGATGGGAAACCAACCATGGACGGGGCAGAGAAAGGCCGTCACTTTTCCAACAACTCTTCTTCTGGCTCGGAAGAGAAGAAGTCCGACACTCCTACTTCCAAGCAATCGCGAAAATCCAACAGCAAAAATTCTGGATTGGTCTCCTTTGAGGATATGCTGAAGACCGGACGGACGAGTCCAGAACTTATCAACACAGAGCGTCCATCAACTCCTAGTCTTCAAAGGGAGATACCAGAGCCCGACCAATCCAAACGGCTTGCAGCCAAATCCAAACCAGCGCCCCATGCCAACGAATTTGTTCCCGTCCCTGAGCTGGAAGACGAGCTTCTGGCACCGCAAGAACCAGTGCTCATTGAAGTGAAACCGCTTCCCAAAATCCGTCTGAGCCTGATGCCAGCCCCGCGAGAGGAGGACGAGGAAAACGACAGTAGCTCGTTCTCCCCACCTACGCAAAAGTCTCGACGAAGGAAGTCAAGTTCGAAACGAAAGCCGAGTTCCTCCTGGCGCAAGAGTGGTCGCCACAAGAACAAGGCTTAGTGGAAAGAACCAACATACGGCGTATGGTATGCTGATGTTTTTTGTATGACACCAACCAATGGAATGAATGGCGCTATAGAGAATCCCTGACGATGCTTATTATGATACTGTGGACACCGTCGCTACACAAGTCCCCCCTACTAGACTTCCGCAGCCCTTTTTTAAAATAGATTGTTGAATGAAGCTTTTAGTTTAGTTGTGTTGCGTTGTTGCACCTTTCGAAGGCCGGTTTTGTCAGTGGCTCATTTCTATTTGTTCTTATCCCTGAGCTCCCATCCCATGGAATGCAGGATCCAATTCTCCATTCCTTGCAAATTGTACTTGGGACTCTCAATCTAGTAGCCACTTGGAGACCCAAAGCAGCCACTTGACTGATCCCAGATTGCAGATTTCCAAGTGCTGCTTTAAGGGAAGTATGCTGTGCCCTTCTGAGCACGGAAGCCAATTGCTTTGAGTAGTTTTCGCTGCAGATCTGCAATATCCTTTGTGATTAGTGGAGATTCCTTGTCAGGGTCAAGTGGTCCTCCTTTTTCGTGACGATTACGCTGTTGGAGCAACCAACTTGATAGATTCTTTTCCTTCAACAGCTTCTGGATCTCATGGCCATTTTTGGCTTGGTTGAGGACTTCTGGCACTTGCTGGAATTTACCCACCCAAGGGTCCACAAGACGCTTAGCTTTAGCATTGTTGTTGGCGAGTGCCTGCATTGCAAAGACCATCGCCTCAATCTGTTGTTTTGCATCCAACATGGATTGATCTTGCTTTCCAAATTCTGCTTCTGTTGTTGGGGAGGGAGCATTGTACGGGAAGTGACGGCCATGTTCATCCTGAGCTTCAGTCTCCTCCTTCTTCAGAGGACCACTCAAGGATGGCATTGTCAGGTTTGAACTGCGAGCATCGGCCCCCTCTCGCGGAATCTTTTCTTCTTGACGCTTCTGTTCCCAGGCTTGGTTCTCCTTTCGGTCTGTGGCTCGCTTCTTCGTAGACACGGAAGGGTTGCTTTGTGGTGATAATCCTCGCTTATTCTTTTCTCCTTTGTCAAAGGTCATGTTGTGTCCACTGTTGTTGATGTTGTCGTCGTCGCTGCTGTTATTGTTGTTGTGTGTTTGAAATTGAGAAGGATGGTGTGGATCTCAGCATTGGTTCGAGATGAGGAAAATTGCGCCTTGGAAGCAACTTTTTGATGATCATGGTCTAGCTCCGTGAGCTTTTACGTTCCGCTCTGCTAGCTTTTAAGTGCCAACTTTCAAGTTTCAAATGGCGTTTCCTTTATTAGACAAGGAGAACAAGAGAGTAATAAACAATAAAAGGACCGTACAGTAAGTAGTGCAAGAGGCCAGAGAATACAGGCACACATAATGAATGAATGTTTTTCAATCTACTTCTACAGCAAACATCTTGGCAAGCCTCGTCACAAGTAGAAACACCGTGACCTGACACAGAGGAACACCCAGCCTCCCTACCCAAAAGAAAACACAGGCCACTTGGGACCTATTCATATCGATTTGGAAAATGGCAGCAGGCCAGTACAATGTGGGGAAAGATGCATAGATATACATATCCGGCTATCTGCCTCAATTAAGAACTCCCTATTTATGATCTAGTTTTTGGTGACAAAGACAAGGCACCTTATCATTGGGCAGCTGAGGGCTCTGGGTACAAACAAGCACATCAAAGACAAGCTGACCATACTGAACCAGTTAGATGGTCACTATAGCTTTTCAAGCATGGCATGGGTTAAAAAGGAAACAAGACTCTAAATCTCCACCCGTGCCAAATCCCACCCCAACATTTGGACATCCTCTCGAATGCGTTGTGCCAACGGATGATCACCGAGCCCATTGACGGCAAATACATTGAGTGCCTGCAAAAAGTACGCCTTGGCTTGTTCCTGTTCCTTTTGTTTCCAATGTGCCATTCCCAGGGCTTGTGCACAAATACCCACACTGGGATGATCGTGTCCCAAAATGGCGGTCCGCAACGTCAAGACTTGCATGTAATCATTCTTGGCACTGTGGTACATGTGCAATCGCATGTAATTGTTGGCAATCTTGTTGAGTACTTCTACAGTGTCAATGGCAGTTGGACCGAGCTGGTCGTATCGGATTCGAAAGCATCTTCGAAAGGATTGTAGACCCAAGAGTAATCCTGCCTTGTTGGCGCTGTTGCTGTTGGGAGACGAGGAAATGGTAATAATGTTGGGAATGCCGTCGTTGTTGTTGTTTCTGTTGTTGCTGTTGTTGGAGGAGGAGTGTCCATTGGTATTCCACCGACTTTGCGCCATTCCCAGCGCTTCCAAAACCTTGGCCACTCTGAGATTGTTGGGCCCAAAGAGTTTCTCAAAGACCCGAAGGGCTGTTCGAAAGAAATCCTGTGCAGCCGTGTATTGCTGTGTTGTTGTGTTAGTTCGTTTGTATGTTCGTTGCGTTTGGTAAATTGTGGTTGCAAAGCAAGAGAAAGAATAATCGGCAAGATGATTGGTTATTATGAGTGTTGGACAAAGAGCAATAACAAGGAGACTCCAAGTACGGTTGTTTTATATAGTGACACTCACCTCACATCGCACATGTTCCAATCCAAGTTCTAGAAATGCATTTGCCGTTTGCGAGTGCTGCATTCCGTAATGTTCAAAGCACTCGCTGCATCGCCTGCGCCAATATTTCAATTGTCGATTGTCTTGTAGTTGTTGTTGTTGTTCACTGATTGGTTCGATTGGAGTCGTCGTCCATGATGTATTACTAGTGTCATTGCTGTTATTGTTGTTGTTGCTGTTTTGATTGTTGTTGTGTTGATGGATTGGATGCTGAAAGTGTTGTTCGTCATCGTGATGAAAGGACAAGAAGGAAACATCGGAATCCGTAAAGGAAGAGCACGTGGTAATGGTCAATGACGGTGGCAAGGGTGTTATTGCTGCAGTGTTGTTGTTGTTGTTTGACGGGGTGTGCAGCGGTGGTCGACTGTAACCGCCACCTTGTTTGAGAGTGTTGCTGTGGATGGGTGTGAGATCCGGAGGCGTTCTACTTCTCACTACTCGCGTGGGAGGACGGCGTCGATGCAATTTTCTGCCATGGTGATGATTTTCTTGTGCTGTGGAAGACGACATGGTCGTGGCACATGTGGACGCGGCATGGGTTCGTTGCGATGATGATTTGGACGGACTGCCAGGAGTCATGACGGCTCTGCGAAGTCTCTCGGTAAATGGAACCGGCATGACAGTGCTACAAGTACTATCGTTGCTGGTTAGATAGGTCGCTGAAACCAATGGAGTCAGCGATGTGTCTCGAGGGTCTTGTTCGTCGCCCCAGGAAGAGCAACAGGAAGAAGCGGAAGCGGTAGTTTGTGTCGGCAAGGGTCGAAAGGAAAGGGTATTCTCGGCAATGTCGCGTAGTGGAGCACTGGGTTGTAATTGTGGAGGATACAGTAGTGACTTGGTCTTGCTTGTGGTAGTGGCGCCAATAGAGCCATTTGAGGTTTTACTGCGAAACATGTGACGATGTTGTAATTCGCTCTCGTCCAATCGGGCCGAACAAGCCAAGCGAGAAAGACCCCACGATGCATGATCCTTTGGCTGATGCTTGGGAGGCTTCATGGTGACTGGTCGACGGGATGGTGATCCATCGCCGCTACTAGTATTGTTGAGTTGCTGGTAGTCCATGGTGGGTTCGTTGTTTCGGTCGCTGATCATTGAAATGCAAACAAATTTCTCTTGCTTCGAAAATGAAGAAACGGCTGGTTTTTTGGCCTTGGCGATTCCGAGGTTTCCAATGCTAACAAATCATAATCTCCCCTCTAAGTAACTTAGATTTCGCTAAGTACTGTCGGAATAAAAGGGCGCACTCCCAGGAAGACAGTTAAAGACAGGTAGTTGCGGTAATGTTTGGGTTAAAGTTATAAATTACTCTACGTTTTTGTATCCAAAATTTTATTTACCGCAGCTACCTGACTCCCAAAGTTCTCTTCCTGGCCCCCAACGAGATATTTAGCCTGAGTGTCATGAGGAACAGTGTGCGTCTTAAACATGACGTCCCAAATCGAAGCAGTCGGAGTTCTCAACTCCACTTCAAGATCTTTCTCGTCCACTCAATCTTACCATCACTCATTTCCCATCCATCATTCTTATTAGTTCCCACCATGATCCCTGCTTTGAGACTGAGGTCGTCGTCCAGTAGGTTGCTTCAGGCACACCGATCGACTCCTACTACCAGCCTTTTGTGGAGTGGTGGTGGTAGTCGTCCCTTGTCTTTGTTGGCTGCGGCATCCTCGTCGTCGCCATCCAGCAGTATTTCAAATACTGGCTACCCATCACGAGAAGAACCAAGTCAAAGACTTCCACAGCAGTATGCTCCATTCCACCACCATGGACACGGGTATTCTGCCATTCAGCATCGTTGGTTAGCAACTGGTGGTACCGACACATCATCCAAGGAAGAACAAGAAAAGAAAGAAGAGCAAGAATCCAAGCCACAGACGGAACAAACAGACAATGCGGATGATTCGTCATCATCTTCCTCAGATTCCGACTCGGATTCCTCCGACTCCGACTCGGATAATGATACTGCTGCGGCGCCTCCACCCAAAAAAGTCAATGCCGAATCCATGGAATTTCAAGCCGAAACCAAGCAACTCTTGGATATTGTCACCAATTCACTCTACACCGACAAAGATGTCTTTCTAAGAGAATTAATCAGCAATGCCAGTGATGCGCTAGAGAAACTAAGACATGTGCAAGCCACCAATACGGCCAGTACCATTGATTCCGATGTGCCCTTGGAAATTCGAATTGATGTAAGTACACACCACCACAACAAACAATAAACTTGACTCGGATCAAATCAAGAAGTGAAAAAGCTTATTTGTTTCTTGTTCAATTTGCATTTTTCTTTTTCTTGACGACGCAGCTCAATGAAGTGGACAGCACCATTACCATTACCGATACTGGAATCGGAATGACACGAGACGAAATGATTTCCAACTTGGGCACCATTGCACGGTCCGGATCCAAAAACTTTTTGCAAGAATTGCAAATGCAACAAGAAGCACCCGTCGCCAATGACATTTCACGCGGTATTATTGGAAAGTTTGGGGTCGGATTCTATGCGGCGTTCATGGTGGGACATCTCGTTGAAGTACGATCCAAATCGGCATTGACGGAACACTCCACGGTGACACCCAAAGTATGGTCGTCCGACAATGGGGCCGGGTCGTTTGAAATCTTTGACTTGGACGACAACATACGGCAAGATCGAGGATCGTCCATTGTCATTCATCTCAAGGAAGAGTTCTGGCAGTACTGCGATGAAAACAAAATTGAAGAAATATTGAAACGGTACTCCAACTTTGTCAATTTTCCCATCTTTCTCAATGGAAATCGAGTCAATACCATTGATGCCGTCTGGGTCAAAGATCCAAAGGAAGTTGACGATGAGACATATGCCGACTTTTACAAGTACATTTCCAACAATATGGACGATCCACTGGAAACGATCCACTTTCGGGCAGATGCACCCTTGGATGTCAAGGCATTGTTCTTTATTCCCAGTTTTCATTCCGAGTAAGTACAGTACTGAGTTACTGCTTGGATGCAGTTTGATGCATACAATACATGACACCTCACCAACACCTTACTTGCCCTTTCATCCCTTCACTTTCACTCAATATTTGATCCTGCGGCTCTGTACAACAATCACAATGAAATAATGAACGTGAAAACCATCTATCAATCCACACAGAAAATATGGAATGGGACGAATGGAACCTGGAGTCTCTCTCTATTCGCGCAAGGTACTCATCGAGGCCAAGTCACCAGACATTTTGCCCGACTGGATGAGATTTGTCAAGGGAGTTGTGGACAGTGAAGGTGCGTTCAGCAATCTCGGTGTTATCTTCCTTCCCATAAAATGCACCTTCTGTTCTTCTTACCGTCTCCTCTTTTTCCCTTTCCCAAGATCTGCCGCTTGCCATCTCGAGAGAAAAGGCTCAGGATTCTGCTTTAATTGCCAAGCTGCGGTCGGCCCTGGTACGAAAGTTCATTTCACACATTACCAAACTGGCCAAGTAAGTTCAAAATTGGGGAGCTTCAAACTGAATTATATTGGTTCTCAACCGTCCCGCTTTCCATCACCTGATTGCAGGAAGGACCGATCCCGGTTTGTCGATGAGTTCTACAAAGAGTACGCCTTCTTCTTGAAGGAGGGCATCTGCCACGACTTTGAGTTTCAGGAACCACTCTCCAAGCTGCTTTACTTTGAAACATCCAAGAACCAGAATTCCGAACTCTCATCGTTGGATGAGTACATTGGCCGCGTGCGACCAGAACAAAAGGATGTGTACTATCTGTGTGCACCAAGCAGAGACGCAGCGCTGAACAGTCCGTACTTGGAGGCTTTCGAAAAGGCAGACGTGGAAGTATTGTTCATGTACTCGGCAATTGAAGACTTTGTAATGGCCAACTTGGAAAAGTACCAAGGTCGCAACTTGGTCAGTGTGGAAACGAGCGACATTGACTTGAGTGAACTGACCAAGCAGTCAGGCAAGGATGACGAAGAGTCAGAGGATGCGGACGACAAGGACGAAGCGAACGTTTACAACGCGGACCGTAAGCTAACCCCCGAGGAAGCTTTGGACTTTTGCCTCTGGTTCAAGAAGGAATTGGGGGATAAGAAGATCTCGTCGTGTACAGTGACAGATCGCCTTCATTCATCGCCCGCCATTGTAACTGACCACGAATCCGGAGCACTTCGACGCATGATGAGATACGTGGACACTCAGGATGGAAACCGGGACTACATTCCCTTGCCAAAGCAGCACGTGGAGATCAATCCTTCACACAAAGTGATTGTGGGGATCCATGCTGTGATGAAGACACAGCCTGCTCTGGCTCGTGTTCTAGCTGAACAAGTATACGACAACTGTTTGATCGCAGCTGGACTGCTCGACGACAGCCGTGCCATGTTGCCCCGATTGAATGATATCATGATGTGTGTTGTCAATGGTGCAACGGGAACAGACGAATCGGTTCAATCAGGTAGCACCAGCCCCGGGAAGGACGAAACAGCATCTACCAATATTTCTGTGGACGATGGCAAAGCAGAGGAAAGCGCCAAAGAGGAGTCTTTAGTTTCAGAGGACTCTTCTTCTTCACCAAAGAGCGCAGCAAGCGACGGTAAGCCATAGCAAGGTGAAGGAGACGAGGGATAGAACGGCTGCGACTTAGCTTAGGACAGTCGATGCTCTCTTTCAATCAGTAGTGCATCATCGTGCTAGTCAGATAGATCGACCTGCAATTCGCCATACTTCCCAAAACCACGAGAAAACTAGTTCAGGGGGAGCGGCATAGCTGCCAGTGCCGCAAGTGCACGAACTTTGTACCCACCGTTCGTGTCATGGATCATTGAAAGCGGATCCATCCATGGCGGTATCAGAAGCCATTTGGTCCATCTTCTACTAGGCAGCCCAGGTGAGAGCGGCTTGCAATCGGCGCAGGTTGTCATCCAATCAAAGGGTTTGGATATTTTGTTCCAGTTTTGCCCTCCACTCGACTCACTCCCCCAGTGCCGGCATTTAACTATTACCGGACTGGTTTTCGACGAATTGGAAGGCACCACATTCCAAATCAGGACAAAAGATTCAGTTCTGTAGAAAGTACACTGTACGGGACAGTTACAGGTTACACGTTGCTCTGAGGCTCCTGGTAAAAGACTTGGCTTTGAGAAAAAAGCAAAAGAGCAATAGGAAAAAGTTGATTTACTGTTGTTGTTTTAATTAAAAAGAATTGCGGGACAGCCCGTTTGCCATCTGTTGTCCTCAGACCGGTGAAGGGGGATGAGGCAAATCAATTTAAGATAATTAATAATTTCTACCCCATCCCTTCGAATGACTCGACTTGGTCTCTCTAGCTAGCTAGCTACTGTACGGTAATACCTGGTACGGGTATTAATAGTACATGTAGCTCGGTAGTAGCTAGCTTTGTAGCAGACGATAGAAGCACGAGGATCTAGCAGTAGAGGATCTCCTGTGTATGCAGAGGATCAACAAGCTACAAGAAGAGGATACCCCACCATCTAGCTAGTAGCTGTGCCGGTCTATGTACCGTAGCTAGGTAGCACGATTGCAGCGCACCTTTGACTCGAAACTTCCAACACCTGCAACATGTTTGGCAGAACCAGCCACCTGGCAAGCCAATATTCGAAACACTACGATTCAATTCTGGCAACAACAGAATAAGAGCAACGTGACAAGGAACATTGATTCCTTTACCAATTACTAATGTAAACACAGTATTGCCCATTGCCAGATCAGACTTGCACTGGTGGCGGCCACCCATGCACTCTCGATACGAGTGACGAGGTGAGGTCGTAAAAGCAATCATGCTCCGGAAGAGCTGCTGAAACTTGGGGCGAACTGCTGTGACGGCCACTCTTGAAATCAACAGGGCTAAGAAAAGCAAAAAACAGAACACTGATGTCCCAGCAGACAGTTCTTTTCCTTCGGCATCAGACACCTTCCTCCGCTGTGTCTCGATAGAGATCTTGGATGTGGATTTGAGCCTGCATACTTGCAGTGTTCCAGATTTGGAACGTCTCCGTTACGAAAAACCAATGATGTACCACTTTTATGGGAAGTGTTTGGCCAAACCAAAATTTCGATCCACCTTGTTTCCGTTGCCAACCACAGTTTAACCCTCTCCTGTCACACTTTGCAAGAAAGGGGCTCCACGTCCCTCAGCTCGACCAATCAATTTCTGACGTACCCTGCCCTTCATTCGTTACTCCAGAGTGCTTTGGAACAATAGGTAATATTGTTTACTGTGGATAAAAGAGTAGACAATAGATCTGGAATGACTTCTCACCCTAGCATGTGTATCCTTCTTGCCAATGTGAATTTGATTTTTCACAGATTTAGTAATTTCAAATTGTGTGTCTTTCGGCCACGATTCTGATACAACTTTAGATTAAACATGTTTCAAAGTAGTAAAAAGACTAGATTCACTGCACTTTCCCTGAAAAATCTAACTTGATGTGCTTTGATGGCCACCAGTCCCCGCTGGGATTTCAGTTCCTCACCTATTTTAGTGCTACATCGGGCTTCGCGTAGAAACACTACCAGTTCCTACCACGAGCGATTGGAACTGGAAATGGAGATGTCAATTGATCAAGGCAAGGTTGAGCCTCAGCATTGGAGAGTGCTTTACCAAAATTACCACGCAAAACAACGAGTAAAGTTTCATTGCTAACCGATCCACCATGGCGGCCGACAACCCTCTTGAAGGAGCCGGCTGGCACCTCTCACCCTTGCAAGATGACAGTGTAATATCCGCCGAACACCTGGCCCTGGTAGACTTTGCCCAGAGACTTGGAACCGTTACACAGAATGATGAGCCCGACAATGCTGTTGATGTGAGGCAGCACGCGAACCTCCTCATGAGTTTGCTCTCCTCGCCTCCTCACGTCGTCAGCGATGATACAGAACACTCCTCGACCTCTGCCTCGTCGTTGACTGGGAGTGCTGCTGGTACCACTGTTAATGACCAGCACTACTTGTCGGATGCTTCGAATTCTACAGCCACAACCTCTTCTTCGACACAACGCCGCGATAGCTTCCGCTTTAGCCATCCCTCTCTGTCCTTGGATAGCAAGTGGAAGGCCTCCTTTCCCATCCGTACACCTTGTACGGCACCCGAGAAGGAAGACGGAGCGGTGGACTCTCAGCCTCCTGCGGTCTTGTTGGGCCGAGCTTTGAAGGTCGATGATCGCGAAGCCCATCGTCTGTCTGCCGATGCCATGGCCAGGAACCTGCTGTTGTCGATCCAGAAAGCCATCAAGTGGAGAATCCAATCCTGGATGGATACGCTCTCACAGTCTCTGGTTCATCAAGAGCAGACTCTGATCCGTCTCAATGCGACGGAAGAGGAAATGCGAGAGCTGTTGAACACAAAGGAAGCGAGCCTCTATGTGAGCCTCCGTCGTGTCGCTGAGAGCATCAAAGTGCTGCATGCAGAGACATGCTTCCATGTGCTCCCTCAGAGGGCACAACGGGAACATCGCAATGAAGAGGATGTTGACAGCAACGCTCCTATTCAAAAGCGACGGAGGGTAGAGAGCGAAGACAGCGAGCTGCGAGGAATGGGGGAGACAGAGTACAAGTACACTGTAGGTCACGTATTGGAGTTTGATGGAACCATCCATCTCAAGACTCCTGCTGGGTACAGTGAGATTACCGTGGAAGTTCCTGGGATTATTGAAGGCACCTTTCTCAGTGCTGACCCGGGTATGGAGGACCTGACGGGTGTCGAGGTGGAGATTGACACCGATGTCTTGGCGTCCATGGTAGAGAAGAGCTGCCGTGTCATTGTTCGCTCCTCTTTGGAGTATGTCTTCAAGGAAATGGCCGAGCGTCAGGCTGAGGAAGAGGAGAGTGAAGAGGAAAGTGTGGCGGCTGAGCGTGATGCTATTTCTCCCTATCCTCGCGGACATGGGGCATCATTACTGGTGGGTAGCCCACGATGTGGGTCGGCTGCCATTGTCACTCCTCGTTGTGGGAAACCCGCTCCTATCATGGGCACCGCAGAGCCTGGGTTCCTTCAGATCCCTGATGATCTGGATGACACGACGCGGAAGCCTCGAAGAATCACTCCTCATCCTCACTCGCCCGATACTACTATGGGGGCCAGTCCATTCACCCCATCCACACCCAGCAAGAGCGACCTCAAGCGCCCACTGCCTTCTATGGTCTCGCCTGCGCCGAAGGTCGAATTCATTCAAGACACTGGCTTCAAGTTGGCCAAGCGAGGAGGACAGGCAGATGCATCGAATGGTCCAAATCTTCCCGTCCTCGTCGAGGTCGCCTGTGCTGCCATGCAGGCTAAGGCGAATCTTGTTGGCCAATAGAAGTGTTCGCAAAAGAGAGCTGGTGTAGGCGCCGCCTACCCTTCTCCGAACAAACAACCTTTTCACACGCAAACATTTTCATGACATCCATCACAACGTTAGCGTGGTGGATGTTTTCATACCTTGGACTTGGCAACTGTGCCACGTGATTGTTACCTATTCATATTGTTTTCCAGTGCAGATATTTGTAATTCAAAACCAACGAAGCCGAAACGCCGATCAAGGGAATGTGTTGGTTTCTATTCAAGCTTTTACATGCATTCCCAGTTTTCATAGAGCCATGTGCGCCCGTGCAGCTACAGGAGTTAAGTTTGTTGCAGATCGGGACATTCATCATGAGAGTGGACAAGAGGGAAGTAGTCTTGTCCGCATTTGATGTATTTTATAATAATTTGTGCTAAGCGCTCATTTTATATTCAAAACAGTTGTTTATCTTGCTTGGTAGTTAGCTAGACTACATGTAGTAGCTGTCACTTGAGTATACAGCCGTAGCTAGAAGTTGTGCAAACAACGCTATGTCTCCCATACTAATTTCACGTCCGTATCCTCATGACCAGCTTGCATTGGCGGCATCGCAACTGATGCTTGAGCTCAACCTTCCAGTTGCTGGAGTTCCACATCGCTGGTGGATACCTTGCTGTAGCGCTTTAGGGAACCTTTGCGGAATCGACGGAACAGCGTTGTAACTAGATAGTAACTACCAACCAGAACCAGCGCCAACCCCAGAAACATCAAAATCGGCGCAGGGGAGATTGAATTTTCTCGTTCTTTCTTACCCTCCTGAAGTAGTCTTTCACTGCAATAGGTCCCCGAGGCGCCAGAAGGACACGCGCAGGTTCTTTGGGCACCATTCCAAACACCTCCTGGTGCGGAACAAGCATCCCTAGCAAAGAAATCCGCAGTGCCCTGTGTCATTGGGAAAGCCTGCTCGAAGCTGGGTCGGTTGAAGTGTTTCTTGTTTTGGTATATGCAATAGGTAGTATTCACGTTTTGGCCGCATTCCTCAAAGGTATAACAAGTGACTTGATCTTGGACCGAGTAGGACACTTTGGTTTTGCTGCCACAGTGATTGAAATTGGTAGCCCAGACACTCACGTGAGCTTCCACAGAGGTGCATTGGTCCAAATGCTGAGAGATGCCGCAACAGCATCTGGGCATAGTGGAGTCGGTGCAACATCCCGTCATTTGTACCATAGGGTCATCTTGGGAATGATGCAAGAAGAGGGATACTGGTTTTTCATGGGTTATCATTCGTTCCTCCAGCTTGACGCTGTCCAAGTGATAGCCCGAAATGGGAGCAATGGCACGAAACAGAGGAGCTGCATAGCTGACCATATATCCTCCGTTGGACCATCCCGTAGCATAGACATAATTTGAGGACAGCAACGACGGGTACTCTCCTGTCACTTGGCTCAAGATACCTTTGAGAAATCCAAGATCATCAATCCCTTGTTCCAGTGCATATCCACAGCAGGATTCACCACCCGCGTTAAACGAGTGCTTCAAGCCTTCAGGATTGACCCACACAAAGTTGTACGCTTCGGCAACCTCAGACCAGAACTGGAACGTTTGCATACTGCAACCCAAACAGTGGATTGTAAATACCAGAGGAAGTCTGCCAACAGCCTCGGTGGTACTGCTACCTACAGAATTGTTTGGGCCGCAAGCCGCCTTGGGTAGGTAGAACATGTATTTGCGCTGACATTCTTTTCTACAACCCTCCTCCAAGAGAATTGTCCGAACGACGGGTTCTCCACAAACTAATGGTGCTTCGCTCATGTTAATGTTGTCATTGGCAACCCATTCAGCTCAAACTCAAGCGTCATGGTCGCCAAAATTGTCAAGAAGAGTGGCTGCGCAGCTTGGAAGACAGCTTTAACACAAAGGTAGATGCGGTAAAAGAAAAAATTAAAATTGCCAAAACAAAGTATAACTTTACCTCAACTACCTTTCTACATTTGTGCTCTTGGGGTGCAATCCAATTTGTGCGAGATATCTTCTCGGGTTGAATGATGTTGAATACCCCATATTCCTTGACTTACCCAGACCTCATTCGATACAGTTTAAGCCAGTGGATTTTACAGTCACCCAGCCTCGAGGTCTCAAGGTGTTTGCGACCCATCCGCAAATTGGTCCGTCCTTTGTCAGTGACACATTCTAACGTCGAATTAACGGCAGATTTTTCCCGATTGGCTTTCAATGAAGAGCGATAAAGCACGTGCGCCACCGCAGTGATGCCGATTGGTTCTTCCTCCTCCGAGAAAGATTTGTGGCCGCTCCTCATCCGTCCATCACACAATTCTTTGAAGGCATTTCTTCTAAGCTTTTTGCGTGAAACAGATAATCAATCCGACAATGGCAACCTTCAAGGAACAGGTAAGATTATCTGAGCTGGGTTGAGTCGAGTTGACTATAAGGCCCTTGCCCGCCAGTTGTTGGCTTTGGTTTCTCACTTTATATTTATTCCTTATACCTTATACCCATCTGTTATCATTTGATTTGATGTCCAGGAATTTCGTGGCTTGGTCCCCCTCAAGGATCACGATCCTGAACTTTTTGATTTGATTGAGCAGGAAAAGTCGCGTCAGTGGCGTTCATTGGAGCTGATTGCCTCGGAGAATTTCACTTCCAGGGCTGTCATTGAGTGCTTGGGATCTGCCTTGACCAACAAGTACGCTGAAGGTCTCCCCCATGCTCGTTACTATGGAGGTAATGAAGTTGTCGATCAAATCGAGGAGCTCTGCCAAAAGCGTGCCCTCCAGGCGTACGGATTGGACCCCGAAAAGTGGGGAGTTAATGTCCAACCTTACTCTGGTTCCCCTGCCAACTTTGCCGTTTACACGGGTCTTTTGAAGCCTCATGATCGAATCATGGGATTGGATCTCCCCAGTGGTGGACACTTGACCCATGGATTCTACACATACTCCAAAAAAGAAAACACTCGTAAGGCTGTTTCCGCCACCTCGGTCTACTTTGAATCGTTGCCCTACCGTGTGCACCCCGAGACGGGATACATTGATTATGATCAGTTGGAGAGGGATGCCTCCCTGTTCAAGCCGGCCATGATTGTTGCTGGGTTCTCGGCTTATCCCCGTGACCTTGACTATGAAAGGTTCCGTCAGATTTGTGACGCCAACGGCGCCCTCCTCATGATGGATATGGCAAGTATCTGCGTGGCTTCTATTTTGGTTGCTTTGGTTTATATTATGGTGATGTTGGTGTTTGCTAATACAATTTATTTTTCTTCGAACCATGTACAGGCTCACATCAGCGGTTTGATTGCTGCTGGAGAACTCAAATCCCCTTTTGATCTCTGCGATGTTGTGACCACTACAACCCACAAGTCCCTTCGTGGACCTCGTGCCGGTATGATTTTCTTCCGCAAAGATGAACGTGGATTTGAAGGAAAGATCAACCAGGCTGTCTTTCCCGCCTTGCAGGGTGGTCCCCATGAACATCAAATTGCTGGAGTTGCTACCCAGTTGAAGGAGGTCCTCACCCCCGAATTCAAAGTCTACGCCCAACAGGTCAAAAAGAATGCCCAGGCTCTGGCCAACAAACTGACATCTTTGGGATACTCCATGGCTTCGGGCGGTACCGAAAATCACTTGGTTCTGTGGGATCTCAAGCCTCAGGGACTCACGGGAAGCAAGTTTGAAAAGATTTGCGACGCAGCCTGCATTACTCTCAACAAAAACTGCGTCCCTGGAGACAGGTCCGCTGTTACACCCGGAGGTGTCCGCATTGGAGCACCCGCCTTGACAACCCGCAAGATGGTGGAGGCCGATTTTGAACAAATCGCCATGTTCCTTGACGAATGCGCCAAGATTGCTCTCAAGCTTCAGGAGAAGAGTGGACCCAAGTTGAAGGACTTTGTGGCACTTTTGGATGGAAATGAAGAAGTTGCTGCCTTGAAAAAGAAGGTCAATGACTTTGCTACATCCTTCCCCATGCCTGGATTCGACCCCAAGGAAATGAAGTACCAGGATCCATCTGGCCCCCCTTCCAGTGCATAATTTGCTTGTTTGATTGAAAGTCGACAACCGTCACAGGATTAAGGTGTCATTGTCGTCCCTTTGCGTGGATGTCCGACGAGTGCCCACTCGAAAACGCTGAATACTGAATATACACTCTCACACTACCTTACTAGCTAGTTTCTCTGTAAAGTAGTCTTGGTGAGCTTGCACAGGATTTCAGATTTCCCAAACAGGGTACCAGAGCTGTTGCTGCATGCAGCACGCTGCAGCTAGACAACCGTATCAGTCGAGAAGAGAGCATGCTGAAATCGGTTCAATTCGAATCTGTCGGATGATCCGATTGAATCATTCGATTCGATTCATCATTCAATTGGATTAAAATGGATCGAATTGTGCCTTTTTTCGAAACTTCATGAAAGATGCATTGAACCTTGGCCTGGCTTTTACTCGAGCAACCCAACCTCAACGGAGAGCCCAGGCTTTGGGAAGAGGAGCCCAAAATTTGGCCTTTAGAATACATGTGGGCTGACTTGGGGTCGTACCGTAGACTTGGAAGGCGCGATGGCCGTCTCCGCAGCCATGAGAAGATCCGTACCGGTAGCCTTTGGCCAAGCACCGGCCTGGCCTACAGTCTATGCCAGCCACAACCATACATATCCCGCTATCGTCCGTAGGCCAGCATGTGAAAATGCGGGGTTTTCGCCTTGCATTGATCTGCTTCTGGCTAGAAGAATATCCAAACGAAGCAAATGCATTCGCCACCATTCGGCAAGCAGGCAGCCAGCCAATCTCTTGAACGCACCATGGAAATCAGGAATTCTTGCATTCCTCCTCTGAGCCCTGATGATCTATTTGGGGAGTGGATAGCTGACCAGCCACAGCACGTCGCGGTACCGGTGGTGCCAGGTACCGGTACAGCTGTACCAGCTCCTGTTAGGATTGTCATGGGGACGTGGCGAAGAGAAATTGTTGGACGTGGAATCTTCAAGATTCGACGTTGTGAACACGTCACAGAACCGATTGGACACACCTCCGAACCCAGCTTGATCTGATGGAAGTCTTGCTTGTTGGTGCACTCTCACGGAAGCTCCTTCATTTTGTCTTGTTGATGGGAATATTCTGGAAACACAACAAGATAAAAGGAGAAAGGAGCAATGATAGCTCCTTCAAATCCTCGCCGTAAGGAGACGGCATTGACTCGGCCTCCAGAGACAGTGGCCTCGCTGCTTGCTAATGCCGACAAGATTCTATCAGATGTTGACAAGTCCTCTCTGATGCGGGTTCGTGAGAAGCGACTATACCCAACCTTTGATGCGTCGGAAGTGGATACTGGCGAAGTACTGGGTATTGGTGGGTTTGGGGTGGTCTCCGAAGTGTCCGACATTCGAGTGGATCGTAGTCAACCACAATCTGACGGGGAGAGTGACAGTCAGGACAGTCAGGGCAGCAAATGCGCTGGAATTGGCCACTTGCCAACAGTGACAATCGAGTTGCATCCTGAGCACCACGACCACCAAGACCGTCATTACGAAGTTGCCACTGCCAAACGTCAGATTGCTAGCAGAGTTATGCGATCAGGGAAAGCCCGTTATGCCATCAAGAAGTTGAACCCTGCCTTGTCCGAGCTTGATCGAACCAGGGGTATGATAGATATGGCTCTGGAAATCAAGTACCTGAGTGTGCTGTGGCATCCAAACATTGGTGAGCTGATCATTTTGCTTTCGGTTCTACCCACTGGGTATCTTACTGTTTCCCTCATAGCGCTAATGCTCACTCATACCTTTTGCGAACCATACACAGTGAAGATGAGAGGCGTCTGTACTGGTGACATGTTGCACCCGAGTCCTTCATCATCATGGACCGTCTTTTTGAGACCCTAGAGACACGCATAAAGAGTTGGCGATCTCAAAAGAATAGAATCAATGGGGTTTTTGGAATTGGAAGAGACAAGAATGCAAGAAACATGCTTTTGGTGGAAAGACTGATCGTGGCCTATGATCTAGCATCAGCATTGGCATACATGCACGAAAACTCCTTGATCTATCGGGATATCAAACAGGAGGTATGTTTGGCTGCTTCAACACCACTGAATATCTTGCAGCACGCACTCACCAAACCCACTCATCGTTGCCTAGAACTTTGGCTTTGATATCCGAGGAGACATAAAGATTTTCGACTTTGGACTTAGCAAGGCCTTGAGCCCAACTCTCTTGGCCAAAAAGTCCAAGACCATGTATAACTTGACCCCAGTCACTGGATCTATTCCATACAGTAAGTGGCCCTCTAGAGGAACAGGATCTCCAAATTGTATGTACTTCCTCTTCTATGGATGATACTTGCGCACTCACCTTGGCTGTGCAACTGCTGGACAGTGGCACCTGAAGTGACATTGAAGCTTCCCTACAATTGCCGGTGCGACTGTTTCAGTTTTGCCCTGTTGTTCCATGAGATCTTAGCACTGCGCAAGACACCCTTTCATACCTATCCTCCACAAGAGTATTTTCAACGAGTAGTGAAGGGAAACGAGCGTCCAACAATTCGCACCTCTTGGCCTGCCACCAATGTCCTCAAGAACGGTTGGGACTTTGACCCGGGAAAGAGACCGCCCATGAAGAGCATTGCCTCAATGATCCGGTCAGAGTTATATGAGAGGTCAGAGCAGGACTCTGTGCTGAATCGATCCATGTATATGAATGACAAGTCCATCCGCAGTTTGCAAGGTTTGGACTGTTAATGAATGAAGAAGGCCTGACAATGTTGTACTCGCACTATTTTGGATCCGAACGTGCAAGTTCATGACTTTTTGTTCTTTGGACTACGATGCGTTTGTGTTCCAACGACGGCCATGCTAAAGGTAGCTTCAATTGATTCAATACGTACTGCACGTACGTTATAGATATAGTAGGACGTGTTTGGCTTCGGCATCGCATCCAGCACCAAAGAAACCTTCCCACTGGTGGCACCAACCTCGGTGATAAGGCTATTAGCAGAGCGCAAACTTATTTTCCACTCCTGGATTCGTCCAAGGTCCGTCTCCAGGCCTCATTCCTGGACCAACTCCAGGACGTACGGTACTGGTACCTCTCTGGTCCATCTCCAGGCCCCATTCTTGGTCCCACGCCCAGAGCACAACTACATGTAGCATCCAAAAACAGCCCCGTAAACTCAGGTCCTATATGTGCGGTACCGGTATGCACCTGGTTCTACCTGCCACCCTGCGGTACGGTACTGGCTTCGACAACAAATAATTTTATTAAGTGCGTTTTGTGTACGTGGAAGCCAGCGGAGCCTGAATCATCATTCTCACTTCTTTCGCCTTGAAGAGGAACGAGGCCACCGCATGCCCAGCATTTCCTACTACGAAGATGCTACTAGTATCCATTGTGCTCGAGTAGTGTAGTGTATTTGGCTCTGGACCATCCTATGAAGTCAACGCCTCTGCTATCTACCATTCATTCCTTTGTCCTCGATAGATTGCTTCTTGACCCCTTCAGCGCAGTCCCTACCGTAGCTACCAGTATAGCTAGACGGTCTCTGTTCACCCATCCATAGTCGACACCGCTCAGTTCGTGACGAATCAGTTGTTGGACTATGCTTGTGGCTGGGTCCGATAACGGCGCAGAAGCATCCAATGGATCGCCATCGCAAGTAGAACTGACAGAGATTCCAAAGGAAAATGGCCACACTGCTGCTTCTGCTGCTTCAGTGGAAGCCTATGCAGGTGACGAGCCAACTGCCGACAGCAACGGCGGTCCGACAATAGAACCTCCCACAATAAAGAAGAGTGACTTTGGGAACTTGCTCGCAGGAACTTTGGGAAACACCCTGGAATGGTACGATTTTGCATTATTTGGATTCCTCTCCGACGTCATTGGAGGTGTCTTCTTTCCGTCGCATCAGCAAGGACACATGGCAATTACAGAGAGCTTCCTGGTGTTTGGTGTGGCATTTTTGTTCAGACCAATCGGTGGAGTTGTCATGGGCTACATTGGCGACAAATATGGAAGACGCAAGGCGTTGATTATCTCCATTTATTGCATGGCGTTCCCAACATTTGCAATGGGGTGCCTGCCGTCCTATGAAAGAGTTGGTGATCTTGCCATTGTGTTGCTTGTACTTGTCAGATTGCTTCAAGGATTCTCTGTTGGAGGACAGGTATGTACCGTATGTCTACGGTTTGTGTTCTGTTGCTGTGCCTTTGATTTGGCCCGGATCAAGAACCATTCAGCAATCCTCAATCCCCTTTTGCATGGACGGTATAGCTCATGGCCTCGGCCGTGTTCACACTGGAAGGTCACGATAGAGACCACTGGGGATATTATGGGTTAGTACAGAATCTGATTCAGTTCTTTGACGAGGAAAGTGTTGAATGGACGCACAGGACAGCTAACTAAGAGCCTCTATCGATTTCCCCAGCTCATTGGTCATGGCGACGGCTAACTTTGGCACGCTATTGGGGAGTTTTGCGGGATGGGCCCTCAGGTCCTTTTTGACAGATGAACAACTATCTACGTGGGGATGGAGGATACCCTTTCTCAGCGGAATCCTGGTTTCATTCTCGGGTCTCTACCTCAAAGGGCACGAACTGGACGACGACCATGGAACGCCAAACAACACGGACAAGAATGACGGTGCATCTCCTCCAAACGACAATCCACTCAAGTTGGCCTTTGCGCGACACAATCTGCGGTCACTCCTAGCGGCATCAATGGTGCCGATGCTATGGTCGTCAGGATTCTATCTTTCATTTGTTTGGATGGCAATCTTCATGGCAGATCTCATTGACGATCCTGTGCCGGGTTCGTTTGGGGTAAATGCCGGCGCCCTCTTCTTCAGTGTGTGCTTGCTCTTCCCGATAGCTGGCATGGCGTCTGATAGGTATGGCCGCAGAATCGTAATGACAGTTGGTGGTTTATCCGTGGTAGGTCGGAACAATGAGATTTGCCAGCACAAAATTTATTTGGATTTGTAATCTCAACGTCATTGCAGGGTATTCTTTGTCCCTTCTTGATTGTATTGATTGGAAGGGGCAACACAGCTCTGGCTTTTGCTTCCCAGACTGTCATTGGAATTTCTCTTTCCTGTTGGGGAGCGCCGATGATTGCATGGCTAGTAGAGTCATTTGAACCGGAAGCAAGGTTAACTTCTGTTGCGATTGGATACAACCTGGCCGTGGCATTGATAGGAGGCCTGACTCCTGCTTTGGCCACCTTCATCGTAGACTCCTTTGGGCCCGTTGCGCCTGGCTTCTTTTACCCTACGATTGCGGTCGTATCTTTGACGGGACTCTGGTTTGTGGCCCCTTCGGCAGCAAAACCAATGCTGGTCGCTTCAGATGATGAAGCAGAAGCTGGCATTGATGGCGGCCATACGAGGTCGAATGGAGACGTTCGGAGGCGACAAAAGAAAGAATTCTCTGCTGTCCCCAATGACGAATGTGTCCCAGACGACTTGGAACTGATATAGCTCCCACAGGTAGACGTGCCACACCCCTATCCTGCCGAGATGGCGGGGTACGGTATGTATCACCTAAAATTTTGATCAACCAATCCAAGAGTACAGTATTCATCACAACCATCTCCGATGCAGCGCTAGCTCTTTGGGAAATCCTCCAATGCTGTCTTCGATCAAAAACAATGTATTGTTGTTATCTCTCGATGAATTCGATCTTGAACATTGTTGGCCAGAGCTTTCCCGTTACCCAAAGTTCATTCTCGGGATTAATCGCTATGCCATTCAACACATCGGCAGAGAATGGTCGGTTTGGATAGAGTTGGGCCAAGTCATACAATGTCAAGACAGCTCCAGTTGTGATATCAATTCGAACAATATTGTCTGTCTGCCAAATGTTGGCCAATAAGGTTCCAGTTTCATTGTCCCATTCGATTTCATTCAGATTGAAGACACGTTCTGGTATAGATACAGCCGAAGTTCTCATTGTGACAGCAAGGCGCCCAACTTCCCGAAGGTCCCGATCCCAGAAATGCAGCACGTTGGACCCATCTGTGACGAGGAACTGGTCCAAAGTGGGGACGTAGGTTATGCCCCACCCCTCGTTTGTCTGTGTTGAGTAGGTGAATTGTTCCAACATATCCAAGGTATCGGCATCAAAGATGAACCCTCTTCGGCTTTTCCAAGTTATGTGAATCAAGCGACCGTCTGATTCTGATGTATAGTACGCCAATCCCTCGCCAAACACTTCTGGAGGTGTGTCTACTTTGAGAAGCACCTCACCAGATGCAATGTCAACCTTTCGTACACTCGATCTTCCGGTCAAGCCCGTAGATTCGTACACAACAGCACTGTCTTCCGGGTCAAAGGTAAGACCTTGTGTGAATGCATCAGGAGCATGAGCGATTGTGTCCAGAACAACAAAGCTGTCGACTATAGTTGCGAATTGTAAATCAAGAAGCGCAGTCGGTATTGTGATTGGATCCAACGTGGTAGGTGCTGCTGTGGGAATCTTGCTTGTGGGTGCTGCTGTTGGCATTTGTGTTGATGGGATATTCGAAGGTGCTAGTGTGGGGTGAGCAGTTGGAGTACCGGTACTGGGCGTCCAAGTTGGTGACAGCGTGGGTGTCTTTGAGGTCGACGATGCACTTGGTGCTGTTGTGGGATTCTTGCTTGTGGGTGCTGCTGTCGGTGTTTTGGTTGGCATTACTGTGGATGGGATATTTGAAGGTGCTATTGTGGGGTGAGCAGTTGGAGTAGAGGTACTGGGCGTCCACGTTGGTGACACTGTGGGTGTCTTTGATGTGGACGATGCACTTGGTTCAAGGGAGGGAGATGCGCTTGGAGTGATGGTTGGTAGTCCACTTGGATTTGGGTTGGCTGTTGGAGACCGGGTTGGCAATCTAGTCGGCAAGTGTGTTGTTGCTTCACTAGGAGTTTCAGTTGGGGCATCCGTGAAGCTGGTACCGTTGGAACTGAAGAATGTACCGTTTGCGGTTGTGTTTGTTTCATTCGATGCTGTTGTAAAGTCCTCTATTTGAGCGTCAAAAATAATAGTGGGAGCTATTGAGGAAAGATTTTCGAAAAGTGCAAGATCTTCTTCTTTACCGGAACGCATCGAGCATATCCTCGTCCGACACATCATTGTCCTCAGTTGGACGCGATTGCTCACCATTATTTCTTCTAGAGGAAGTCACTAGCACAGCTGGGACAACTGTAACAATCACGCAGACTAAAAGGATCAAGACGATTAGGAGTTGTGTACTTCTCCTGGACGCTGGCTCAGCGTCTATATGGTTCATCTTGCTTGGTTCGATCTTTGATGAGTTGAGCATCCATGATTGGCAACAAAAGGCAAAAATTTTGTGTCTTGGGGAAGAAATCCCACGAGCCAGCCACCTCCCAGGGACTCCCGAGACCACCCAAGCAAACCATTCCAACCACGCAAGCCTGGGATTCAACCTACTGTGATTGAATTCACTGGTTTCGATGGCTCAGGAGCTTTGGTCCGTTCCTCAGATCTCCTTGACTCATAAACCAAAAGTCAAACACAAACAAAACAGAAGGCAAACCTAATAGAAACACAATGAAGATCAACAGCACATCCTTTCAAAGCACACTGCTTGTCCTTTTCAGCCTGCTTGGCTTGTATGCAACACCAGCACTAGGTCAGAGATGGCAGCAGGAGCACCAACAATTGAATGCCAACAGGAACAAATGGAAGAGTCAGAGCATTCAGAACTATCAGTATACGTACCAAAAGCTTGGCCCCAACCCCCAAAATATTGCCTATCCCTGGACTGTCATTGTCAGGGGTGGAGTCAATGCAAATGCAAACGATGGAAACAACAATCCTATCTACTGGGCTACTCCTCCAACCATGGATACTTTCTTTGGAATCATCCAAGATGCAATCATTAACAATGCCCAGAGAATCAGTGTAGGCTACAGCCAGGAGGGATACCCAACCAACATTTACATCCAGAAGAGCAACGGAGAAGTCTATGATGTCACAATTTCAGGCTTCCAATCGCAGAGACTCCGAAAGAGAAACCTCCAAATTCAGAGATGGCAGCAGGAACACCAGCAGTTGAATGCAAATGGAAGAGTCAGAACATTCAGAACTATGAATACAAATATCAAAAGTTTGGCCCCAACCCTCAAAACATTGTCTATCCTTGGACTGTCATTGTCAGGGGTGTCAATGCAAATGCAAATGATGGCAATAACAACCCAATCTATTGGGCTTCTCCTCCAACCATGGATACTTTCTTTGGAATCATCCAAGATGCAATCATTAACAATGCTCAGAGAATCACTGTAAGCTACAGCCAGCAGGGATACCCAACCAATATCTACATTCAGAAGAGCAATGGGGAAGTCGAGTAAGGTCAATTTCCTGAAATCCTGAAGTCAGGACCCCTAAGTCTTCCACCAGTCCCACTTAATCCCACTTCAGGAAATTAACCCCCCACCCCAATCCCACTTCAGGAAATTAACCCCCCCCCGACTTCAGGACTTCCTTGGCTCTGGATTTTCGCGATGAAGCTCCTCCACAGGCATGAACCAAGGCACCCAGACTCCATCTCGTACCCAGACTCGAACCCAGACTCGAACCCAGACTCCATCCCAGACTCCATCCCAGATTCCATTCCACAGTCAAAATCAGATTGATCACGGACATCATTTTTCCTCCCTCAACCCAATCGAAAATGGCATCGGACAACAGCTCTGAGTCCGAATCTGACCAAAATTCCAAGCATCAACAGTGGCTACAGATCTGCCAACGGTACAACCTCCAAACTGCCCAGGCAAACTGTCAAGATGCTGTAGCGGCTCGCCAACGTGCAGATGCTGTGGTTGAGTACAAATGCATGTGCATTCCCGTGCAATACAGACAGAGCTACCTCAGCACCCACTTTGATACCATTCTCTGCAGATCTTTGCAATCACGGTGCATGGACGCATGGAGCATGGGCTCTAGTAGGAGCTCTTCTGAGGACGAAGCTGGGGACAAGACTGGTGACAATGCCGTGGGAGTGACTGTAGACGAGACTGGTGAAGTCACTGTGGACGTGACTGGGGAAGTGGCTGGGGAAGAGCCTGGAAATGATCCAGAGCAACCCATTGTAGTCTTTGGGGGGTAGAAGGGGCTCCAGAAGCCTTTGGTGGTGATGTACAGAGTGCCGAAGTCAGGGTGTGGTTGCTGAACTGGAATCTGTAATCTCCTGAAGTCACCCTTAAGCCTGGCCCAGTCCCACTGCAGCACTTCAGGACTTCAGGAAATTAACCCATCCCGGGGAAGTCTATGATGTTGGTGTCTCTGCCTTTGTCTCACAGTAAAAGCACAATGATGGGCATCATACATGGATAGAGAGAATAAAGATCTAGATATAAACAATAGAGAGCAAAAATAAATTATCTGCCAATGTTGACTTGGGGCTTTGGTTGGTTGTGTGTGGCCTCGAACCCTTTCACGCCTTCCTCCTTGTAGCCATTGTATTTGGGAAATGGCTCCACGCCAAGCGCACGTTTTCATACCTTGTGATATTACCGGCAGAGTAGAATGGGCTACCGGTAGGAGAAAAGATCAGAAGGAAGAGAAAGGTTGGCTTTCTAGCTTCTCTCTTTGTCCGTCTGTCCGTTTCCTCCCTCTCGATGACAAAAGCAAAGAATTGTGGTTTGTCTTCGAAGGGGAGCACCACTGGTGGAGCTTTTCCGCCATCTCCCTTGAGCGTACGACTGTACCCCTATGGAAATATGACGGGTCTGACCAAACCGACTAGTTACGTATACCGGTACATCAAAATTGAAACCTTGTGTTAGCTTTTCAATGTCTAGTAGCTAGCTAGATCGTATGGTCGTGGCAGAAGTGTTGGCCACAAACGCCGTCGTATGGAAGGGCGGTCTCCCTTGCCACCCTTTAGCGACCATCAAACTCCCCGTCGAACGATTTGAAGCCGGTGAGCTTGAAAATCGGGTAGAATTTCTTTTGAGGGAGCTGAGAACACCAGTTCCAAGCGGAGGTCAAACGACCATCAATACAGGACCCGGCGTCATAGAAATTGTCCGCACCAGACCCATCAAATGCCGAGCGGAAAAAGTCGTACAGGATATCCTTGCGGAGCTTCTCAAGTCCGCCAAATCCTGTCTCAATCATCTCGTTGATCCCAGCGTCTTTCTCGCATATGCGTTCGAGATTCTCCAAGCACGAAACGATTGGGCCGAGGATGCGAGGAACTGGTACAATACTCGATCGTGAGAAAAACTTGTCAATCGACAATCCTACCTTGCAAAACTGCAAAACAACTTCAAACCTACCTTGAGTGTACTTGTCAATGAAGCTGAGGGCATTTGGAACATTGTGATCCCCCATATGAATCACACTCGACCCGATCCAATGTGAAACTTTCGCTTGAACCCGAACAAGAATCTTCTGCATTGCTTGATAGGTACGAGGTGATTGTTGAACCCTCTGCATTCCCTGACCAGTATCTTGGAGCGAGTACGTGACAGTTTCACTCAAGAGATCTTCTTCGGCCATTGCCCAAAGACGAAACTGATTGAAATCGGCAAGGTTCCAAGTTAACATGAAAGCTTCGAATAGAAAACTCCAAAGAGACGTCGTGGAGGCAAAGACTTACCATGTCATCAATGATATCTCGCCAGAGAGTCAAACTCTGCAGGGCAAAGTAGTACTGTCGTTCGTGGCTATGGGACAACCTAGCGCCATCCTCGCCACTCACGATACTCAGTGAATACCCTTCTTCGATTTCGGTGGGTGAAACGTGAGTTTTGAGAAAATCAATCACCTTGTCAATCGGAACTCGGTTGGAGTTCAAGAAGGAGTTGTTGTCGCTTTAATCAGAAGCAAAGGATAAAAGAGAACCATAAGTTAACACCAAGAGTCCTGAACGATTGATAGAGACGAAGACGAGCCACTTACCAAATGGAATACAGACACAAGTGTATCTCCTCTGCGCTGAGTTTGCTCGAACGGTAATTGCGTTTCAGCAAGGCCACCGCTCGCTCTTTCTGCCGAATCTCCTGGTCAATGCGAGCTCGCGTTTTCTTCTCTGCCAAAATTTCTTGTGTTGCCACTTCAATCAATTTGTCAGAGAGGAGAGCTAGACCATCCTTCTCTTCGAGGAATTTGTAGACGGATTCGATCGGTCCTTTTGCAGAAAAAGCAAGATGCGGTTGCACCGACGGTGAGACGGCGTCTTGAAGCAGAAAGATCAACTTTCCGTATTCGGTCCGCATTTTTTCAGGATTCATGATTTTGTGACGCCGCGCAATTTCAAACATTCGCTGAAAGAAAGATTCAAACTCTGCAAAGTTTTCCGTCTTGAGCAGCTTTTGCCCTGATTCGTAATCGCAAGCAGTGACGACTCCCCGCAAGACAGCCGTCGTTCCTTTGAGTTGTTCGTGTGTTCTCCGAGCCGCCGATTTGAACTTTCTATCCACCTCTGTTGTGTAGTCGCAGCAAACCATGGCTGCTTCCATCAACCGCAGCATCTTTCGCTCGGCAAGGCTGAGGCGAAGAGGAATATATTTGGCTCTCTCTTTCACGGACTTGTGCGAGTTGTCAATTTCAGCGGAATCTACCAAGAGGCCAAAAACACCGACGTTCAGCCCAAGTCGCGACTACAGCAAAAACAAGCAAGAGCTCGGGACGACGACTGAAGCTTACCTTCTGCCTGTTCGTCCATTCCCGGCACTGGTTCCATCGAGAGCTCTCCATTATTGTTTGCCTGTTGCTTGAGCTCTTGTATGATTGCCTTTTCCTTCGCCGATGCCTCCAGGATTGCTCTGGCTCCCTCCTCATCGGACGAGAATTGCACACTGTACTGTGTGGTTTCGAGAATCTTGATGAATATTGGCTCCAACTTGCTCTCGTCCAAAAGCCCTGCTGCAATGGCCTTGTCGTTGAGACGAATGGTGATGCTAGTTCCCGAATCACCTCGGACATCCTCAAATTTGTCATATCCATTTTCCACCGACAGTTCTCCTCCTTCAGCCATGGGTCGGGTGATGCTAAATTGTTCAAAGGCATTGTCAGCAAGAGGAGCACCTCTCATGTCGTTCAACTCAAAATCATAGAAATCGTCAAACTTGGACTAAACACAGCATTTGTTGAGGTGACCGAATCGAATGAGCCAAAGTAATGAAAAAGAAAATAGCTGGCCACTCACCAAGACCACAACAAACTTACCTTTGTCCCCACTCGCACACCCAGCCCCAAGGCACAGACTGCTGCATAAAATCCTCCAATGTCGCTCCTTTTGCACGACAACATGTCGGGTTGCTTATTCTGCTGCTGCTGCGCCTGCGCGCCACTATTGTTATTGTTGGTTTCCTCAAAAATGTCTTCGTCGTCGTCGTCTTCGGCAGCGGCTCCCTCTTCCTCGTCTTCTTCTTCATCGTCACTGGATTCGTCGTCGTCGTCTTCATCTGTCGAGTAATAGGCATTTGGCTGCTGGTCCTTATTATTCTTGCGATTGTTGGGTGACTGAAGCTGTTGCTTTCCAATTCCCAGTGTATTGATCAAATCGGCTCGTGTCATTCCGGCTCCCAAATCCGTCAAGGTGAGAGTTTGCTCTTCAGCATCGGCCCGAACACGTAAGCAAAGGCGATGCTGAAAGCACTCATGCTGGCGTACAACGGGAGGGCTGTCGTGAAAACAAGAAAGAAAGATCCAACCAGAGGTGAGCAAGTCAAGCAAAACAAACAATCCAATCTCATTTTCATTCATTCATTCATTTCTTCTGTCTCACCTGGAAAAATACATGGAATCCATGGCCTCCAACGAGTTACCCACCAGTTCTGCCAAGGCCGATTGGATCGACTCGGTCTCCACAGACCCTTCATCACCACCCGCCGAGTAGGCTGCTGCCGCTCTTCGGAGACGTTCCGTCAGCGGCAGGGGAAGGGGATACGATGCTCTCGTCACATCATGGCGGCCTGGCTCTTCGTTGCCATTGTCTTCATTCTGCATGCTGTAGCGTCTAAAGTGGTCTTATGATTGTAGCTATGATATGTAGGCTCTATTGGATAGTATGGTTGGATTGGATTGGACGAATGGAAAGATCAAAACAGCAAACAATGCGCCATGGCCTCAATCATCAAAATGACGGCAGCCAATCGTTTCCGCGACCGACGAGGAAACGTTATTTTGGTTTAGTCCAGCCAGATCCGTGACTTGACTTGACTCGCAACGGATACTTCCAGAGGGGGGAAATGTTTACCCCCCCCCACCATACCGTATCCCGATGCGTGCAGTAGGTGGCTCATATAATCTGGATTTTGCATTTCCTGTTCTGAGTAACATGCTAGCTAGCAGTCAAGAAGGGGCCAAATTTGGGACTAGGTTCCCTGGGATCAAGGGCGGCAACTGGGGACCAACAACAAGGGCCAAAGGGCTTGATTCGGATTCGATTCCAATTTAAAAAATCAGAATGCCAAGCTGGGGATTTTGATTCCATTGTTCCAATCCACTCTATTTCCAAAACAGGACTCGACTCGAGCTTGGCTTACCTGGTCATACCTAGAAAACAAGAGAGTTCCTTGGGGATACTTACTTTGGTTTGATTACAGCACTTTGCTACCTCCCATGACATACTCGCATCAGATAAATTGCTAGAGTAATCCAAGCTAGCTAGTACTGGATGCAACGTTTATCAGCAGCTCAACTACCGTACAGCTCCATAAATTCCAAATATTTTTTTGCCCCCATCGGATGGGGAAATCCTGTGACATTAAAGGCTGCATGATCAGAGCCCACTCTCTTAGCAATAAACAGTGGTTGTGGTGCTTAACATAGTATGGCATGGTAAACAATTGTCAAAAACACGATAAATCTGTTTAAAAATTGCGATAAACAGTGTTAACGATGGCATCATTGCAACAGAGGTGGGCAATCGTTTGAGGGGGGCGAGCTATTTTACACCCCCCACCGTCAATCTTTCAACCGTATCCTTCCCAGCGAAAGAAGACAAATTGGTCTGTCATTTATTGCGAAGCAACATCAAGGAGAAGCACTCCGAAGCGTGTTGACACTTTTGTGCTACTAGTCTAATAGCAACATTGCCTCCCTCTGCTTTCTCCTCGATCAATAGACGTGTCAAGCAGACGTCTACATCACCCCACATCAGGCAACACGTAGAAGAAAAAGTTTCAAGTAGACAGTTGTTATAATAGCAACAAAAATGGCAAGCTCCACGGAAGATCCAGCAGCATCGGATGCCTCCACGCCCAATGGTGATGGCGAAGCGGTAGGCAAACGACGAATCGTCAAGGCGCACGCTCCCAAGGCATCCGAGAATGGAAAGGATGGTGAAGTCTATTCCTATCCCAGTCCAACAGGAGCCAGCAATGGAACTCCCAATGATAATGACCACGCCGATGATGAAGACATCCCCGCCACCACCACCAAGCGAAACAAAAGTAGCAATAAAGATGATGACGACCAGACTACCGAATGGCGAAACGAACGGTTGAAATTGACGGGGAAAAGAGGCAAGGCTCTCCGTGAAAAAGAGTTGCAGGAACGACGAAAGAATAATACCGCCAATGAAAGCGCCAATGCCACGGCCAATCCATTTTCTCGATTCCTTTCGGTCTTTTCGGTGGAACCCCAATTCCCAGAGCACAAACGATCCTTGGAAACCGACGATGATAAAGAACAACTGCAACCAAGTGGAAAGCGATTGAAGGCCTCGACGGATGATACTGACGATGATGATGATATTGACAAAACAAGCTCCGGTGGAGTATCGTGGATGGTGGCGGCCGCTGCAGTGGCGGCCGTAGCGGTAGGCGTGGCGATTGCACTTCAGCGTGGTCGAAAGCCATAGAAAGGAAAAAGAGGTGAAGGTGGTGCTATTCATAGCAATCACCGTCTGTTTCGACATATTTTTTACAGGAATGGGCATGCATGGACTGGAAATCCTGTGTAGTGCTTAGTCCAAGATGAATGAGTGGAATCCAACATTTCGGGTGCCCTATTAAATGAAACTACTGCATCATACAACACACATAATGTAATCAGCCTGACAGGCAAAGCGAAGTCGTTCCCTGCTTGGGTCGTCAGAGCGATCATTCACCGTCTCGTTCGCTAGGTGTCAAAATTCTGGAGGTAGCACTAATTTGCTCGAAGTATCTGGGCGGGTGCCTTGGTTCGTGATCCAGGGAAGAACCAAAGTCAACTACATTTTCAACGCCGATTGGCATTTCGCACATGTCTAGATGGAATGATGAGCCAAGTGGTTGAGGCTAAAGCGATGAATCGACGGTGGATCACAAGAGTCGAAGAGCGAGGACACTTTCGCTGTCAAGAGACTAAGGAAAATGTTCATTTTGAGTGCCAAATCGCACTGTGATTGATTTCCCTGTTCCTTTGTTTTCTACATAGACTTTTATCTACTAGTACTAGTATCTCTGTGATTGCCTTGTTTCTCGGCTCATCACTCCGTTCTGGCTGGTCAGTCGTTTTTGCTTCTGTTTTCTGTTTTGCTTGCTTTTGCTTCGCTTCAAAACAAATAGATGACCTCTGAGTACAGATTGCAATTGTAGTGCCCTCCTGGAAGACCTTTCGGCGGAAGGTTGGAAAAATGAAAGCAGGAGTAGGCACCATTCAAACTTTTTATACCTCAGCCACTTGTGTAATGGCGTGGGGCTTGAAATCCTCCTCGGCGTAGGGTTCCGTCTTCACGACAGCGGTGCTGTGAGAGGGGTGAGAAAAGTGGAGCAAGAGACTCTCCTCGGGCTCAGTCATGCCATGAGAAGAGTGCGACAAGTGGAGCAAGAGAGGTTCCTCCTCGGGTTCTGTCTTGGGCACGATATTCTGAGAAGTATGGCAAAAGTGGAGCAAGAGGTCCGCCGCTGCCGGCGTTGAAACGCTATGCTTTGCAACACTGTGCTTGGAACGCTTCGACGCAGGTGTGATATTGGATCGGCCCTTCTTGGCCTTTCTCTTTGACTGCCGACGAGCAACGGGAGAATCCAAGGTGTCGTTCGAACCAACTCGTTCGGGGACCCCTGCAGCAGTTGCCAAAAGTGCAGCTCCACCATACTTCTTGAGTTCTTCCTGGAGAGCATTGATGAGCGCGTAGTTGGGATGGCTCTTTGTCGCGGTAGCCTTTGCAATTCCAAGTACAGTGCTTCCTTCATTTGTTTTCTCAAGGATCGCTCCAGGGTTTGCTTCTAGCAGCATGCGAAGTTTGTCCGGGCTGACATGTCGACTGACAGCAACATGGAGGGGCAAGTACCCTTTCTTGTCCTTCATGAATGTCGCCTTCGATCCAAGGCTCACCATCACTCGAGTGAGCTTGGGAGAGACGTAGTCTATAACGCAAACAAACAAACGAAAAAGAACGTTTGAACGAAGGTTTGTAAGTGTTTGAGAAGAAAGGAAGCACCGCACCATTCTTGCAACTTACCAGTGAAGACAATGTGCAACGGAGTACGTTGTCCCACACCACCTGTTGTATTGGACAGCAAAGGAAATCATGTGAGCTTTGTATAAATGTGTCCTCGCATTGCTTGGCAACTCGACAGGACGAACCTGCTTGCGCCAACGCCTCAGGATAGGCTGTGATGAGTGCCATAATCACTCTCTCTTTCGTTTTGGCATTCATCTTCACGTTCCTCTGGCACGCACAGTGAAGACAAAGGCTTCCATAGCCATTGGCAATGGTTGCCGCTTCCGGTGTGTGGCTGAGGATTTGCAAAATGACCTGTACAAACAGACGTTAGTCCCAACACTAGCTAGCTAGAGCGACGACTCGACTCGACTCGAAACAAACGACTCTTGCAACTCACTTCAGCTCGAGCTTGGACGTCTCCCTTGCTGGTAATGGCTTGGTGACACACAGTCGTCGCGATGTGGTTGTCCTTTGGTGAAGCAGAGAAGATGAGACGCGACGATGCTTTCGTACCACTCTCTCGCACAGGCCGAAAACGACTCGAAACTCACCATAACCATTGCAGTTATTCCAATCAACGGATTGGTCTTCAAACACTGTAGACACGACGCCCAATGGTTCTTGCGACAGAGCGCAAACACAGCGTCCATTTCCTCCTTGGAAGGCGCATGACGATTGATGCCGCTCATGGTTTCGTGTCAGAAAGGCTTGTCGTCGAAAGAAAGAAAGCAACCAAGAAAAGAACGACGATAGATCAAGAAGAGGTGAGATTGTGTCGAGGTGCGTTGTGGGCCATGTTGGTACGGACATGGACCACTTCGAAAGGATCGGAAGCCTTGAAAGGCAAACGATGGATCGCAACTGACAAGTCCCACGATCGTCCTTGTGTTTCGCACTCCCACAAACGCTTGAGAATCGACTCACATTCAAAGAGCTACGACGAAGACTCGAACGTGCGTGATCGAGGAACTCTCTTGATAGAGACAAACGCCTCTTCTTTCATCCAACTTTGAGTATCAACAAGAATCGTAACGCCAACAACAAGACCAGCAGCGTGGAACTGTTATCAATTGTTGCATGAGCTCCGAAGTGAGAAACATCGAAGTGAGAAACTTCGAAAAGGCAAAAGTTAAAACAACGCCTCTCTCGAGATCGCAACTTTGCTGGCTAAGCGCGATTGTCGGCTCAGAATAAACTGACAATGAAAGATTTAGGGACAATCTTGACTCGAGACTCAAATTCGGAGTCGCTCTTTCACTTGGTGTTCGGTGTCACCAGTGTCACCACTTCCAAAAAGTTGTTCCGCGCAACACACCGAAGACCAAAGTCAAGTCTGTGCTGTGCTGTTGCCTTGTTCCTCTGTTGCTTTCTCCTTCTCCATTACTGAGTATTTGATAGCTCAAGCCGCATTGGTTGAAGGTGTTGCCATTCTAGCATCAGGAACACCTCAGGAACACAGAGAGTCCCATTGTCGAGAAGCCGAAAGCTGTGTCATCTTCGGAGTACCAGAAGCCACTTTTGCCCTGTTAATACCTGTGTGAAACTTTTTCGCCGACACTGCCACCGACTGCCAAAGAAGAAGGAAGAGAGAAGAAATCCTTTATTTTGTGCAAGCTGACAAGAATCATCGTGAAGAGTCAAGCCAAATGCCTACAGCTTGCAGGAGGTGACCACTCGCTACAATACACTCCCAATCACCAGTTCTTTCCGATTGTTTTCATTTCATCTCCTTAACGAGAACAATGCCAGCCTCCACTCCCCAACCAACACCAGCAACTTCTGCTACAAGTTCCAGCAAGAACGGGGAATCATCATCGGATCACCAAAGCAACAACCAGCAAAAAGACAGCAATAAGGAACCTACCAGCAACAATCTCAATATTATCTTGTTATGTTGTTGTCTACTGGGCATTGGTACCATTACAGGATACACAGTCTTTTACTTTATTTTCCGTGGCAAGTGCGCGAATTTGTTGACGGCCAAAGATCAACGCCACAATGCCAGTCAAGTGGAATTACAATCCAAGTACTCCAGAGCATTGACCGACGTTCGACAATGTCAAGAAGATTCCAATGCCAAGGGAGAATTGCAAGAATTGCAGGGACGACTGCAAGCCCAAGCCAAACTCTCTGACAAGCATCAAGACTTACTGGAACGTCACGAACGAACTCTGGAACGAATATCCCAATTGCAAGCATCGGAGGATGCTTCCAAGTCGCAGATTCAAACACTCCAGGACCAAGTCAAAACGGTGCACTCATCTCTCGAAACCACATCCAAAGAATTGGGGAATGCGCAACGAGAACGAGATGTCATGCAGCGTGATCTGACCCAACAAATGAGTAATATCAACAATCTACTTCAGGATCGAGAAACTGAGAGCATGGAATTACGAGAGTTGTTGGATTCCTGTGATGACAAGATCAAAAATGCCGAAGGACAATTGGCAGAGCTCAGAAATTTGGTCCAGCAACAAAATTATGCCAACATTGTTGCCATGTAAGTGGTACCAAATTGGAGTGTTCTGTGTTTTGTGAGGTGATCATTGGCGCTAACTGCAGGATTTCTCTTTCCCTTCTAAAGGTTCGGTGAAGGACCTTACATCGTTCGGTTCAACCTGGAATTCCCCTATGAACCTGTTGAGCCCAATTACTTTGAAATCAAAATATTTAACGCGCGTGATATGCCTCACACCGTCTTGACCTTTTTAAACCTCATTGACAATGGACTCTATGTGGACACCACCATTGACTTTCAAAAGGACAAAATCATCAAGGGTGGCAGTCTGGCATCAGTCGAACCGCAAGCAGGAAAGAACTTGCGGTCAACAGTGCTGCGTCGCTTTGCCAATTTTGGATACTCTGCCCACAATACACTCTTCTTTGAAAACGAATCATCACCCAATGCACCTTGTCGACATTCCAGTTTTGGATTGCATGAACGAGGTCCTGGTTTCATCATTTACTTGACCAATGACATTCCAGAAGGAGAGAATCCCAACAACTGCCCAGGAGTCATTGTCAAGGGACGAGACACGCTGGAACGCGTCTTGCATGCCCATACCAACACTCGTGATGGTGGCGAATTGACATGGAAGGTTCCTATTGTGGCAACCTATTTGGCTTCGGTAGAAGATGAGTTGTAGTATAATTAATTTTGTGCTGCTGTTGCTTGGTGGGAAGCAACGAACAAGCAATTGGGGTACGACGATATTGTGATGGTTCAATCCAATCTACATCTATGCAAGCAGAGATGGTTTTTCATTGTCAAGAGCAAGCTAATCAGACGGTATAAGGCAAAAACTGCACATAGTTCTTGACGTGTACGTGCATGTATCCTCGTGAAATGAACTTCTCACACAACGCCCCCAATACTATACCGTTGTAGCTACTTAGCGTGCAGCCACGGGCACAAGTCCGTTCCGGTAGAGGGAGCCACAATACTCGAGTGACAAGTCTGGAACTATCCCAGCTACCGGCACGGTAACCAGAGCTAACCTTCCACGTACCTAATTGACAGTTGTCCGTTCGAATGGCGCTCTAAAACTGTTTTGGCAGGCAGTGGCAAGCTAACAGCTCATTGTCGTCGCTCAAGATCGCAAATCCGAGTGGACCGGTATCACGAAACACAACTTTTTGAAATGAAGGAAGAATGGGGGGACGACTACTAGCAAGTAACTGTACCGTACTAAAGAAACTCAGAACGTACCGGTACAAGTATCTCTCATGAGGCTTCAGGCAAAAACAACCCACAATCGTTGATGGGCATTCTTGGCATATCTTTGCACCTGGAATCTGGCACAACAATCATCGTTTCAATGGGCATGTCGAGACATGGATCAAGTCTGTTGCACCATGTAGCTCGCAACTCTGCTGGGTGGCACGATATGAAAAGTTGATACTTCTCTACTTAGAGGTGATCCATGCTTCAACTCCCGCAATATTTATGCGGGTACCATTTTTTCCGCCATTCGAGTTGCCGTTGCAGAACCCGAAATATTTCATCTTCACATCGTTGGCACGTTGAACGTTGGCACTGCTGTTTGGATTTGGGATTCACCCATTGTGACACTCAAAACATGCCTTTGCCGGCCTATTTTGTCGAGGAATGGCAGGAGCACCTCTTGGCTGGATTGAAACTTGGAACTTTGTCCCGCTCACCGCTGCCGTCATCATCAACTTCGAGCACGCGAGAGGACGGGGATCACAAGCTTCTACCAGTTGCCACCACCACCAACATATTCTTTGTTTTGAAAGTGTCAATTCTTTATAGCTCTTGCCAACACCATACTGGGGTGGTTGCGGGGCAAGAACTATGAAACCAAGAAATCTCCTCTTGGCGGCACTAGTCGTTGTGACGGCAATCTTAGTTGTCGCGTTCGTTGTAAACTTTGAGCAATTGCTCGTGAGAAAGAATGCCTCCCATGAGATTAACGAAAATGATGGCCTGATCTGCCATGTTGAGCTCACTCTAATGAGCTTGGACAACGGAGGAGACGAAGAAGACTACGAATGTGTTGTAGTCTCCACGAATAAAGATTCTGCTTTGATTCCCGATATGTCAGTTGCCATTGACCTTCCATTGGCGTTTATCTACAACAATCGAAAAGCTCTTGATGATGGAGATCTATATATCCAGATTCCCGGGGGTTCAGTGAATCAAGAGTTTGTAGAAGGCTTTGGCCTTGTGAGTACCAATGTCTCTATCCCTCCCTCTTCCGAGATTTTGGTCCTGAACGCCACTGAAGTTAGTTCCATGAGGCATCACAGAAAACGAAGAAGGCGCACTTCTGAACTAAAACGAGAGCTAGCGGATGGAATGGGTGTCCGGACTGTTATGGTGTTTCGAATCACTACAGACAATGCTTCACCTGAGATTGGCGCCACTGAAATCGAAGAGAGAATGTACAGCACAACCCAGTTTTCGTTTGCCTCCCAATTTGAGAAATGCTCATTCGGAGAGCTGACATTCCAGCCCTTTGATTTGCAAACACCTGTGACCGAGCTGTATGTGCCTGGGGATGTTGAGTCCTTCACCGAGCGAACCATTTTGAATGCTGCAACGAGACAGGCTGCGGCACTCTTTGGTTCTGACGTTTGGGACACTGTCGATCACGCCATATTCTGTATGCCTGATGGCACTACGGGGAAACCATACATTGCCTATTCTGGAGTGGGCTCTTTCTTTTCTGTTTATCATAACGTGAGGTGCGCCTACCCCACAACAGGTATGTAGTGGTATAGGACACAGCTTGTTGCTTGACTCTTTTGACAGTAATCCGGAAACTCACACCAGCTCTGTCATCGAATTATCATTCGCATCGACATTTCAGTGATGCACGAGATTGCTCACAACTGTGGTAAGCATACTTGATGCTGGCATGCACCATTTCCCGATGTCTTCTGATGCATCTCATTCTTCAAATGCCGTCCTCCCAGGTCTCGGGCATGCCTTTGAGAACGGAGAGGAGTACGGGGACGAGACGTCCATCATGGGATTCTCATCAAGTTCCAAAACAGGACCGAGTAAGTGTTTTAATGGGCAAAACATTTGGCATTTTGGTTGGTTCAAGAGCAGGTCAATCATGGTTGATCCATTTCAAGGGCACCATGTGGTCGAATTGGCCCCCTTTGTCGACTACGACAAAATAGAAAGCTATCAGGCAGTCCTTATCACCGTGTTTGACATGCACTTCGTCTATAACCGAGCAAAAGGCTTCAATTTTGAAACAAGCGAGTACCAAAACAAAGTGACAATTGCAAAAGAGCAAAACGAAATCAACTCGGAACTGATGGCGATGATTGATATGGAGCATCCAATCTTCACAATAGAGAACGTCTTCGGAACAGGCAAGTCTCTTTATGTAGAGCTGTGTGAATTGGTGGCTGGTGACGCAGGGGAAGACTACTACGTTGTTAGCATTGGCCTTGATTACAGCATGTGCCCAACCCCCAAACCACCAAAGTTAACTCCGAGCCCTACAGTGAGACCGACACCAACCCCGACTCCAAAGCCATCTCCTCGTCCTCTTTCAGTCATCAATTCGCCATGGCTAACACCCAGGCCATCTCCAATTCCATCCCCATTTCCAACCCCTGGGCCAACGCCCTTCCCAACCCCATGGCCCACCCCTTGGCCCACCCCTTGGCCAACGTTCCGACGAACCCCTGGGCCTACCTTCCCGACAGTACCGAACCCAGGCTCAAATCACCACTTCGACCCTCCGAGCTACGTCGTTGACATATCTGTGATGACCCCCGAAGGAATTCACTTAACGCCACAACCATCTGTATCCGAGCCAATGCCTGAACCTGTTGATGTTGTGCCTTATCCCAACCAACCCGACGACATGGTACTGGTACCATTCGAGTTTCCACTTCAGCAGACTCAAGTACCCAAAAGGCCCGGTGAATCAAAGGAACGTCCAAGAATACCCCATCCGTCAATGTCACCAACGCCTGGCAATTTCATTGAAGTGGACGGTGAAGATGCACCATACATTGATAAGATCACCGCAACGATAGAATCTGACCCCGACAGTGTCGCAATTGGTTTTCTTGTTGCTTCGCTTGTGGTGCTTGGGTCATGCTTGTTTTGTGTTGGCGTCCGATGGGGACAGCGGCGTTGGGCAGAACGGAAGCGAAACATGCAAATACTTCAGTACGATGAAAGCTCGAGCGAAGTGAAGATCTACGTACAAGATCCGAAGCCCATGTGGAGTCCATTGTAGAGCAGCCAGATTTGCTCACGATTTTGAAAGCACACAAGATCTGAACACAAGATCATCTATCTGTTGAGCAGCCCCAACGAATCCATTAACTTGACGTTCCGGGATATCTGCAAACAGACTAGTGGAAGCATGAACATTGCTTCGACGGTGCTAAGCCCCCGCTCCTGCTGCACTCACACCTCCTCACATCAAGGGAGGTCTGCATTCGCTCAGCTGGTCGTGCAGATAGCTTGTAAAAAGCGAATTGCAGCAGACGCAGTTACCAGCATCCGGTACGAGGCCGTCTGAAAGTTGACATAAATTAGGTTGGGAACGGGTTCTTTAGGTTTAAACAAAACGATTATACCCAAGTAAGCTGTACTTCGTTGCTCGCAAGTCATGTGCACTTAAGATGCTGGTATAGCTAGCATAACGGCAACGGCAAAAGCAACACGGCGTGGGACGGAAACCATGTCGGTGACACAGCCAATCCTGCCTTGTACCAATGGCGCACTCTTATGACGGATTTGAACTCCTTTGTTTGGATCGGTCAAAGACCTCCTCCCATTCCACGACCACTCTGCGGATTGGTGTGGATGTGCTCCGACGAGCATACCGCATTTCGACGAAGCAGCAGTTTGCAACAATTGGCATGGTAGGGAGCTAGTTACCAAGGAGTTTTCGTTGGCAGCGTATGATAACTGTCATCCACCACTCTTTCTTTGACTTTCCAATAGACAAATGAGAACGGCCCATACAGAGTGCCTGCACACGAATATACATTGCATGGATGTTATTATAATGGCAGGTTGGGATGCAAGTCAGGACGATATTCATTTCTGTTCAACGAACTCATACCATAGTAAATTGGCCAATTAAGATATTCCAATGGAATATGCAGCGCTTCAAAAATGTTGATGACAATCATGAACCCAAACGATATGACCACGGCAAGAAACGGATACGCTGGAAGGACGCGAAGGAACGCCTTGCCCACCAAGGGAAGGAATGTCTTGACGGTCAATGCGGCTTGGAGTTTTTTGCAATCAAAGTAAAGAGCCACCACATAAGCAAAAGCTGCAAACAAGACTTTAGGAAGATGCAAGAATCCTTGTAGCAAACTGTTGATGACCTCGGCGGCTCCAGTAACTCGATCAAAGATGTTGACAAAGATCACCGACGCGACCAAGTAGAAAAACGCTTGGGTTTTACGTTTGGGAAGGTTGCCAGCCTCTGCCAAGAGATACTCTGTCCCAAAGTAGGTGAGCAACAAGGCATTCACAACTTCTGATATCATCTCTACGCTGCGTTGGAACCAACCAGCTACTACTGTGTCTGTCGAAGAGCAAAGTTGAAGGTTGAGAGGATGTTGCAGGAGTGGCAAGCTGCTGCGAAGGGCAGAGACGCAGAGACGGTTGAGTTGTTCCCTTTTCATTCCCGATTGCTTCGGGTGACAGACAGGGATAAATTTTCGGCTGGAGGCAATCTGTACAGTACCGGCACAAGAAAAGATCCCATACAAGTACAGTACAGTACTAGCTACTAGCTAGTAGTCTACGTACCGCAATTTCGGTGCCAAAGATCATCCCAATTTCTCTCCTCGTCGAAGTCCAACCTTTTGTTCTCGCTTCTCGCGTCCTTCTGTGCACAGATAGCTATCTATTGGATCGTGGAGATCAGCCAAACCCAAGGACATCATCGGATCATTGTTTCATTTCTGTTCCTGTGCACAAGTGCTGTTGGCGAGAAAGAGGAAGAAGATTTGACCACAGTCAGGGCCACCGACATGTCTTTGATCAGAGCCTCTATTTCTCTGGCTGTTCCCGCGACGGCGGCTTCTATCTTCTTTCCTGACTCGGTTGGATATGTTGCTGGAGGCACAGCAGTAGTCTTTCTGTTTGCCAAAACTTGCTCCAGACCGTTGGCCAACCATGCTGAACTAGACAAGATACCCTACTCTTGTTCGTCACCTCCCAAGGAGCAGCAGTTGACTCTTACTACTTGCCTTATTCCTCGTCCAAAACTGAGAATCATCCTTGATTTGGGTGGCATCAAGTTGGAGCAATTGGCTACCAGTATTGCCATGGCGCTTGGACTACGCCGAATTCCTCGTCCAATCAGCGATATAGATGATCCAATCTGGACAATACCTACCACAGAAGCTGCCCAGGCTGCACTGGCATTATGTCAAAAGACTGCTGGTCCGCATCGACAGTGGATTGTCAATCACTGTCTCCGGACGTTTCGATTTGGTGCTGCTGTGGCGGAACAGTTGGGAACAGTATACGACGAGGAAGTCCTCTTTGTGGCATCCTTGCTTCATGATTTAGCCTGGACCGAACCCTTTGATCGTGATGACCTTGACTTTGAGCTGCTTGGTGCTCAAGCAGCACGGGACTTTTGCATCCACCATGGCATGAGTGAACACAAATCCAATGTCATTCATGAAATGATTGCCCTCCATACATCCCCGCACATACTGGGTCTACCAGAGTACGCCCCTGAAATCCGGTTGGTCAGCCAGGGTGCTGGGATGGATGTAGCCGGACTCTTTTGCGAGGAGATCTCTTCTGAAACCAAATTAACAGTGGTCAAGGAGCATCCTCGTCTCAACTTCAAAAAGTGCTGTTGCGCCTTGATGGCAGACCATGCCAGGCGAAAACCAGATACTCACATGGCTGTCAGCTGTCAAATGGGCTTTCTGACGGCCATCAGAATGGGACCGTTCGATGAGTAGTCACGTAGCAGTGCATCAATCAAGGCTGCACTTTGTGTAGCTCCGATTCGATTCTGTTTCGTTTTGGACAGCCTGGCTCTAGAGCAAATCGTAGTACATACGGTCGTAAGGTTCCCCTTGACCAGCTCAAATCGGAGACCACACAGCTAAACGATGCTCCAGAGCTCTAGAAGCCAGGGCGACGAGCGCGGCAAGAATGCCACCTTTTATTTCAAACAAAATGACCTCACCCTTTTTACAATTAGTTGTACGGTTAGTTACTTGTACCATCCTGAACTCAACTGTTACGGTGAATCTCTACCAGGGTCCTGTAGGTAATGAGATTCATCCTACATGCCATTTATCCTCCAGCACGACGCCTATCATCATTAACATGGCAAGTGGAGATATTAGTAGGAGAAGGAGAGACTACGCTTTGGCCTTTTTGTCACTATCCTTGAGATAGCGACTTCCCAGAAGGCGAGCTGCTCGCTTCTTTCCAACATTCTTTATGAATCCATCCAACCATCCCTCCACCCATTGGTCTTGACCACTATTGACTCTGGCCTTCTCATCGTAAAGCTGTGCGTTACAAGACAAGACGAAACGTAAGAGGCCAGGCAAAGAACAAAAAACTTAGTCGAACGGTGCCAAAGCTTACCTCTCGACTGCGTCGTGCATCGTTTCTGGCATTGTATCGATCCCATGAACCCAGGTAATGGTTCGCTGTGATGGGGTACTTGTTAAAGTCTCCATAGTCTGATTCCCCTTGGCCACGACAGATAGTTTGGAACGGCCGATGGATGCTGTAGACAATGTCCTTTGTCAGATACTTTCTTGGTACTCTGGACATGTCAACCAAGACCTTCGGGTGTCCATGCAACTTTTTGTTCAAGGGATTACCATGATTTCGCCATCTAAAGGTTTCAAAACTCTTTCGTTCGTATTCCTCTGGCATGGGCACATTCCAGTCGGTTTCCTTGGTCTCTATGGATCCAAAGAGAACACGGAGCATTGTGATACAAGGATAGGCTACATTCGTTGCGTTCTTGTTTACTATTTGCTGAATCATGTTCAGAACAGAACCAGGCTCCTCCGCTGGCTTGATGGCGAGGCCTCTGGAGTCTTGCTCTCGCAAGAATTGGTCTAAGGAGGAACGGCATGGGTTAGTCGGAGAATGAGATTCAAAATGAATTGAACAGACAATGCACGATACTCACTGGGAACAATGTACTCATCCGTGTCGATGTGCATGGCCCAACTACGCTTCTCAGCCTTGACTTTCTTGAGACATTCCGTGAGGAATACTCGTTGTCTGTACCGGTGGCTGTTGATGGCCAAGTGGTCGTCTTCGCTGATCTCTCCAAATTTGGTAATTTCCTTGACTTCTTTCTTGGGAGGCTTTCCTGTTTCTAGAAATTCCTTGGGCATGTAATCCTTGTCGGACCAGACGTCAATCTCCATGAGCCCCTTCCAACTATCCAATACGTCGGAGGGTGACGTGTCACTGTTGGGATCCGTGGCTACAATCAACCGTCGCATGCGGAGCGTGTGGTAGTGATAGGCAATCCATTCATTGATAATGTCATTGTCGTCTCGCACCAGTAGACAGGCCGAAAAGGTGACATTGGGACTCAGTGCTGCAGGAGTAACCTTTCTCAGTTTTGCCTTTCGTCGCTTCGCCTTGGTTCGCTTGAAACCCATATCTGTAGTCTTCTTGACAACCTCAGCTGTTTCCAAAGCACTACTGACTTCTTTGACTTCTTCTTTGACTACTTGTTTGTCCTCTTGTGGTTGTTGCTGGTCAGCAATTGGTTGTTGCTTGTTGTCAGCAACTGGTTCGGACTCTTCTTGTTGGGAACTAGTTTGTGGAGAGGCTTCCTTCTGCTTCTTTAACACATCCACAGCGACTCGGAGGGCTTCGACATTCGCTTGAGGAGGAGTCTTCGGCTTCTTCTTTCGACGGACCTTGGGCTTGCTGTTTGTGGCACCCTTGGCAATGGAATAAGTGGAATCTTCAATTTGTCGACGAATCGTCTCCGACAGCTTGGATTTGCGCACGGTTTCCTTGGACTTGTCATCTATTATTATTCGATCAGTGGGAGTCTTGGTGGCGGGGGGACCTCGTTCAATTTCACTGACACCTCGTGTGCGTCGAAAGTGCATGGAGCCATTCATAAACAAGGAGACAATGGCCAGCAGAGGAAACATCCAGCCCATTCGCACCTTGGTCGGCCGCTTGAATTTCCCCTTGTCGCCATATTGCAAGGCTCTGTTGAGTGCTTTCAACATGGTCGCTGGTCGTTGTCGAGGGTGATCTGCATCAAATGATGAAATGAAGAGAGGACGAAAAGGCTGTCTACAAAGACACACCTACCCGCCGCTACCCCGACAGTAACTAACCGTAGTTGAGTATGGACCAACGACAAACGTCCAATGTGCAAGATTTAAGATTGACTTTTTTGGGGTCTAATTGCAGAATAATAGAGGATGGTGAGATGGCGTCGATCACAAAATCATAGGATCGCTTTCCCGCGGCGTAAAGAACCAACGGCATCACCCAGCAATACCGGTACATGTATGATACTGTAATTGCCGGTACTCCTCCTTCTAACAATGTACCAGTATGCCATAGCATAACTGCTACGTTAGGCATCTACCGGCAATACCGGTGGCTAGCTAGCTGGTAGATCATATGCTCCATGTGATGTAGCCGTACGTAGGCGGTTACACCCTTCCATCACCGAGGCGATGCGCAGCCACGTTCACGCAAGTTGTACTAAGTTTAGCAGTCTGTGCGATGCCGAGCTGCAGTGATAAGGCATGCTTTCGGCGTTTCTTTATCTAATAAGGTATTAGGTATTGCTCCGTTCTCAATGTCCCTGCAGAACAAAAACTTTACAGATGGATCAGCTCGAGGACCAAACAATGGGCCAACATCACTTAAGAAAGTAAGAAACTGTGCGCTCGACACCACGTCCAGCCATCTCCTTGATCAACTCTAAGGTCAATGCCAAGCACCGCTCATGGACCCATGATTGGCCCATCTTCTGGACCAACGCAGAAGACACGTGCTCAATCTGCATCCAGAACAAGATAATCTCCGAACAACGTCAAGCCCAACGCCAGGACCAGCACCTGATTGCGCCCAGAGCAACTTTTAGGCTAACATTGGACGCAGTAGGGGGCCGGCTGCAGAACTATAACTTTAAAACTGGTCCAACCAACACCTCAATCAATTCCCAGTCCAACTTGCACACTGTCAACCACAAATAATGGTCCAACGCAAGTGATGCACCTAGCCTCGAGCAGCTGTGCGTCTGGAGGTTTCGTCATTGGAAGCAACTTTTCTTGGCGCCAAACCATCCCCTCGCTTTCCTTTCTTTCTGAAGCATCGAAGTGTCCACAAAACAAATCTGTCAAACACAGCCTCACAAAAGAAATTCCTTGTTTGTCAAGCATCGTATTGATTATTGATACTACCGTTAGTCTACTATCCACCATTATCTCCCTCATTTCAGCTCTTTCGTTCTATTATCTTGTTGTCACAACCATGTCTGCTTCATCTTCTTCCACACCTCGCCTTCTGGTCAAGCGTCTCACAGACAATGCCATTCTGCCCGTTCGGAAATCTCCACTGGCGGCTGGCTACGACTTGTCGAGCTCCGAGAACAAGACAATCCCCAGTGGCGGCACTGTGTTGGTCAAGACGGGTCTCTCCATTGCCTGCCCCGCTGGAACTTATGGTCGCGTGGCACCCCGTAGTGGACTCGCCTACAAGTATTCCATTGACGTGGGTGCAGGAGTCGTGGACGCCGATTATCGCGGAGAAGTGGGTGTTATCTTGTTCAACTTTGGCAAGAAGGATTTTGAAGTTAAAGAGGGCGATCGGATTGCGCAGTTGGTGTTGGAAAAGATTGCCTTGGCAGATGTGGAAGAAGTCCAGGACTTGGACGAGACTGTGCGTGGCGCGGGTGGATTTGGAAGCACGGGGGTTTCCGATATCAAAGAAGAGTCTGCCAACAAGAAACAGCGCACCATTTCTCCCAATCCAGAGGGTGAAGCCAAAAAGGCCGAGTAAATCAGTGACCATGCAATGATGAAACCAACCAACTGCTTACATACTAATAGGAACGATTGAATGACAATGAAGGAGGAACTAGTTGACACAAGCACATCCAGCCTATGAGGAAAGATAATTCATCTTTGAGCTTTGAGCAGTTTTTCATGACACAATGTCACAGTTGGCTGCTTGCTTCCGCCTCACAGAATACAATAGACTGACCAATCCATCCAGTCTCTAGCTAGATGTAACAACCCTCTAGAAAAGATCATATTATAACAGAACGATTGCAGCTTCTTTGCAAGCAACCTTGCCATGCACGAGAGTCGAGTCAAGTCTTCCCATTTATGCAAGCTACCAGGTACCATAGCATCCACTTGAACCTTTTGCTCTCTGGAGTGCGGTCCGCTACCGTACCGGTACTTTGTACGGCGGAGGTAAATAGTGCGCACATGTGCTCACTTGCTCACTCTTCGGCCGTTCACTCTCAACACCCTCAGCGTTTCCGCAAACAAGTGCTTCGAGTACTAGCTAGTACATGTATTCTAATATAGGACATGCCTGAACCACAACCTCAAAGTTCCTACGATGCCTTCAATTCGGTGGACAAGCTAGTCTCGAAACCAATTCTGGGCAGCGATGGAGCCGCTAGTTGGCAAGAGTTTCGTAATGACAACAAAAAGACCATCTACAAAAACAAAGAATCGTCGGCTCCTTTGGCACCGTTGAAAAAGGCCGACAAACTCGGTTCCGGCCTCACCAGTTGGTCCGAAGAACGATCCCGGGAAGAAGTGGCTCGACAAGAAGCTGGACATGCGGAATTGGGAAAAGGATACACCAACTTCAAGGCCAAAAATGAAGATCCTCAAGCGAGAAAGGAGAAGAAGAGAATAGAAGAGCGGCGACGACCCGACAATATCGAGTATTTTCTACCAGCCAAAGCGTTTGATGGATGGAAGTGGGATTACATCTTTACGACAAAGGAGGATCGAGGGACTGGTTATTATTGGGATGGAAGTGACAGCTTGAAGAGACTCAAGGGGGAGTTACCCGCCACGGCTGGACCGGACAATCTCATTACAAGTCTCCAGAAAAACACCACCGATGATACAGATGAAGCAGTTTCTACTACTACTACTACTACTACTGCTGGAAAGCACAATCGTTCCACGGAGGGAGGAGACGATGAGCAAGTCAAAGCAAAGAAAAAGAAGAAACGAAAGAAAGCGGCGCCGGTGATCGTGGACGATCCCAACAATCCACTCGAACAGGTACAGGCGGCAATTCGAAAGCGAAACGAACGCTTGGGCATTTCCAACGATGATGGCCTGCCAGACGGGTGGGAAGCAGCTCCCGATCCATCCACAGGAAAAGTATACTACTTTCACCGACAATCCGGGACAAGACAATGGGAAAAGCCCAAGAACGAGAGGCTTCCGGAAGGCTGGAATGTGGCACAAGATAAGACTACTGGGAAGACCTACTACTTTCACACAAGTGGAGAGACTCGATGGGAAAAGCCAACATGAATTCTGTTGCAAGCTAATAAAGTCGAATGGAATCAATCGTTGCTAGCCAGTAAATAGTCTGAGATCTCCCCACTACAGCGTAATGAACTCATGACTTGAAACGTTGCTTCCACATGTACAATGGTGACCCGCTGAGTTGCAGTTGGCGTTGGCGTTGTGTAGAATGCTCCATTTGGTTGGAACTTACTGTTGAGTCACGGAGCATGTTGGAGATATCCAAAGGTGAGGTAGGGTGTTTGCCCTCCTCAGCTCGTCAAAAACAGGTCAGACTTATGGATTACCACCAACAAATCAACAAATTCTGTGATGGTGGTTTCCGATTGTTGTGGTTTTTGTGTCCATTCCACTGAGGGTTGCATAAATGAATGGAAGCACAACTCCACAGTTTTTGGACCCATGCTTGGTGGACCATCGTTGCATGCCTGCGGGAAGGGTTTTCATAAGGCGGTGGGACATCTGCCAGTGAATGTGATGAGTTGCCGCTGAGGAAACCTTGCCGGCGAGTCATGATAGTCAGTCGTCCAGTACTTTAAAATGGCAGGGGTGCAGATGGCTTCAATGAGGGTGGCCTTGGTGGGAGAAGCCAGCTTGGTGTCAGCTTGCCAAATGGACCAGCCTTCACCTTCGAAGCACAGCTGAGGGGGGCAGTTGGGTTGTGCTGTTCAATTGTTCTGCGGTAGGACCGCCCAGCATTAGAATTAATACAAAAATTAAAAATTACCATCTATATATTCATTGCTCGAATCCAAATAGCCATGTATCCATTGTGATCTTCAGCACTTCACATAAGATACTGTGGTTGATGAGCTCATTTTCCTCACAAATGGTTGACACAGTGTCCTCATCAAGAATGTTGCCATCAACAATGTTTTGTTGACGCAATGTAATCCAAGAGAAGGATTCCAATAATTTTGTCTGTGTGATCGGAGAGGCTACACAAACCAGACCACGTCGAAGCTGTCGTCTGCCACTCAAATTAATTACGTGATTGAATTTTTCTTCCCAATCATAGCGCAACCACTTGTTGGCAAAATCTACCTGCAAAGACTCCAATGAAGATTGTCGTATAGCTTTGTGAAAGTAATTCTGGAAGTACACCATGCCACAGGGTGACAAGTGTACATCCTTGAATTTCAAACATAAACGACATAAAGTATAATTACCCCTGATCATACTTGCATGCGGATATTAGTCTTGTGAATATTCTTGTGAACCCGAAAATGCAATGTCAGAGAATCGATGTACCAATTGACCGTGATCACGAGGGACATCACTTTGGTAAATAGCTTATTCGAGGGAATGCGTAAACTCATTCGAGTGATTGTTGTTGGACGGAGAAATAATTGAAGATATGATAAATCCAGCACTCGATGTGTTACTTGGGTCAAATCTTCATTACTAGTAGGATCTAAAGAAGTTGGTGGTGTGTCTCCCCTCATAAAGAAATTCATGGACAATTCCTGAAGGTTTGGTGAGTTTCCAACTTGCTCCGCACTTTTCCAAGCGGGAGCAACTACTGACTCCTGCCGCTGGATCTGTCAACCAACACGAAAACACCTAATAGCAACGAAAATAATATGACGGTCACTTCTATACCATCACCACCACACCTATTAGACCCACTGGAAGCATTGAAACGAATCGAAAGGACCTCAGGAAGCTTGTTATCTGTTATCTTGTTGAAGAGTACTGTTTTACTATAGGATTCAACTCAACGTCATCACAGGAAACACACTCCCTTTTTCCTCTCTTCCTCCACTCTATTCAAGCCGAAAGGATCGATACCTCCTATCTCCTGCGCACCCCTCCTATCAAGCGACTATCAACGCGGCCTTCTCCGGTTCAGATTAGAAAGCCATCCCAATTGAAATCCTACCAGTTTGGGCGGGTTTTCTATTTTCGACCGCTGACGACCAAGTTGGAAGAAATTGAACACAAGAAGAAGTCTCTGGCTTTCAGTAGACTCAGCAGTACAAGTTTCCTCCATACTCTGCAGTGAACCGACATTGCTCTTACTACCGACGGCCCAAGAAATCCCATTGTCGATCCTTTTTCGTACGATCGAACGATTCGATTCCAACAACAACAACAGGCCCGTTAACCTTACCCCTAAGGCAACTGACTCATCCGAATCCCTTGAACCGAATCGAATCTTCGAATCGATCCAAGACTCGCTACTCCGTGAACCGATCTTCCCGCGACCGTATCTCTATCCTCTTCCGTACGGATCGAACGACAGCCTACTATCATCAAGAAGGACTTCACGAGATACCTGCAGTGACCACCGAGAAGAGAATTATACCTGTATTCTTACTTTCTCACCGGCCACTCTGGGTTTCTCCCGACGTCCTAGTTGGAACTGATACTGCTACTGTTACCACTCCCCCATTGATATCTAACTCCTCTCCCAGAGGAACAACAAACAGCAACAGAGTTCCTGTAAGGACTTGAGTTACAGGTTGGCAAGCTGAACTTCAGAACTTGTGTATTCCACTGAAGCCAGTCAGTCACCTTGTTCAGGCTCTATTACCAGGCTTGGCCATTTCATTGTTTCCAGCCTACCTGGGATATCCAGCTCCTCTCCAAAGGATCTCACCCCCACAAGAACCAACAAAAGTTGCCCCTCTAGCATCACAGCTAGATTGTGTAACACCCCCCTTATTGATCCAGCCACCTCTCTGCTCCTGCTCCAGACTCTCCTACTGAGTGTGTCTAACTCCAAAGGATTGAGCCCCAGACAGAACTGTAGCGCGGAGTGGCTCGAATATCAATCACCAATTGACTCTTTACATCTCTAACTGATTGTTGAGTTACTCCTCAGTCTTTGTCCATTCCACTGAATTGAGTACCCTCTACAAATCTTGGCTTGACTCTCTGTTGAAGTCTGTGGTGGCCTTCACCAGATTGAGTAGCAGCCCTTGAGACAACACCCATTGTCAAACAGTAGCACAGCTCTATCAACCAACACCAACACTTGATCACACCAACCACCGTCTCTACTGGCTACAAAGTGACTTCTCCAGACCTCTGTTGAGAATCCTCTATCAGCCTTTGGCTTTGATCCCTTCCTTTTGCAGTTGTGGTTAACTGTACTAGATTGGGACCCAGCCTTTGATCCAGTGGCCATCTCCACCCAACAGCTTTGATCCATACCCTGATTGCCAGTGCCCCAGAGCATTGGCCTCCTTGAATAGATTCCTTCGAATCAATCCCCCTCTCCACCTCACAAGCAATCCCTGTGCTTGAGTTGCAGCAACGACCCGACAGTCAACATTACACGATACACCAACCTTTCCATCAACCAACCATCATGCCTATCACAGCAAACACACCTTACCCTCCTCCCTCCAGCATCATACCATCTACAGCCCACAACCACCCCTCCAACATCCACCCCACAACCCCTCTCACAGTCCACACCGCCCCAGCAGACATTGTGCCTCCCCTGTGGGAGCCACTGCCTGCCAGTGCGTCACTTGGCCCTATCGCATGGCTCTTTGTCAGCTTCTGCCTGATATTGTTCGCCCACTGGATATGTCATACCCTGACATGGTCCAGTCTTAGGTGTGCCACCGCCTATGGACTCTGCTGGCATCTTGCCTTGCACGACAAGGCAATGGCCACAGCATGGGACCTGATCACTCAGACGCACCTGTGGTGGAGGTGGATCGATGATGACTGTTGTCGATCAGCGCCCTTCTAATAGGTTGAATCATGGCTAGGCCACCGAGCTCCAGGTCATGATGGGAAGATGCACACTTCCATTGTAAGTAGAGCTGTAGGGACCTGCCCCTCGTTCATGGGGCGGAGGTGAACGACGGTGAGACTATAGGATAGTGTAGCCGTGCTACTATGAGTGGCCTGTCCTCCTGCAGTGTTGAAGCTTGGTGTGCACCGTGAATCTTCCTATTGTGCAATTTGTCAATGGTATACGACTCAGCTATTTGGGCCCTCAGGCTCAACTCGTGCCAGCGTAGAAAAAGGTCCTCCGGACCCAATAGGTTGTTAACCTAAATAAGTATTTAAACCCCCTTCCAACTTGCTCCGCGATCATCAAATTGGCACGATAATCAATAGGAACTGTGAATCGAAATACACTCAATTTTGGTATATACATGCAAATTGTTGTTGCAATTCGCATGTGTTGGGTTGCATCTTCGAATGGTAGATAATCAATCCAATTGATTGTTCCTGGATGGTTAGTGCGATGTTTCATGATTGTCAATCGTGAATATGATGACCATTCTGATAGCCGAAAGATAGTTCGTAACTGACTTGTTGAAAACTTTCGATAAGACTTCAGGATGGAGTCAAACAGTGTGAAGTATTGGGCGTTTCGAACTCCCAAAACAGTTGAGTCGTCTCTCGGCATTTCAAACACAAGATAGACGACTTTGTTAGGTTCACAGCATTCAGCTACCAAATGGATTAGTGCATTACCGTCGGCATTGACTTCCATTAGATCATTTGGTCTAAATCGAATCAACTCCTTAATGACTTCAATGGATAGATCTAGTTGACATGCAACATGCAATGTTGTGACTTGTGAAAATCTTCATTCCGACGATCTGGTATTTGTTGTTTCACTTTCAATTAAGATAGTCATAATTGAAATGTTATTATGGATTTTCTGACAAGAAATAAGAGTTGTGAAGTTGAGATTATAAGATCGTCAAAAATCTTCGAACATCTGATGATCACCTCGGTTCAAACGTCTTTTAAGGTCTGGCTGTCGCTACACTTGGTTTTTCTTCAAATTGCCCCATTCTGTTGTGGTTGGTTAATGACCAATCTTTGCGTTTTTGTCACAAATTCGCTCAAATAGAGGCATAAAATTGTCATTTGTTACCCTACCACGGCCAGACCTTAAAAGACAATTCATCGATTTTGATGCATGCTCTGTCAGTTTAAGGCTAGTGTTAGGATACAGGTTATGGTTCATTCGATTTCATTCGCACCCCTGCAGGCAGTCGGCCTTCCCGGCTGTGGGAGATGCATGCTCTGTCAGCTTAAGGCTAGCGCTGCGTCGATATCTTTCCAATCAAAACTTTTAGATCTTGCTAGCTTGCTATCGTAGCCAGACACTTTCGATTTCGGTCACGTTTCAAAGCTTTCGAAATCGGTCAAGTCCAAACCACTCCAAGCGGAAATCATAGGCAGTCATACAGCGTACTAGTAGCACGCTCATAACTTTCTGCACGGAGACACAATTTCTCTCGCAGATCCATATAAATGGAAAACCCTTCAAACACAAGGAGGCAATGCTGGTGGGAGAGGTCGTGGGAGAGGTCATGGGAGAGGTGGCCGTGGTTTAGGCCGAGGGCCCCCAGCTCGTCGCCCTATCAAAGTGAAAGTCCCAGACCCTGTGCCCGTGTTTATGGCCTGTTATGGACTTCATGACAAATATCAACGCTGTCAGGGCCCAACTCAATTACCTGACTGGGCTGACCTTTTCTTCATACCATCAGCATGTCAGCTCTCATTGATGGGTATACAGACGAAGAATGCATGCTTCCAATGACTTCATCCAATTACCAGGATCTCTATAAGCTGCTCTCTGACAAAAAGGAATGGAACTGGCAGCCTGAGATGGTCAACATGAAAAATGGAAAGGATTCAGAAAGCAAGTTGGTGGGTTACATGTTATTTTCAACCAAAAAGACATATGATAAAGTCAGCAGCAAGGATTGGAAGAGTCGACATCTGGTCCAAGTGCACCACATAATTTTTATTTTATGATGGTATCTAACATTGTGACTGAGCTATTCTTCCTTCTCCCAATTCTTCAACAATTCACCATAACTAGCTTCTCCGGTGTTATACATTGAAGTCATCATGTTCTGAAGAACGTCATGTTGGAAAAAATTACTGGATCCCACAAGTCCCAATGCCATTTCATCAGTGGTTCCCAATTCCAACTGTGACAATTTCTTATACAATTCAGAGGCTTTCCCTGCATTCTCCCTTTCCTTCTTCAACTCTTCAGAACTATTAGCATGATCGGGTTTCTTTTTGATGGCAGTAACCAGACGAGGAGCTATTTTGGTACTCGCTCGACTATTCTGTGCTGCAATAGTCTTCTTGTTCGCAGAAACTGGACGGGGAGGTTTGTTGGCATGTGCTGGGGTATCCTGTACTGTAGTAGTCTTCTTGTAGACAGTGACAGGGCGGGGAAGTTTGTCGACATTTGTTGGACTGTCTAGAATATTTGACATATCAACTACATCTGGTGCTGGACTGTCTGGAATATTTGACATATCAACTACATCTGGTTTTTTCTTGTTGTCGGACGACGGTAGTGTTTTGTACGCATCACCACCACCATCGAGGACGGCCAAATCTGGTTTTTTTTGTTTTGTCAGCCGATAATTATAACAGTCACTGGATCGGTGGCGTCACCATCCGCATATTGCTTGACTTTGAAACCTTCGGGAGTAGGTTGGTTACAGTTCTTTTTGCGAGCTCCTTGTTGAGTGATCCGTTCGTTAGGATGCTTGGAACTCATTGTCAAAGGAATGGCAAATCGTGAAGTAACGACCAAGAAGTGAGAGTATATACAAGGTATGTGGTGATAGCAAATTCGATGCTACTCTGATTTCGACTCCAATGCCAAAGATACTTTTTTCCACTAAAAAGACCTCGTCATATTGCATGAGAAAATTCTGCGATTGGGTGGTCAGTCTTGCGTTCGTTGATTGTGTGTCCGGTTGGTTGAAGAAAATCGTTGTTGATTCTGCGATTGGACTTTCCTATATTTACTTAAGTCACCGTTGCAGCACAGCATGGTTACTTAGATATCCGAACTATGGATCTTCGTGGTTGAGTACTTAGATCCTCATTTTTTCTGCGATTATGCCTAGGAAATCGAGTCTGTGATCCTCACAATTTCTCTTTTTTTGAGGTTTGGATTTCTGTTGTGTTTATCTGTGGTTTGCTCTGTCTTCCAATCGATCGCTTTGTTGCTGTATCACATCTATCCTCAGTTGATCGTAATCTGTAGATTACTGGGTCCAGTCTACCGCTTTGTTGTATCGCATCTATCGACAACATGATTTGGTCAGCATGGCGGTGCAATTTCACCAATGGAAGGCTACTGCCACTAAAGAAAAGCTACTCGAACTTTTTTGCTTGACTTTTTCGCGAAAGTATTAGATGATACAAGATCAGAAAACAACAAAATGGTATAAGTAATGAAGGTCCTAAAACTAGTAATTACATTTGCTTTGAACAAAGTACAGACACTTGCTGCGAATATTTCTAAAATTCAGGGGAGAATTAACCCACCCACTTTTGGAGCTTTTGGGTCCATGTCCATGGAATATACCTCTTCTGTGGACCGTACCAAAGAATGGAAAATTGAAAAAATTCAATGTTGAAGCTACCATTCGATGATTCCAGATGCTTGTCCATTGGATCCTAAGGATCACCCGGAGATTTTTTGTGACCCAATTGTTAAATGAATCAAGTCACAAGGACTACACCTTTATATGAGTATATCAAACATTATAAACATTATGATTCATGCACTATACTGAAGGCTATGATAAAGCAACCAAAATGGACTAGCAGAAATGGTTTGGTAATGAACGTGCATGATCTATTGAGAACGAGACACAACCATAATTATGGAGTTCCTTGGTTTACTACGGAAGTAAATAATGTCCATGGTTTAAAATATGAAATTTTTAGACGAGATCAAATTGAAGAATTGAAAAAGATTATGTTTGTGGAATTCTATCAAGGATGTAAAGATGAACTTGGTCCAATTACAAAAGAACGATTCTGGGAAGCAATGGATGATGTAAAACTTGGGGTGAGGGTTTTGGAAGCGCAGGCAATTCTTTATCAGTTAAGGATAGATAATGCTAGAGATTGGCGCCCCATGGAGGTAATAACGGCCATTCATAATTTGCGCCATGGACTTGGCCCTATGACAATATTCAAAAACGATCAGGGTCAGGTCGATCATGGTGTATTGGAGGAATTCCAAGTTCTTACAAGAAAGTGGAATTACTTGGAGATGAGATGTTGCACAATGATCATGAAAATTGGAAAAACCAAAGAGAAAAGAGAGTGTGGACAGTGTTAAGCAGAAAGATATCAATGAAAGATGGATCAATTGTTTCATGCAATGTCAACAAGGAAATTGCGATGCTGGCTCAAGGTCGATTTTACCACTGGGCTTGACTCCAAGATTGTTCTTGTTGTTCGCTATCAAAGTGGTTGTTGAGTGGTTTTTAAAAACTTCATTTCAGAGTATTTATTCAAGGGACGAACATTACTAGATGATTCCAGTCTATTACAAGAACTCTTTATGATTCTAACAATATTCATTTCAGACCCAAGAGAATTTCAATTAAGATTGGAGTCTGTTATTTATGTAAAGTTGAAGGTAGAGGACCTCATGAATTTCTCTAGTTATGGATTAGATTTTACTTTTGACTTCCATCATACAGATCCAAGCGAAAACCCTTTATACCCGACGACTGGAAAGGAGGTGATTGAGTTGGGACTGTTCATCCAAAACTGACTAGCTGGCACTATGAGACTGTAAGAGTATCCGATTCAACGAAATATCCTTTGGCAAAAAGAGTGATTTGTTGGCCAACAACTGGCGAGAATTACGTCAGAAATGAATCTAATGCAGCACTTCAAGGACATCCAATTACAGACATTTGTATACCGGTAGGTTCCAATGGTACTTCCGACTTGATCTACTATCACAACTCTCAATACTCATCTTTACCTACTTAGATATTCAATTCTCATCATAGATTGTTGGCACATCCAACGTACGATTATCAGGGAGGTCTTCACACATTGAAACCGGGCGAAATGTTTGTGACTCGTAGCATTCTTGGAGATGCATTTCAATTTGGTAGTCATGCAAATGACCCCATTAAATTACTGATGTTGGGAGCTAGACAGATGAAATGGGCTTATCCATCCATAGCACATGAAACAGATGGTTCTGTATCTTATAATACTTTTTTGGATAGCAATCTAAGAATGCATACGGTTTCTTCTTGGCAAGGACATAATTTGAATTTACGAATCTATGGACCAGAAGAGTATTCGCTCAATACGCCTCATCCTCTCCACTCAACTGGACCCTTTCCTTACTATCTGCCACCAAATGAATATTTGTCAGGATTTGGTGAGGTTGGTATGAAAAGCACTGAGCATTTGTTTTTGACGAATTGCAATACACGGCTCTTAGCCTTATTCGCGACTTGATCCTAGATAGGGTTTGAGTTCGACTCGTGACGTAGTCCCTCGCGAATAGTCATTGAGACAGAGTTCTTGTGACTGCTAGTCATACTAGGTTGTCGATGAAACATCGCTCTAGATATTTAGCCTGCGTGGAAAGCTTCCACGCTACTAGACAGCTACTAGCTGAAGTTTCCACGCATTCTGGAATTGGACCGTGGAGTGCGTAGAGTTATTACCATAACCTACGATATCACACTTCGAGGCCTCCCGCGGGAGACCAACTTCAATGAGCTTCGCAACGATCTCTCTCATGGATTAGTTTTCGTAGCTTTCTAATCTCTCGCATAACTTTCATTCTCTCAAACTCAAAACACTCGAAAAATCTTTACACTAGCTTTTAGCGTAGTGCAATCCTTCCTGCAGGAGCTAGATTCCTGCAGAATTTAACTTTTTCCGCTCTTTTTCCCGTCATTGTCTTGAATTTTTGGTTCGTATTAACATCAACAATTTACCTGAAAATTGAGGGAGTTCGTGAGCATAGCGTGCAATCCAGCGTACCACTATCATACAAAACCAATGTGCGACTACTAACAGGCATAAAAGAGCCAGCATGCTGTCGGTACAGGCATGCTGACTTGCCGCAGTGGTGCGAAAGTCTAGACTATAAGAACAATAGCAATAGCAATAGAAATAGCCAAACTCTAACTAAACAAGATGCCAATGTACCACTTCATTAGCGCTGCCAGACATGATGTCATAGAAATCATTTTCTACGACTATTTATTCCTCGATTCTTTCCAAATCAGGACACTATGGACAATCGTATGTTTTCAAAACCTCAATGACTTCTTCGTTTCCACCAATCATTCCGTGTTCGTAGACAGAGACATCAAATGGACATTCAGCATTTTCCCACAAGTATCGTAGACATTTGACATGTCCGCCTAAAGCAGCCATTGCGGCTACTCCAGCATCATGCTCCATAGAACATCCTTTTTCACACGCATAGTGTAGACAATCTAAATTTCCTTGCATAGCGGCCATGTTCGCCAAATTGTCGAGTGGACATCCAAGGTGATGAGCTAGCTGCAGCTTACAGAGATCACCGTTGTATGAAGCATCGGCACAGGAAAGAGTGCATTTGCGACCTTTATTCAATTTGAGGATTTCATGTCGAAGAACTGGATGTGTCAATGCGATCGGTAGGTAGGAATCATCATCATTGTAGGAAAGAATGCGCTGCCAGCAATCAGAGTCAAGTTCGATTGATTTGGGCAAAGCACAAAATTGTGAAGAAGTAATTGCCGAGAATAAATTCTTTTGAGATGATTTTTTGATAGTGGATTCAAAAGGAGGCATGACAATTGACAAAAGGGAGTTGTTTTGATTGAAGTACTGCTGAGTTTTTGAACATTTGGCAACCGGAGCGTCAAAGTCGGCATTGTTGGGAGTTGGGATCGAAATTAGTTTTTTTTTTAGTGATCCAGCGTTGAACGATCGCGTCCTAGGTCTCGTCGAATCAACAGGTCGACAAACCAGCAAATCAACAGTTCGATAGACCAGTAAATGACAGTGCCAAAGGACACAACCAAACCTGACAAGATACTCTCCAATGACGGCAATGGAGTGCATATACTTTACTGGATGCCTTGACAGATTTGAGTCTGAAATAAATAAATAATAAATAAATAAATAATAAATAAATAAATAAATAAATAAATAAATAAATAAATAAATAAATAAATAAATAAATAAATAAATAAATAAATAAATAAATAAATAAATAAATAAATAAATAAATAAATAAATAAAAATAAATAAATAATAAATAAATAAATAAATAAATAAATAAATAAATAAATAAATAAATAAATAAATAAATAGTTTTCATACCACGACATGGTACCACACCGTGGATAAATATTACCTCTCCACACGTAATCTATCCACACGTAACCAATCCCTCAAATCAAATTCTTCAATGTCAGTGACACTCAGTATGTCATACTAGTAGACAATCTGTACGTCATACTAGTAGACACTCGGTACGTCAGTCAAAAAGATTGGATGCCCATGAAACCAAACCACGACAACAATAAAACCAGAGAGTTGCCGATGAAACCACACAAAAAAAAGCAAGACAGTTACCGATGAAAACACAATAGCAACTACAGATGAAAGCACTGATGCAAGCAACGATCATTTCTAAAACACAACAACAACTACTGCAAGCAAAAATCATTTCTAATGAGCAAATTGATAGCCAAGGGGCTGCTGCCCCTGGACCCCGCTGCGTTCCTTCTCAATCGCTACATTCCTTCTCAACCACCGCGTATTGCGTTTGCATTGTGAAGTTGACCACTGGACCTCCCATTACGGCACCTCCAATTTCGGGGCCTCCCATAACATCTCCACCGGTGACATCTCCCATCAATACGTACATTGAGTTGTTCTATGAAGGTGAGTTCATGTGCGCCAATATCGTCCATGTGGTCATCAATATGTTCAACAGTAAAGGTGATAGGGCTAGATTGCAGAAGGGTCCAGAGGGCCGAACCATGTCAAATGACTCCATGGTGGGATGGGGGACAAACCAAGGTTGGAAGATTCAAAGAGAAGCTTCATTGCCACAACCAAGATGTAAAGAGCCAGATGTCACATTGTGAAGGGTGCAGAGAAGACCGGTAGTCAGGACAACGACAAAAAGTCCACTAAGCTCGCATCTGTATGAATCACCATCTTTATGGGGGCCAGGAGTGACATCCACGGTTACCAGTTCCATGCTGGTATCGGTCCAGTCAGGACAGAGGCAGAAGTACCAATGCCAGCTTTATAGGAGCCATCACTAACAGCAATGCAAGTGCCAGCAGAAATGCAAGAAGCAAGATGATACCCATCGTCCGGAACAGTAAAATGATCAATCGCCCATTTCAAACCTGGAGGTAGGTTATTGACCAAGTGGAGGAGAGTATCAGTTTGTTGGTGGAGGGGCTTGGTGAGGAGCATGGTTCCCCCAATCGATTAATCGCTTCCTGGTGGTGCTGCGGCTTTGTTGGATTGTAGCACAGCACAGAGTAGGGGGGACAGTATCATCAGGAATAGAGCCAATATTTTTGTAGATGAACGGGAAGATGGAGTCCTGTATCCAGAGTGTCCAGTAAGTGGGGCCCCGTGGAACAATTGGTAAATGCTGGGATCAAACCACCATTCCCAAATGGGGTCTTCGGGAAGGAGCCATGGTCCAATTTGGAGTTGGAGTTGTTGGGAACGGGACTGGGGTACTAAATATGTACGCTTCAGGGCTTGCTTCCAAAGGGTGAATGCATCAGGATTAGGTTTGTGACATTTGGGCCATTCGTAGGGGGATTCATTGGTTGGTCGGCAGTTGGTTGTAGCCAAGGGCAGGAGATGGGTGCCACCGGAGGTGCAGATCTCGGATTTCCGGATCAGTTTTTTGTACTGCCGAGTCAAGTTCAAGGAGTAGAGTTCATGCCCAGAGAAAGATCCATGAGAAACGGAATCATCCATAATAGTACTGTCACCTTATCGAACTGGTGTGAAAAGGGGAACTGGTCCTTTCAAAGTCAATCCAACACTGGTAAGGTCCCTCCAAGTACGTGTAGCCTAATCTAGTTGGTTGCTGCCTTACCATGACTCGACTCGGCTATATACATTTGTCACGATGGACGGCATCCTCTTCCTCTTTGTTACCCGAAGCGATCGATTGATCGACTGAAAAGGATTCTACTATGGTATTTAGATATAGAATTCATTCTATTCTAATGCTGAAGAAAACTAGTGATGTTCTCTTGCTCTGAAAAATTCCACAACTTGGTTGTTACAGACCGAGAAAAGAAAACCGTCTCAAGCTAGTATGATTTCAATGAGGATGCCTTTCACTTCTGCAGCGGAGACGCCCCCGATGCTTGATACCATTCCAGGTAGAACTGGTTGAGGTGCGAGGATACTCGAAACTCGCTCATCTCCCTCCAACCAACTAACTCGACTAAGGCTGGAGACACATCTTCGTTTGTTCAATTGACTGCCCAGTGCTGGGCCTTTAATCGTCCCTTTACCGTAGACTTGATATGTAATAGACTTTCTGTAATAGTAGTAGACCTTTACCGTAGACTTTTACCGTAGACTTGATAATAGGCTTTCTGCAATAGTAGTAGCTAGCAATTTTTGTTCGTTGTTCACCACTGTCCCGTGCTCAGAGGAGGTGCTTTTATGTTTATTGAAGAGTGAGGAAAATGGTTTGACAACAATCATTGGGTTCCCCTTTCAGTTTTCCATATGGGCCGAGAAAAGATAATCTTTGTGTGCTGGTATGATTTCATGATGAGGGTGGCTTTCACTTCTGCACCGGCGACGCTTCGATTGACTCAGGGAATGAATAGCGTGGTACCGGTACGGTACTAGCTAGTAGAGTTTGCGGTAGATCGACTCGACTCGACTCGTCTCGTCCAACGCCGAGGTCCACAGTCCACAGTACGGTACTCTAATAGGTGCAGCAAATTAAAAATAGATTGGCTCGCTATGACTTTCCGAGCCTATTACTCGAAACAAACCCGGGACAAGCTGAAAATAGCTGGACAATAAGGGGAAGATCAATCGTGTGGTACCTGGTACCAGGTACCACATATAAGACAGAGCAGATCCCAGTTTATTACTGTAATATTCAGTACGATACTCAGTATCACGTTCTAGCTAGAATTCATTCTTAGAGCTTCTATTTGCGATTGACTTTAAATCCTTGAATCTACACGGCAAGAAGGTCTCGTCTTGCTAAATCCATTACTGTAATTAATAATTAGAGTACCGTACACCGTACTTGTATTTTGGTTTCCTACGCATTCTTGGATTTTACGGTAGGTTTTGAACGAAACGTTGGTACCGGTACCTTGATTGAGGCCTCCATCCATCCAGGCAACACGCAACTACTGCGGTCAACAGTGAAAGTGGTGCTGTATCGTCAGCTCAATTTCTCGTCGTTGCATGCCCTGCCCCGCCTCCCAGCCAGCGTCCAAAGGCACAATAAGGAAGTCGACAAATTCTACCGTCCGAAAGAATAGTCGAAGTGATAGCACAACGTCTGTTGCATTTCAAAAGCCCTCGACTGGTCAAGCACCCCAAGAGCAAGCTAGATCATGAAGAACAACTTTCTGAAAAGAGAGCAAGGATTTCGGGTAAGCCAAGAGGAACAAAAAGAGCACCGCCTGGAGTTTCCTTCGCCGAACAAGTTGTTTGGTCGAGATTCGGAATTGAAGCAGTTGCGCGGTGTCTATGAACGTCTAGGGAGGATTGGGCTTTCTGAGATTACGCTGGTAGCGGGGGTATCTGGTATGGGAAAGTCGTCGTTGGTGCGAGGCTTTCTGGACCAGTTGCGGGCGGAGAGGCTGTTGTCCAGTGATGACAACATTCATGTACTGGAGGGAAAATACGATATCCATTCCAACAACAAACCCTTTTCTGCCATTCAGCAAGCCTTGACGCAGTTCTGTTTGGAGCAGCAAGAGCAAAGAACGATGACTACGGGCGCAAATCAACAATCTACTACCAGCAGTATCAGTAGGATACCTGTGCATCACAGGATCCGAAGCGCCTTGGGTGAAGATGGAATCGAAATTCTGTCTGAATTGGTGCCATCTTTGAAGGATCTGGTGGATTTTGAGCACGATGATGCGCTCCTGGATGCCAGCATGTCGCCGACGACGAGACTTACCCCCACGGACGAAACGAGCCTTGCATCCAGGGCCCTAGCCAACACACCGAGCGAGTACCGATCGCACCGTTTGGGGTACTTCTTGCGAACCTTTTTGCAAGCCATTCCAGACAGTAAATCGAGCATTCTCATTTTATTCCTGGATGATATTCAGTGGGCTGATGTTGCATCCCTAAACCTGCTAACCTCGCTCATGACGGATTTGACGTTGAAGAATGTATGGGTGCTCGGCACCTATCGTTCTGATGAAGTAGAACACAACGAACCGTTGCAGTTCCATTGGAAGACTGTCTCCAAAGCCAAGATCCTTACCCGTATCCAAGTATCAGAGCTTTCCGTGGACGCGGTAACGGAATACATCTCAGAAACCCTTCGCGTCGGTCCAACCTCCGAAGAGGGACTGATAAATGGATCACAGTCAACCTTGGAACAGCAGCAACAACTCCAGGAAAACGTACAGATTTTGGCTCAAAAGATCTACACTCAGGTGGGTGGTAACGTCTTTTGGATCAAGCAATCTCTCGAAGAGTTGTCTCGCACGGCCATTCGGAAGAATCCATCCAACAACCTGTGGCGTATTGATATGGCCAAGGTAGAGGAATACATGGAACAACACGCACACGATGGAGTAGTGATGACAATTGTTGTCAAGCGCTTGCAATCAGAGCTTTCAAAAGATCAACAACTTGTCTTGGCATTAGCATCCCTGATAGGATCTACGTTTGTCGGGTCGGAATTAGTCACACTGGCATGTCACATGGCAATAGAGTGTGACGATGATGATGAGGGGGATGAGCAGGAGGAGGATAGAGATGAGAAGACTGAAGGTAGCAAGGAAACACTCATGCAGGAGCACGCTGTCATTGCTGCCATCGAACGTGCCGTGAGGGATGAGTTTTTGGTGACTGACAACAGAAGCGAGACAACTTACGTCTTTAGTCATGACAGAATACAACAAGCGGCAATGTGCCTTCTTCCGGAAGATCAGAAGGAGACGATACTTTTTCAGGTGGCAAGGCACTTTCTACTGCGTGCCGACACGCCCGAAGGACGAGATTGGATGCCGTTTGTGGCAGCAGACCATTTCAACAGTCTCGTCTTCGTGAGTGCCGACGGCGATCAAAGCAGCAATGATCCCGTGTTACGGCGAAATCTTTCGGTGGATATTGACTTGTTGATGCTGACAAAGCTGAACCTTAGAGTGGGCTTGGAGGCTGCAGGAGTGGCAGCTATTGTGCCAGCTGCACAATACCTCACAATGGCGGTGATTGCCTGGAAGATGTATACGTCGAACAAGCCTTGGGAATATGATTATGATCTTACACTAGAGCTGTATCGGCATGCCGCTGATTCCTTATTGGCATCGGGAGATCTGGGTTTCGGGAGGATCCTCGCGGAGGAAGTCATTGAACGTGCGAAAACTCTTCAAGAAAAGATACCAGCGTTTACAGCTTTGGCAGAAGCACTGGGCCGTGTGCAAAAGCACCAGGAGTCCATGGATCTTATTGTCTCGGTAGCGAAAAAGGTGGGGGTGTTTCCAAGGCGCTTCTTCCCGGTGAAGCTTGTGCGGGAATTCATGGCATGTAAGAAAACGGTGTCACGCTTATCCGACGATGACATTTTGGATATGACAGTGGTTGACGACGAATCAGAGCTTAATGAACATGAAATTTTGGCTCAAATGCAGCTTCGGGCCCATTTTGTCGGGCGCGAGGATTTGCTGTTGTGGGGTCTCTCGCGCCAGTTGAACATATCATTTCGAAAGCAAAGGATATGCGGAAGAACTGCTTATGCCCTGGCCGCCTTTGGTTGTCTGATGCTGATTATCTTTGGTGACTTGAAAGCCGCAATTCGGTTTTCAGATCTTTCAAAACGGCTCGTTGAATTGACCAACGACACACACAGCAGAGCACTGGTTCTTGTCTCGACCGCATTTTTCTGTGACGCGTGGACTCGTCCGCTACCAATGGTTGTGGAGCAGATGCAACGAGCACATGAGTTTTCGCTGCGATCCGGGGATCTTACGTTTTCACACATCGCTTGGTTTGTGTCTCAGATGTACGCGTACGCGACGGGACAACAGCCGTTGTTGCCGATCAGGGACACCCTTGAAACCATGGTGACCCATATGGGATGCTGGGGCGTGAAACACGTGCAGGTCCGGGTGCTGCTATTTCTAGTCTCGCAACTCATGGAGCAGCCAGATGGGGAGCCAGATTGGAAGGAGCTGGATCGGATAGAAGCCGAGGAGAATGACACATCTGAGCTTGCATTTATTAACGGTTGCTGGTGTCGACTCCAACTTGCCTATCACTTCGCCAACTTGAAGACCGCGTACTCTGTGAGCAGGAAGCTTATGACAGTTGTTCACAAGGACTTCAACTACTCTACAGCGTCAATTGCAATCTTCTTCTCGGGGTTGACGGCATGTGCCATGGCGCGCGAAAGTAAAGTTCTCTCATTCAAATACAAAAAGGAAGCCCAAAGGATACGAAAAAGGTTCGAAAAGCTACTGGAAGGAGGTGGAACCCCTAACGTACAGCGATACCACTGCTTGAATGCTGAGTGCATGGGCCTGGCAGGAGCATCCGCAGAGGAAGTCCTAAACGAATATGACTTGGGAATAAGAGCAGCAACACGCGCCGGATTTCTGCCTGACGCGGCCCTGGCGCACGAGCTTTCGGGGAACTTTCTTCTGAAACGAAAGCGGGTGGACGATGCAAGATATCACTTGAATCAAGCATACGCCCTCTACAGCAGGTGGGGGGCCATGGCCAAGGCTTGTAGCTTGCAAGCAAAGCACAGCACTGTGTTTACGATCGATGGATCCGATACGAAGTACAGCACTCGTGAGCTGCAACCCCAGGTGAAATCCTCAATAACCGAAAGGACATTCTGGGTGTCGGGTGATGGCTTCAAGGCGCTTGGCTCGCTGGAGGTTGGCTATTTCCGAAAACGGACATCCCTGACGGCATCTGCTCGTCATTCCTCTAGTTCCTTATTGGCATCTACGTAGGTTGCGGTGCTGAGACAGGATGCAAAACGAAATCGATAATTCAGATAGACGTTTGGCTCTCTTTGACATCTTCATTTCGACCAAGCAGCATCTCCTGAGCCCATTGTACAAGAAGTTTCAGGGGCGGGTGCTTCTGTGAAATTGATGAATTTTCAATCCCGTACGTCTGCAAGACAACCAAACTTTGTTCCTCATCGCCAATGTCATTACAGTAGAACATGGCATCGCCCTCGGGGGTGTAGTAGGTGTTGTTGCTTATGCGAGCATTGCTCTCTTTGCAACGTCCCAAGCCGCCAACATTGTCAAGTGAGTCTTCCCCCAGCTCACTCACCCTGGTAAGCTGTTCCGTTGAGCTGATGCTGTCCAGCCTGACTGCGCATCGATTGTTCTGAATGATGTCGCCATGGCCCGCTTTGAACGATCCAATGCCGATGCACCTCTTACGCCCTGAGGCCATCACCAAGTTGTTTTCGTATACGCTGTCGTGCCCTCCTGGGGATATGGGATGGAGGAATTCGAGGCAATGAGTTAGGCTGTGCACGATCTCATTCTTCCAGATACATTCATCCATCCATTTATTTAGTTAGAGGTAAAACCTCTTACCATAATCCATTTTTACACCTGGAAACAACGATTATAATTGTTAGAAGGGGACACTGCCGGTAGCCGCAAAAATTCACGTTTGCACTCACCGGCGGCGTCAAAGAAGACGTTGTTTCTAACGTGAAACCAACTTGACCCTTCGAAATCAGTTGAAGAGTGAACGGAGAGTGGTGGTGCTAGCTAGTCAGACGTGATTCCAAAAGCTTGCTACGTCGCATCGTTTACTCTTACCATCGTCATTATCCACTCCCTGGTCAGCGCCGTAGTTGGCTATGATATAGTTGCCGAAAATCTCTCTTGGCAACGGGTCGAAGCTTGGTGTTTGTCCGTCTCGCAACTTGGTCAAGTAGGGCTGGCGGTCCCAGCTGTTGATTGGTCCATGATCTCCCGATTCTCTACAGGTGTTGAACAGCAAGTTGCGGAACACTTTGTCTCCACCGCCCGTCATGTCATTGAAGTTTACTGGGAAGGGAAACGAAGACGGAGAATACTTGAGCGGATACTTGGGGAAGACACGAGCAAACAAAACAAACCGAATCTCTGTCGCTTCAACTTACTGGCAGCCCTGGGTAGGTTGAACATAATGTTGTTTCGGATGTCTGTAAGCGCCGCTTTTGCCTGGCCCACCCCGGAGGACTGCTTCTCATAGATACCCAGCTCACGCATCACGTTGTCATATATCATTGTATTCCAGGGCTGGTCACCTTTGGTGGCATCGTGCTTTTCTGTTTCGCCCCATGTTGCAATCGCATTTTCTGCCAACCACTCAAAGACATTTTTCTGAATCAGCACATTTCGGTTTCGGCGAGACAAGAAAACCGCGTTGCTATCCAGTCTACGAAAGGTGCAATTTCTAATGACCACGTCTACTGTGTTTTCCAAAAAGATTGTGCCACCCCGGTGAAGTGACCAATCTCCCCCGCTAGGAGCGCTCCAATCACTCATGAACGTAGCAGCCGAGTCTCGAAAGTTGACTCCAATGATCTCCACATTGCTGACATTGTGGAGTTCTAGGATATTTGGCAGGGTGGCGAAATGTAGATTGTTTGTCCAGGAGTTATCCCCTTCGGTTGTGTTTGGATACACGTAGAGTTCATGGCTGGTGGCATTGTACCAAAATTCTCCTGGTTGATCCAGTTCCAGGAGAACGTTTTCCACAATCCAGGAGCCTCCAATCAATCTTGTGTCCGTATTGTCGGGAGGATCTTGATGTTGTCCACACCACCGGCCTGCATATGTACATTGATCGCAACGGCACCAGTTTCGGCCTGATGACGGAAGACGACGATGAAGGTTTTAGTGACCAATCATTGCGGAATATCATAATCAAGCACGGGAAAAGATGTTTTCAATCACTTACCACCTTGCTTCCCTCCTCCCTTTTCAAATTGAAACTGGTTGATCGTTCCTTCTTCGGACGCATTACTGTTGGAAGAGGACGAGATTTGAAACATGTGCATGGCCCACGATTGCGAATGCCACGCAAACACAATGCCACCTTTGGCTTGATTCAATCGACTCAGATGCTGTCCGTGCTCCGTGGTCGTGTTCCAGGTCAGCCCGACAGGGAGTTGTAATTGACCCGTCATGGCCGCTTCTCGGTCGACTTCAGCCCATCCTCCCTGACTATAGTTGGAACACCAATAGGAATCCGCCTCGGGGCCCCACTGATCGGCACACACTCCTCCGTGACCACTAGCATACATGTTGTAGCCATCCATGAGTGAGTCATTCTTGAGGTTTGGAATATAGTCAAATGTGGGAACCTCACCCTTTGGTGGTTTGTGCCATTCCAAGGCTTCGTCAGAGGGAATCGATACTCTATCCTTGTCGGGAGTGGCGTATCCCCATTGATCCAACTCGGGGTTTCCATTGGGATAGCGAGCTCGAATGAGCCTAGTATCAGTGGTAAAGACTGATGGGACCGAGGGTAGATTGCTGACGTTTTGCATGATTTCGCTTAGGTTGGTGACCCATACTTTGTCGCTTTGATCCCAACGATCCCATTTCAAACTTTGTGGCAGAGTAATGCCACCGCTGATCCAAGCCTCTTCTCCGGGATAGACCAAGATTTGCAAATGATTGTCAAAGGTTTCGCCCGAGAGACGTAACGGTTTATGGTTGAGTTCATGGATTCCTTCTCGTAGAACAATCTTGGTGACCCGATCCTTGAGGCCATACTTTGTGGCATTCTTTCGTGCCAGTCTCGAAATATCGAGTGCCTCATGCAAACACCCCACAGGATGCTCGAGGGAGCCGTCTCCATTGGTTGTGGCGTTCGGGACGACAAAGATACAGAGGGCATCGTTTCTGGTGGATGAAGCAGAAGAAGAGGCAGAAGAAGAACAAGATATCATCAGCATTTCCTCTTGTTCCTTTGAATCGTTCATTGCTTTTTCGTGGCTGGTGCCTGTTGGTGGTTTGACTTGGTCACAAAGGGTGCTGAGTTGCAAAGCATCGTGAATCTCAAGAAAGATGGGATCGTCTGGTTTCCGCCATGGTTGAAGTTTTTTGGCAAACTCCAAGGCCAAAGATCTCATTGCGCATTCCAGTTCCTTATAAGATTCTGTTTTTGCGTTTTTTCGTAGTAAAGGGGATGTTGCCTCTGCCCGTACCGTTATCAGTGCCGACTGAAGGATTGATACCATGACTAGTGCGCGTACCAGCCATGGGTATTTCGTCCTCCTCGGGGTACCGGTAGTTGACATCGTCTGCATCATAAGTTTACGGTGTGCTACCAGGACGGATAAATGGGATCAATTTTGCCCTCGCGCTGGAAACTTGGACCAAGGATTCTTAGGTCTTCGAGAAAACAGTAAACTTCACTCGAGATGCTTTGCAGCCTGACTTTCTTCTTAATAGAGCACCACAGCAATCTTAAACTTCGAAAGCAAGGAAATGATTTAATGATGAGAGAGAGGAGGAGGATGATGGCAGCGTGCATTGACCATCGCAATGGTTTTGTGAACGATAGCATGGATCTTTGGATCGATCTATATACCGGGCAGACCCCGGTGATCTCTGACCCCGTTTATTGTGGTGGTGGTTGGTTGGTTTTGGTTGGTTGGTTATCCTTAGGGTTAGAGTTTAACTAAAACCGAAGCCCCCTCTTGGGCCCCCACATTTCTTACACATTCTCTTTCATAGCAACGGATCCTGAATATTTTCCTCACATTTTCACACCTCTAAACTCCCGTAAGCTACCAAGCCACTTTCTCAGATAGAAAAATTCAATGTCTCACGTTGCACACCTCTAAGCTCCCGTAAGCTACCACGCCACTTTCTCAGATGGAAAAATCTAATGACCCTACCTTCAGGCAAACTTCAACAATATTACTATGCCGGCCCATCTTTTAAGTCAGCTCGCCCGGTATATCTATTACACCTCCGGTGTCCTTTTTTTGTGGTCGACGTTAGAGACAGGGTTAAGAAGCTAATCAATCACCTTCACTGAAATGGATTGAGCCAGCTCCCGGTAGCAGAGATCAGCTTGGCAAAACCTTGACAACTAATTTAAGAATTGAATGTCTAGCTATCTGGGTACCTACCACCAGCATGAACATAAATCCAATCAAACCTTGTTCTGGGAAATTATGAGGCAATCAACCCAACCCTTCACAGGAACAGTAGAACTGTGCTTCAGCAAATCGGACACGGTCCATGGGTAACCATTTGCAATTGCAAACTGAAGAACCTCCAAACGACCTCTTGAAGCAGCAATGATGCATGTGTCTTCATCCCTTGGGCAACCATTTGCATCTGCATACTTGAGGCATTCTAAGTGGCCTTTAGCAGCACTCCTGATTGTGAATTTGTCCCAGGGACAGCCCCTTGCATGGGCATATTTGAGGCATTCCAAATTGCCAAAAGCAGCAGCTTGGCTGCATGTGAATTTGTCCCAGGGACATCCATTCTCATGGGCAAATTTGAGACAGTTCAAATGTCCAGCTTTAGCAGCAAGGGTGCATGTGAGCTTGTCCCATGGGCAGCCATGTTGCTGGGCAAATTTGAGACATTCCAGTTGACCTTTCCAAGCAGCATATCCACATGTGAACTGCCCCCATGGACATCCACCTTCATGGGCATAGATCAGGATTGCCAAATGGCCCTTCTCAGCAGCAACTCGACAAGTATCTTGATGCCATGGACAGTCCATTTCACGGGCATATTTCAGGATCTTCAAATGTCCACCAAGAGCAGCAAACCTGCAACGTATGCAGTCCCATGGACACCCATTTTCATGGGCGTACTTGAGGCAGTCTAAATGGCCATTGCGTGCGGCATTGTTACAGGTATCAGCAGTCCACGGACAGCCATTTTCATGGGCAAGCTTCAGTATTTCCAAATGGCCATTCCTAGCAGCATTGTTGCATGTGTACTTATCCCAGGGATAGCCACTTTCATGGGCAAATCTGATGATATCCAAATGGCCATGCATAGCTGCTATGCTGCACTCCCAACTTCCCCATCGGCAACCATTGCCAAGAAGATACTTGAGGATGTCTAAATGGCCATTCTCAGCCGCATCCACACAGATCCAAGTACTCCAAGGACAGCCCTCATTATGGGCATATTTCAGCACTTGTAGGTGACCATTGGCTGCAGCAACTTTGCATGTATCAGCGCCCCAACCAAATCCCTTCCCTCTGGCTAATTGAAGAACTTGAAGACTTCCCACTTTGGCAGCTGCAGCACAAACTTGAAAACCCTTGATCTGTCCACCAGCACCAGTATGGCGGTGCTTGTACCAATACTCGGCATAGGACACACAGGAACAGGTTGTGCTGAGCAATGTGTCTGAAATGGATGCTCGACGTGTTCCTCTGCCGACAGCATCAATCACCTTCCTTGGCTTCTTTGAGTTTGCAGTTTCACAATATTCTGCATAGAGCTCTTTCATTTTGTGACAGACTGGGGCCAGAAAAACATAGCATCCAACACCAAGGAAGGGTAGAATGTTCTTGACCCAAACATCCGTTTGCAAAAGAAATTCATCGGCCGACAATGACAATGCTAACGGCTCGGTCTTTATTGCTGCTCTCTTCAGTGGGCGAATACCGTCATCGTTGGTAGAGCTTGTGGTAGACATGATGGGACGCTCAAGAAAGCTTATTATCGAAGCAGCTTTGAATCGATCGATACAGAAACCTTTGTCTTCGTCGTCAAGGCATTACAACATGTTGTGAAGCCGTTTTTGTTTTTGTTTTTGTTTTTGTTGGGAAGGCTTTGTTTTGAAGACGGTTGGGAATGTTGCATTCACGGCCTGCCTTGCTGGCTTCTCGAGACACCATGCATCATGCACACATCATGCCGACCATGGAGAGAGCGTTTGATCCTGCCGCTACGGTCGCTCTTCCAGCATTGGAAGGGCCACTTGCTCCTGCTTTAGGGCTTCCTCCTGCTGTTGCGGCTGGACCACCTACTAATGCGTTTGTGCAGAACGTCGCTACCGGTATGCCGCCTCCTTTGCCTCGAATGGTTTACGGAGTCCGCCGTGGAAAAGGCGGTGTGCGTGGCTGCATCTTTCTGAAATGGGAAGATTGTGCTCCTTTTGTGAGTGGAAATGGAAGTGAAATCGAATATCGAGTCTTTTCCAATGTGATGGATGCTGCTCACTACGCCATGGGAGGACCTACTAGTACAATGCAACACCAGCAACCAGAACCCCATCCAACAACAGCACAACAACAGACAGCAGTCCAATTTCAACCCAATCATCCTCCATTCACGAACCCCCATGCCCCGTCACTGGAACCATTGCCTTTTCCAGATACTCTACAAGCAAACGACAATAAGCAAGCCGAAGAAGAAGCCAAGAGACCCCCAGTGAATCTTGGTGGGGAATCCGAGAGCAATGCTCCAAAACCTGCTGGAGATGGCGGTCGCAGTGCAATAACCGAAACAACTCAAACAGCCAAAGATCCTCCACCTGGTGCTAGTCCAACCAAGAAACCCAAAACATGTGCTACTATTTGCAAGAAACCCAAAAGCAAGCACAAGCAGCCGAAACGACACACCAAGGCATCACCGTACTGGATGCAGCAGTACGAAGATTTCAAATCCTTTTTGGAATCCAACAGCCTGACTTGTGCCACTTTGCCAGAACCAGTTCCTGATCACAAGCAGAACAAATTCGTTAAAGAGCAACGCCTGGAGTACCGGTACATGAAACAGGGATTGGAAACCAAGATGATTCCAGACAAAATTGACAAACTAAGGGCTTTGGGATTTGATTTTCAGTATCAGTCGCTGCTGGATGCAGATAATCAAAAGTGGGAACAAATGCTAAAAGAATACAAGGCCTATCACAACCCTCGTGGTGCCTTTGGTGGTAATACTACTGCTACCACCACTACTCAGCCGCAACGACCAGCAGGGGCAGCCACAGCATGGGAAAACAATCCCAATATTCACAATACTCACGATGGCGCCATGGCAACCACCACCCAGAAGAAGCAATCGGCAGCACTGCGAGACTGGAAACATGCCCAACGTGTTCAGTTTCAAAACCTGCAAGAAGGCAAGCGGTCTTCGTTGACACCGGATCGCATTCAAAAACTCAATGATGCAGGATTTATATTCATGCCCCGGTCCAACTTCCGCACCATGACGTGGGAGGAACGCATCCAACAATTGCAAGACTACAAGGAAAAACACGGCAATCTCAACATACCTAGCAATCACCCAGAACTGGGATTCTTTGTCAGCAATACTCGACGATCCTACAAGTACTTGCACGAAGGGAAAAAGACGGCATTTACGCACGAAAAGGCCAATCAGCTGGCGGCCATGGGATTTTCCTTCTTGGTTGGCAAACGCAAATCCAAACCGGTCGAACTCAAGACGTGGGATGAACAGTTTGAATTGCTGCGAGAGTTCAAAGCTGCTCATGGTCATACGATTGTCCCACAACACTATCCTGGACTCGGGCGGTGGGTGAAACAAATGCGACGAGAGTTCAAGTTGATGAAGGAGGGCAAAAGATCGACGTTGTCACCCGAAAAAGTGTTGAGGCTTGCCGACATTGGTTTTGTTTTCGACGCACAGTTTAGACGCGGGAGCAAGATCTCGGACACAGACTATACTAAAGTGGGCGGGAATAAGGTTGGTGGGTTTCTCCATCATGGTTGAACTGACAAATCTAGAGACTGCCAGCCATCCCTATTTATATCGTATCTTAGCCGTGTGTCCCTTTATTCCGGCAAAACTAGCGGAGGCGTTGAGTGACAGCAGCAATCGTTCTGTCTTCTATACGGTACAGTATTCAATCCATCAGATCATTTGCCAGCATAACAACCGACGCCCTTATAGATTCTTCCGCATGAACACATTGTAGCGTTGTGTGAATACCTGGTCTTTAGACATGTCCAAGGAATAGCGATCAACATCCCACCCGTACTTGTGAATGCCATTGGACCAAAACTTGTGCGGCACTCCTCCCCTACTCGACATTGAAGAGCATCATCAGCACAAAGCATAGTCAAATTTAGACCCAGCTCCACAAACAGAAGGTATAGAGCGTGCACAATCACCATCCAAGCAGCGAAACTGACTCACCAATCATACATATCTTTGCAATATGGTCTGGAAACTTGTTCAATGATGATGGCAGCACCCGGCTTGGCGATTCGGATCATTTCCTGTACCCACAACCCAAACCAGTCCTCCTGCCTCTCTTGTGCAATCTCGGCCAGCTTCATGGCCTCTGCCAAAGCAACAAGGCGAAGTGGATGTGTGCAGTCAGATTGCGTGAGAACGAAGCTCCATGCAATCATACATCACAACCAACACGGTGCTCACCCCAATCCTTCTTCTTTTTGTTCAAACAAATATGCTCATAAAGTTCATAGTTGGAATTCAGGTCACCTTTGCCAAAGTTGAGGGGGTCAAGCAGTGTGCTTTTGTTGCATTACAATTCAAGCAGCAGAGTGTATGTAATCAAGGGCAGTGTAAGTGATCAATTGCAGAAGACTCGAGCCTTTTGCTTGCACATCCAGTCTATTTCACCATACCTAATGTATCCAGTGAAGACAACGTCAAAAGAATTGGACGGGACAAAGTGCAGGTCGGTGCTGTCGCCCTGACAGATTGACCCTAGTGTTGCATTCACTTGTGACAGCAAGGCCGGAAGCAACTTGTTCGCCAAGTAGACTGATTCCTTGACGTACTCGTTGCCATAGACCTTGATGCTCTTCAACTCTTTCACTTCTTGCACGGCTTCCAGGGTCAGCAGAATGCTCAGACCAATTCCAGAAGCACTTTCGTAGATTGTCGAACCATCATTCAGATTATCCGTGAACCGCTCTATCTTCCATTCATGCAGACCCGCCTTTACTTCTTCATAGGTCTTTCCCCAGCTGGGGAATTAGAAAGAAAAGAAAGAAGGAGAGACATCAGACGGTTCGTATGGCGATGGCATTGGTCCTAGCGACAGCAACCGAGAACGAAAGACTTCAACTTACCCGTCGTATTCTTCATGTCGAAAGGACTCTATGAAAGCAGTTATGTTGGACTCGATAATGTGCTCTGAGATATTTGTGTACACGCCTTCAAAAGATTCGTCGTAGTTCTGTGCTTGGCGAACTTCCGAGGGGCAGCTGAATTGAGGAAACTGCTGTGGAACATCTTCCGTAGTTGTCATTGCGCCATCGTTTCCTGGTTTTGGAACATCATGCTTCGCAGTAGATCGTATCCAGGTTGTTTCATTGGTACTGGCCAATGCGGAAAGGATGGTCGTAAGGACAATGGCGCTGGCCACAATGGCCACCACAGCTATCATTCGCTTCTTCGTTGTTCTGTCATTCTTGCCATTTTCGAATGTCTTCGTGATATGTACCCTCTCCGACTTGGATCGAAGCACCAGAGCCTCGGACTCTGTCTCATTGTCATCGCAGCCAAATTCAGAAGCCATGGGTCAACAGTGCTCTCTAGAGTGGTATGAGTACGGTACAAAGGTTGATGTGCTTTGTATCGTACAACGTCCATTCCGTGTGCCCTCGTTTCCCTGTGTCTTGAGAAACGGCCAAATCTTGAGAAACGGCCAAATTTTTTGGGTCGATCTTGTGAACAGCGCGCTTCTCGTCTCGCCCGGAGCGTGGAAACCCTTAACGTGGAAAACGCCTTGGATTTACCTGAACCTACACTTTTCAGTTCTATTTTTTATCTTGGTTGACTTGCAAGAAAGCAAGAAGGTCTATCTCTCTAGTACAACAATGGCAATCCATTGTATTCAGAATGTCCGAAAGATCGCAGTTACTGTTTTCATCGCCTTGATGTTAGCGGTGAACACTGACGCTTTTACTCACGGTGTAGTCCCTGTTGGAGGTAAACCCTTCTCGAGACCTCGCCATGGGCTTAGGTTTTGCTGTACTTCGAAAGACTCATCTCGACAAACTCGTGCCGCTCTACACGTGCACCAATCGTCCTTTGGGGACAAAAATGCTTTCATCGATGGAGTGCGGGAAGTGAATGATAACTTTTTGAACCACCTACATGTAGTGACACTTCCCACGTTGTGGGTCTCTTTGATCGCCTCGATGGTGGTGATGGTGTTACGTGTTCGCCCCTCGAACTTGTATTGGTTACACAAAGGCTTCCAAGCCATATTTGCAGCAGCTGGGATGATTTCTTTACCAGTCGCAACGGTTGTGTCAATCTGTGGAATCTTGAGCATGATGCCTTGTGTTGGTCTTGCTCTGTGGATCACATCTCTTGTGTCTTCAATCGACATGGATAATCTTTTCTTGATTCTGGCTGCCGCTTCACAAAAGCTTTCGTTACGGGTGCAAAGACATGCTGAAAAAACAGCCTTTTTTACGATGGCAGACTGGGCACTTTCTACTCCCCTAACCTGGTTTGCCTGCTCTGTGCTACTATTTCCTTTGCATCATCAGATTCTCTTCGGGCAAATCCACTCGGGCATCGTCAAACGTTTGTTTGGGAGGAAATCCAAGCTTAAGGACTCTGCATTGAAAAGCGCAGACTACACGAGTGCATCGAAGCATGCAAAGATGACAAGAAGTGGATTTTTAGTTTGGGCCTTCTCGTCAAGCTTCGTTCTCGGGTCGTTTGCCCTTGCAAAGTGGACACCTCCAATCGAACATCTTGTCTCGATAAGATGCTACGATAGAGCTGCATTCTTGTCCTTGCTGGCAATTTGTCACGGAGCCTTGGAGTTTTTTGTGTCATTGAAAGTCTTCGCGCCCATGTTCCAGAGACACGGTGTGTTTGCAGCTATTGGTGCACAGATGGCTTGGAATTTTAACTTCATACTGTTGCCAATAACAGCTCCATTCCGCATGACCAAGCGCCTATTCAGGGACAGGGAGACCCAAACAGAGTCCGAAACACCCAAATGCTAGTTGGAGTACTAATAGCCATCCGAGAGTGTTCGTCGACAGTTTACACGCGTCAAACCTACAACAACTGCAAAACTTTTGGACTCAACATTTACTTCTACTGTAGTAAGCGGTACTAGTAGTGCTTGTTGCCACTGGCTGGGGTGTCCAGTAAGGTTGACCGCCAGAGATGTTTCAGTCCAGGCTATATCGATAGCCTCGCCACCAGTATCGCGAGGCAGTGTGGATCCTGGAACTGCCTCTAGTGGAGAACATGGTTTGGGACCCGTGCTTCGGCATGTTGTCGTTTCTCTATGTTTGACCCTTTGTTGTCACTGCCAACGCAGCGAAGAGTCTCTGCCGATCGTACCAGCAGCTTGGTTTGATTGATCATACGTATGAATTGTACGGGAGGTGTATTCACACTCCGTACTAACCACCACCACGACCGCCACCACCATTATTGTTGGGTTCTCCTATTACCGGAGGAGGCACCTGTACCTTGGTAACGTTCACTGCATGTTTTCGCATAAAGACATGATATCGTTTTCGAAAGAGCCGATCATCTTCAAACTCTATGGATGCTGGATCTACTTCCCATCCATACTTGGGAATGGCATAATCGGTCCAGAACTCCTGATTGACTCCACCCCAATCAAAGTATGCATCACAAAATGGATAGGATACTTGTTCGACAATAACGGGTGCGCCCGGTTTGGCAATCCGCACCATTTCGGACACCCATGTCCCAAACCAATCATTTTGTCGTTGTTGTGCCACTTCCTTTAACTTTTGATCCTGCCATGATTCTCCCTCACAAATGGATTCATAATACTGGTAGTTTTCCTTGACTCCTTTTTCAATACCCAGAGGATCCAGTAGTGTGCTGAATAAGTCATTAATTCATGATCTATATGGTGAGTGCTGTTTCCATCATCAAGTTATCAAGCTGTGTTTGTTGTTGATATGCTGTAACTCAACTCACCTTATATACCCAGTGAATACCAGATCAAAGGAGTTGGATGGTATGAATTGTAGATTGGTGGAATCCGCAGCACAGACGGATCCTTTGGTAGCATTGAGATTGGGTAGCAATGAATCGAGTATTCGATTGGATGCATTGGCACTGGATGGTATGTATTCATTTCCATAAACCATCAGATTGTTGACTCCTTTGACCTCTTGTAATATTTCCAGTGTCATGATCAAGTTTAGGCCTGAAGTAGCATTATCAGATAGTACGTAATAGTGCATTGAAGGAACATGACAGTTTTGTTTAGCAGGCACTCACTCACTCACTCACTGACACACAACATAGACAAATTGAGAACTTACCAATCCCACAAGCACTTTCATAGATAGAATCGCCATCCTTGAGGTTTTTGGGAAACCGTGTGGATTTCCAATGATACATACCAGCCTTGACAAAATCGTATGGTTTGCCCCATCCATCAAACTCTGATTCGTGATAGGTTGCCAGGAATCCAGAAAAGTTGCTATCAATTTGTGAGGTTCGATTGATGTAGCTTTCCTCGACGGATGTATTGTGAAAGTTTTCGGCATTTTGTACCAAATTGGGGCATTCCAAGGCGACAGCGTGGCTTGTGGAGTTTCTATTGTTGTTGGGATTATTGTTGTTGGGATCCACGGTACCGGTAGAACCAGGAGTAGTAGGGGAAGAAGGTGGATTGACCACGACGCTAATGCTGGTTTTGGTGCCATTTGGGAAGATAACAGTTCCATCGTCCTGGACAATGGGGTTTCCAGAATTGTTAAAACTGGGTAGCACCACCGCCATGAAAGCCGCCAGTAGAAAACTGATGACCAACCAAAAGGCACATCTCCAATCAATGGCAGCTTCGGCGTTGCTGAATCCATAATAAAAGTAGTCATCCACCGTATTGCCACTGCTGCCATTGCCATTGTGATGATTGCCAAACAAGGCCGTTCGATCCACGGAGATTTGTGATATAAGTCCTTCGTCTTCTCCCGAAGTGTACTCGTCTTCGTCGTCTTCATCTTCAAATGGTTCTTCTAAATCCTCCTCATCCTCGTCGTCGTCGTGATAATCGCCATTTTCACGCACATGAGCAGCCTGGTGACGGCGGTGGTGATTGCCTCGACGGTTGTGGCGGTGTCGAGCTCGTCTCGTGGGTGGCGTGGAAAGTGCTTGTTGTGCTTGATGTTGACGGTAGCTCACCAGTTCTAGTTCCTCGTCGGAATGCTGCTGTTCTGCTTCCGGAGACATCATGAGTACCTGCCGTATCGGATATGACACTAAAGGATAGCAGTGGGTAGAAGTAAAGCTCTTAAGCTACCGGTAGCTCTGGAGCTAGTCGACGGTCAATCGAGATCTTTACAAGGTCGTCATTGCGACGGTGTGAATGGTGCGAAAGGTTCACCTCGATCCAGTCCAGTCGCGGCTCTATTGCCCTGCAGAGCTGCTCTAAGATGGAGCGATTGGAAGCAGCCAGCCAAGCTGGCTTCTTGTGGATCTTCCTATTTCCAAAAATCTTGAGGGCACACAAACACCAACTGAACCAAGACGGCACAAGTTCCGAAGAAAAGAAAGATGTCTGCCTTTTTGGTACCATCATCTTCCTCTTGCTGGAGTCCTCTCTTCTTCCTCATTGCTACTGCATCATTATTTTGTTTTCATCAAGATGCTTCGGTGCAAGGTTTTATCAGTCCATCTTCTTCTCTCAAGCCCAAGCGAAGCCCAACGCCTTTCATCCCATCGGTAGCATCCACCAAAGACAATGAAAAAGTAGCTACAACAACAAGTCAGGAATACACTATTGAGACGGTGAAAGGTCCTTTTCAACCAGCTAAGATTGCTCACGTATGGGGCAGACAACCAATCTTGATACGACATGCCTTTGATGCATCGACTCTCCTGTCGGACAACACTTGGCCCGCATGGGAAGACATGATCTCATGGGCAACCGCTGGGGCTGCTGAAGAGGAAGATGAACCATATTATAGTCAAGATGAAGAATCAATTGACACGAAAGAAGAAGATGATGACAACTTTCAGTTTCATGATGAAGAAGACTTATTCTTTCAATATGAGGATGATGAAGATGACGGGGTATCATCATCGCCATCAGATTCTGTGTTGAGCCGTCTCATTCGTCAAAAAGACACGGAACGCTTGGACTCGTATTCTCTGGAATTGGGACCCTTTTCACGAGAATATCTCCACAATCTAATCTACAACAATACTACTGACGACAACAAAACCAAAAAGGACGCCTGGACACTTGTATTGAATGATGTCGATCGAGTACATTCAGCACTCCTTTCATGGATGAATCAAATATTTGATCACACTTGGTTGCCGCGGTGGAGACGAGACGATGGACAAATCAGTATGGCGCAAAAGGGAGGTGGCATTGGTCCTCATGTCGACAACTACGATGTCTTTTTGATTCAGACCAGTGGAACACGACAATGGGTGCTGGGGGCATCATCATTCGATGAAAAGTTGACAGCCCAGCAAGAAATGGACGCACTGATTCCTGGATTGGATGTACGCATCTTGGACTTGCCACAACAACAACAATACTGTGCCATTCAAATGAACCCCGGTGACATGCTGTACCTGCCTCCTCGGGTGGTGCATTGTGGAACGGCCCTTTCCGACGATTGCATGACACTCTCTGTGGGATGCCGTGCCCCGTCGGCTTCCGAACTGGTCTCGCGAGTGGCAGAGAAAGTCGCCTACAGTCTTTCCGAAACAGCCGTCAAACGATACACTGATTTCAATCTGCTGCATCAGGAGGATGAGTCGGCAACTTCTAATGCAACAACCAGCAGTCATGGTGCATCAATTACTCCGGACGTCAAGCACAGGATGAAACAGCTCGTGCGAGACGCTGTCGACGAGATTCTGGATCATGATCTCCTGTGGGATGAAATTGTGGGATGTCTGGCGACAGAACCCAAGCGGCCCTTGTGGCTGGAGGAACCACAATGCGATCGTGAGGAAAATGAGAGTGAAATCGATCAAGATATCCAACACGTGTTGAGTGGAGTGGGCACATTGTGTCTGGTGGAGGGAGTCTCGGTTGCCACGAGCATTGTCGATTCCAACAACGAGGGTCTCGTACCAACTTACCGGGTCTTTGCCGCTGGACAATTGTTTGCATGGAAAGGCAGCGACCAGAATGAACCGGTTTCGCAAGCTATTCTGTCATGTTTGGCCAGTGGTGAACCCTTGACAAAACAGTCGTTGGGAGAAACAAAAGTTGTGCCACCGGAAGCATTGACTGTTTTGGCTGATTTGATGAGTCAAGGCTACCTCTACTTTCAAGTGGACGACTGAGTGATGAGAGTATTACATGGCAGCAGGCTTCATTGACCAAAGAGATATACTTGGGGTTGCAAGCACCCAAAGGAGGAAAGAACTTGACCGGCTACTTGTCTCGATGCTTGTTTTGAACGAGCAAACCTCTTGAGGAGAATCTACATGTATGAAGCATCTAGCTACCGCAGCCGAGGGACATCAAAACCTCCTTCATCGCTGTTAATTCGGCGACAACGACAAAGCAGCATGACATGGCCGAGCGGGAGGAAATGCGGTCTCCCACAGACATCCGGTAGCAAAGATGCAGCGGGAGTTGCTGAGCCGGATGGAAGTTGCTCAGCCAGAGTAGAACTGTGCTGTAACATGTTCAGTAACGGTAAAGCTACCAAATCAGTTGCGCCAAGAGATGAACGACGCTTGTATATCTATAGGTGGTGCTATTTTTATCAACTTGAACAAACAAAATAGAATGCTACCAACGACTCATTTCATGCAAATGAGCACTGGAATGATTGCCCCACAGCACGGTACTAAACCATCGTAGGCAATCGAGTAGTTGTTCTTGAGTTGGATTGATGAGTATGGCTCGCATGGCTTCAATGGCCATGCGTTTGGAAGCATTGGGCGGGAATACTTGTGCGAGACAATTATTGCAATTGTTGAGTATCCGTCGAAAGACTTGCGCGGGTGTCAATGGCTGCATGAATTCCGGCACCATGACATGTCCATAACTGTGTACGATGCGTTCGCAATCGGTCCGCGTCAAGAATCGTTGTCCCTTGCGAAAGACATCGACGTATCGATCCAATGCGGGGACACCAATGACAATATGTCCCGGTAAACCAATGATATCTACTTGTACACCAATTCTTCGTGCAATGCATTTGTAGAGAACGGCCAAGGTCATGGGTATGGCAGTTTTTCGTCGCAGCGTGGTATGCATCATGGAATTGTGAAAATCGTAATAATTGTCGGTATTTCCAGAAAAATTGAGGGTATCAAAAAAGACGGTATTGAGGACTTGCAATTTGTAGAGCGTGATGGGATCCTGATGATTGTCGGTGTTGGTAGAAGTGGATTGTGGTGGTGCCGGATTTTGTTTGATTTGTGTCTTGACTTGGGTAGCAATGTTATCTAGTTGTTGTCGTATCCATTGGTTTGTGATGGCAACGGCATCGGGTCCTTGTTTGATATCAAAGAACATGCGACTGCTGGTAATGGCATATTCTTCCAATTCCGCTCCTGGGTCATCATCGTCGTCGAAAATGGGTGAATTGTGGGTACACAAGTTTTTGACATCGTCAAAGACGACGGCACAATGGACGGATCGCAGCAAACAAATGGCAATTAATTCTTTGCGATTCAGATCCTCATGGTCGTCTTTGTCGTCATCATCAGTAGTAGTCTTGTGCGCCATGTAGCACTTCCAACAGACATCCATGGCATCCGTTCCAAAGGACATGATTTGACTGACGGCTCTAATGACTTGTTGTCGTTCGGTGGTTTCTGTCACCATGAGGGAATCGATGCAGAGTTGCAATTGAGCATCAATCAAGTGGCGTCGATGATAATCGTCCTTGTAGTGAGAATCTTTCCAACGGCGTTTGGGAGGTACGCGACTCTTCCAACGAGCACGATACAATTCGCCCCAACTACCCGATGACATGCAGAGGGATTGAAAGGTTTTGCAGGACTGTTCCATGGCACAGAGCGACTGAGGATCACTCAGGTAGCGGATTATCAAGGTCAGGACACTAGAAGGAATCTCTTCCAGTGAGGAAGGGGTAGATAATGATCGTGTCATTTTAACAAGATAATAATGAATTCTGACTTTTCGGTGATCGTTGTGGGGATAGTAGCTCAGCAGCCATTAGTGCTTCAAAATGCCATAGACTGCTTATATTATCTGATTGAGTGATTAGACTGTCTTGTGCTGTTTGGTTGGTGCCGTATTACTCAATAGAGTAGCGACGGCGGAGGAAGTGGCTTGTGGTGGGCGAATGTCTTCTCCGGCACGGTGTGGGATACCGACCGGTCCGAAATGGGATTTCCTATTCTTTGTTGCCTCTGGTTTTCAGCCCTGAATGAAGCAATCCATTTTTGCTGCTCAGCAGCGCAGCTGCCTTATCGGTTTTCGTGACTGAAATTGCATTCAAATATGCGTGACTTGACCCGGCACTCCAAGCTGACGTCAAAGATGCCGGATCGGCCGATCTTCTTCGACTGACATCGAATCTTTCGCGGCTTCGAGGACAGTCAATGACCAAGCCATCAAAAAAGGACACCGGAGGTGTAATAGATATACCGGGCGAGCTGAATTGAAAGATGGGCGGGCATAATAATATTGTTAAAGTTTGGCTGAAGGTAGTGTCATTAGATTTTTCCGTCTGAGAAAGTGGCGTGGTAGCTTACGGGAGTTTAGAGGTGTGCAACGTGAGACGTAAGATTTTTCCGTCTGAGAAAGTGGCGTGGTAGCTTACGGGAGTTTAGAGGTGTGCAACGTGAGACGTAAGATTTTTCCATCTGAGAAAGAGGCATTGTAGCTTACAAGAGTTTAGAGGTGTGCAAGGCCAGTCATTAGATTTTTCCATCTGAGAAAGTGGCGTGGTAGCTTACGGGAGTTTAGAGGTGTGCAACGTGAGTCAATAAATTTTTCCATCTGAGAAAGTGGCGTGGTAGCTTACGGGAGTTTAGAGGTGTGCAACGTGAGGAAAATATTAGGATCCGTTGCTACGTAAGATTACGAGAATGCGTGAGAAAGAGGGGGTTGAAGTAAATCTCTAACCCTAAGGATAACCAACCAACCAAACCCACCACCACCACAATAAACGGGGTCAGAGATCACCGGGGTCTGCCCGGTATATAACCTGGATCGAGCAACCGCGGTTACAAAGCAAAAGCAAAATCATAATCGTGAAAGCTTGTCATAAAAACCAATCTCCGACCTACTAGCAATCGAAAAGCAACTCGCTGCCATTACTAGCTAGTATTTCTAGAAGTTATTAGTATCATCCAACAAACCAACCATGTCCGCCGAAGAAATTCAAAAAAGCCTGGAGGCCGCCGTGGCTGCCATTAATGATCCCAAGGGGAACAATCTCTACGATGTCACCATTATCTGTACCACCGACGACCATCAGGCGGCCTACTGGATGGACAAACTCTCCCAGGGAGTCTGCCAAAAACCAACGGATGCGGCCGACAAGAACTTTCCCATGGTACTCGCCGTCAGCGAAGATTGGAATGATGCCGGGGGAGCTGGAAATGGACTCGGCACCCTCTACGCTTTTGTAAAGGCATCCAAACTCGCCCAAGAAAAATACGGCGTCGATCTCCAAGCACTCTTGGCCGAACAGAAAATTAGTGCCGCACTCTTTCACACCGCCGGAAAAGGAACTCGTCTTGCCCCTTTGCCAGCCAGTGAAAATAACAACAAACCGGGTGTGGTAAGAACAAAATTTCAGAATAATTGAAAAAGTGCCAATGACGATGATCCGTCGATGTAGACTGTTTGTTTGTGTGCTAACTTGATTTGCATTTTTTTAAATTGCATACAGAAATTACCTTTTTGCAACAAAATCAAGGATGGAAGCTTCAAACCCATCAGTGTCTTGGAAGCTGTTGTCAAGCAAACTGGAATCTATGCTTCCTCCAGAATGGGAAGACTTTCCGTTTACTGGGGAGATCAGGTAGGAATACATAATATCAGCCATGATGGAAGGAAGAAAGGAGCAGCGAAAAACAGTTATGGGATCGCTGATGTTCTTCCTGAGATTGCTTTTGATATCCTTTTCCAAGCGAGAAGATTGATCTAGCTCAAATAATCATTTTTTGTCTTTCTCACACTCTTTCGTTTGTTTTTCCAGGTTTTCATTCCTTCGGCTGCATTCAAGTACAATCCCACCCATCACGCCGATATCATGTGCACTCTGCTAGGAGATACGGCTCCCACGGCAGAAGAATGGGCGGCGCAGGGATTGGACAAGTACGGTGTCATTGCCGTCATTAAGAGCGCCGATGGTGGATCCGATAATGCGGCTCAAGTAGAAAAAGTCTCCCATGCCACAGCCACGGAAATGCTGGGAAAATTGGGTAATATTGGACAAGTAGGACCCAGTCTGGGAAGTTTCTCCGTCAGTGCTGCCATTCTCAAAGCACTCTGCGATGAATATGCCACGGAACTCTCTGCAAAGACGGGCAAATTCGATACCGATCCACACTTTTGGATGCCTCTCACATTGTCCTGTGAGGACTATTGCACTCTCATGAAACAAAAGGGGGTGGAAGAAGGTGTCTCCAAAGCGCACCATGAACGCATGTCCGCCATGAAGTCCAAATTCGATTTGGCTGGCATGGGATTGTTCGGTGCTGTGGATGTCGGAAAAGCCGCCTCTTGGTGGGACTACGGACAGCTCAAACTATACTCCAACAACAGTCTACTAGTCTTGAAGGACAGTGAGGATGCAAAACTCTTGCACAAATTCCTTGGTGTCACCGAAAAGCAAATTGAGTCCACGTTGGATGGAGTCACCGTGGATGGCATTTCTCGTACCTTCCGCACCAAGGCCAAGTCAGGGTCCATCAAAGATTCAGTTCTGGCCAATGTGCAAGCCACTGAAATACAGGCAGATGGAGCCATCATTGTCAATTGTGTGGCCAAGACCATCAAAGCAGGCAAGGGAGCTATTCTGTACAACTTGGTGGGTGAATCCGATGCTGGCATTGTAGCTGCCGATGGAGAGGTGATTGTGGCCGTCACGGAGGAATCGGGTGACTCAATGTTGCTCAAGAGCCGAATGGACATTGATGGAGGCAAGGCATGGAAGCAGAAGTTGGATATGAACTCGCTCAGCTTTGAGGATGTACACAAGAAGAACAAAGAAGCCAACATTGGAGAGATTGAAAAGAAGCGTACTGCCAAGTTTGATACGGTGGCTGCTTCACTTTAAGCGAGCGAACGTCACGCCATCATGAGTGGGAGTGAACTTGACAAAGGAGTCATCAATACAAGACGTGTCACTGGACAGTCTTCGCAGGCCCAAAGTACATACAAAAATGATAGGCCTTCTAGTCGAGTAGCCTTTATATGATGCTAGATAGAGAGTCGAGTCTTTCCATCGGCGTTAAAGTTGTGAGCACAGTCGAGGCATTTTTTACCATAGAACTGTAGCCAAATGGCTTCGACATTACAGACGCCTCATCATAATGTGTGGATTGTGGTGGTTCAGGTTTCAGGAAACAAAGGGCGGCGTCTGTTGAAGGTTGAAGCGGTTTTGTCCTCTGATAATGCCGAAAGTCCATGCTCCTTCAATATTCTAATTGTATCCTTGATCCCCTTGTCGGCATTTTCTTCTTCTCCTTCTTGGTACATGTATTGCAGAGACACACTGATATGGCTAGCCAATGCCTTCAGCACCTGTACGTCATTGTTGGTGAATCCTCTTCGTTGAACTTCGCTCTTGTTTTCTTCCGCTTTCGAAGGATCGTTCCCCACAAGGCTACCTTCAGCGACTTTGTTGAATGCACGGATTACCGCAATGGGCTTCCCGTTGGAGTCCAAGACTGGAACACATACCATGTTTTTGATCCTTGCCTTTTGATCTGTCATTTCATGGCTAAAGTCGGGTTCGCTGTCAACATCATGGATATTCCATGCCTGACCTGTCAATGCCGCTCTGGAGACGATCCCTCGTCCAACCTTGAAGGTTCTCTGTGTCACTTCGCCACTATCCGAGTGAAAATACTTGATGATGATGATTAGGGGGAAGCGGTAGTGCAAACGTCAGCTTCTTTCTACGTACACGGCTCTCGCTCATCAATACACATATCATTGGCAGCAGTACGGTACCTACCTTGGCATATAAATATTGTCCATCAGGATTGGGAATCGGTGATTCGTTGTTTCGAGGATCGTTCTCGACCAAGATGAATAGACTGGCGCTCTGTGCTCCAATCAATGTCTTTGATTCGGACATGACATCATCAAAAATCTCCTGCAAAGCAGCATCCCGTTTGAGCTTGTGAATCCTGTTGGAGTCGATGAACATGAGTGGGAACATGCCAATGATGCATCCCACGACAATCCCCACCCCGCATCCCATTTGACTTGCAAAGCGAACACTGCGTAGTTGTCGCTGTGCGTTGGATAGGTTGGGCATTGGAAGTTTCAAGTAATTGGCACAGAAATCTTCAATAACAGTGCCCATCATGATCCCTGCCACATCGGATATGATGTTGCCTGATTTATTTGAAGAACGAAGAACGACCAATGAAAATTTGAAGCAGATTTTGTGAGATCTTTTGATCCAATCCATCAACCAATTACTTAATCAACTTCTCGTGTTGGTTATTATCGTGTACATACCTATTGCAGCAGCGCATAGAGTACTGATGCCCAAAACCACACCTGTAGCCGCATCAAATAAAAGAAGCGTCAGTTTTGTCACCATTGCAAATAATATCTACTTGGTATAATGCACAGTACGGTACAATACGTACCCAATGATTGATCAATAGCATCTCCTGCAACGATCAAGATGGCATTGTCCATGAATCCAAATCCCAAGAATGGAATCGCTTGAGCGAGTGCTACCAATCGTAGATCCCGGAGGGTGGGCGGTGGCACCTCGTCTACCAAAACTTCTTGTTGGGTGGCAGCAGCAGCTGCAGTCAGATTGGATTGTTCGGCCGCCGATACAAATTCTCGTCTGGCTTGTGGTGACAACTTGTGTGCCAATTCGGTAGCTGCTTCCATGGAAACGGCTGATTGGTTATTAGCAACCAGAGCGATGGATCTGGCACAGTCTTCAATGGAAACCTCGGCAGCCGAAGCATCAGAAGACAGGTATCTTCGTCGAAGACATGCATATTGGGGGATTGTCTCAATTTGATGAGGTCTTCTGATAAGTGCTCGCGTGGACGCAGATGACCGTCCAGGATATCTGGTGGCAGTCTTCGTTTTGCCAACGAGAACGATGGGGTATCGTCGGAGACAAGGATCCCAGAGCTTTCTTCTTGAGGAAATCATTGTGTAGTGTTATGAATGAAAACCAGCTACTTGTTTGTGGTACCTGGTACCTTCTAATTATTATCCTTGCTGTTTTGGTTGTCTTTGTCCCAGCTCTGGGCTGTTGTCACTAACTTGAATGATCCTGTACTTTGTTCAGCTCTTTGTTCCCATTGGGGGCAGTTGGTACAATGGTACGGACGTTGGTAAAGATCGGAAGATATCTTGGACTTCGTGCAATGTGCCTCCAGTTGTCACAGAGAACCCGAACCCCAATAAAGCGAACACCGATTATTGTACTTTAACCCCAACCCCAAGTTACTCTTAGCCTTATGGAAGCGAACCCAGCTGAAACAACGCGGGAAAGAGAAGAATGCTTTTCTTCCTTGAAAAGCGTCATTTCGAAAGATGCCGCCGATTGGGTTAAGTATTTTCCGTGAACCCGGGTTTGTAAGTTCTTAAGTAATTTGGATGAACTTGGAGAAAAATGTCGAACGCGAGCCTGGCCCCTTTTGAATCCTCACGACGACGTGTTAGTTAGAAGTAAGAAGGCCCAAGTTGCTGCCATTGCCGGTTGTTGTTCTTGCAATTTGGTTGGGCTGGTTTTGTTGGTTCATGCTGACAGTATTGCAGAATCTGCGAGAGAAGCGGATGCACTTGACCTACATCACTCGTGAGTGTCAGACGCCGCTCAGGGCCTAGTTCTTTCGCACTTTATACTTTTGCATTGGGCTAGCCTCCCATTTTCCGCATTCTCAAGTGCCATCATTCATTCATCCATTCATTCATATATATTTCATTAGCCAGTGGCGACACCATGACATCCTCCTCGTCTGGTCCACTACTACCGGTACTTCCATTATCATGCTCATCACCCTCTTCCTGTCCATTATCCGCTGTAGTAGCTGCACCGGCCACCCCTTCTACAAGTACGGAAGCTAGCACTACTACTGATCCCCTATGTTCCCCCATGTCCGACGCTTCTTCTGTGGCGAGCCGACAACAAACCATTAGTACTAGTGTGCCTACTACTTCCTCTGTTTGGAACTGTGAGGATCTTCCAGCCTCCATGTTCTGGAAAGGCGCCATGAAACGACGACAAAGCAGTCTCTTTTTGATGGTTCTATTATCCACACTCCTCCTTGCTTCCTTGCTGGCTCTCACCAATGTCCCACGAGACGAACACTCGCCTCGCATGTTAATGCACCCTCTGTCTTCCATTAAGCACTCGCAACCACAAGACGAAACATCAATTCGTTATCTGACGTTTGGATCTTCTTCCACCTGGGGAGAAGGATTGGACGATCCTCACACCCAAGCGTATCCCTGGAGATTATCTCCTACCGTTCATAATGTCGCCGCACGGGTCGGTGGAATATCCCTCAGTGCCATTTGTACCCAATCCATTGTCGGGGAGGGAATCTACGATGTGATTGTCATGGAGATGATCGAGGGAGTCACCGACGTGGAAGCCGTCATGCAACTCGCTAGACGGATCCGACAACGCTTCCCCATTGCCAAACTCGTTTTTGTACGACTCTGGTCACCCGCCTCTCATATCGTCTACGATAACCACGTACCGCTTCTTGAATGGTGGAACCAACAAGCCGACGCTCCATTGCTACAACCACAAGAGAAGGACAGCCTGCTACAGAGCTACCCCTTCCAATCTGCTCTCTTGAACAGTGACCCCTCCCGCTGGTCTTTTGCCGACTATTCCCAACAGTCACAAGAGATTGATGCCGTCGTGGAAGAAGTACAAGGGTACCTCTATCAGCTGCCATTGCCCAACGCAGCAGAACAACCCATCCCCATCATGCTCACTTCCTCCGACACGATGGACTTTTTCCACGAGAAAAATCCTCTCTGGTTGTCTCCCAAGGGACACGAAATGGTAGCGGAAGGAGTCCAACGATTGGTGCGACAAGCCCCGGAACCGGCACAACCGCTACCACAGTTGGGCACCTGGGGAGTCGGTGACGCCTGTTCGCTCTGGTACGGCACGGGCGATTATTCCACGCTGCGGTCGCGTCGTCGGGCCAGTTTGGTCGACTTTTCCAAGGGCACGGATGGGTTTCACAAGCATGCCGTAGAAATCAGTCGTCGGGGTGGATCCGTCGATGTCAACAATCCCTTTGCGGAACCCAGAATGCTCTATTTGACGTACATGACGGCCCAAGGACGAGAATATCCCCGCACCAAAGTTACTGTTGGTGGCAAGGCATCCGTCATGATTGACCCCGTTCATGAGGATGTCGACACGGAGGACCACTTGACACGGACGACGGCGGTGGGATTGGTGCCTCCGGGACGCACCGTTCTCCAGCTAAATTCCCTCGATGCCGATTCGACGAGTCGATTCCGACTGGTGGGACTCCATTTTCTCAACAAGGGAAAGGTGCCCATTCCATTTGAGTTTGATTTCGAACCCGATACCGCTCATCGGTAATTAATTCTGGTGCAACGGTTTTGGGGAGGAGGCTACTTTGGAGCAATGAGGCATGGCATGGTGAGAGCTACAACATCTTATCTTTGTGTCTGTCAAACGTAGAAACTTTAATGATAGAAAACAACTTTTTTGTTACTAGTAGTTGCGGGGCAGCTTTAAATTATCGTTCACAGGAGACATCAAAATTTTCCCTAGAATAGCTATGATAGCAATGTTTGAAGCAACACCTCATGTCTTGTCCGAGGACAAAGCTAGCTGCTCAGTCGGTGCCCCCATTCCCCAACTCTGTCGGAGTCAGAGACCTGATTTCCTTCCTCTAGCTCTAGCTAGCCAGTACCGGTGGCCACCCCTGGATCCTAGAAAAAAATCCCAATGCCACAACTCCTCTGGCAACAAAAGACCTTATTGGAACGTGTCTTTTCTCAAGTGACTCACAGTGCAACTCGTACCGGTAGGCTGGGCGGATGGCTAGCAAAGCCAAAGAGGAAAGCAGGAAACATTCCTACAACATGCACTGCATGGTGGTGGGGGAGAGAAGCCGCCAATGCATGATGACCGTGCGTCTAGCTAGCAATCTAGTATCGGTACTATTCTTCGGATAGCCCGAAGCTTCATGACTAACTGGCATGCAAGGCATTCCACAACCAGACCAAGGAGGCATGACGGTCTTGCATTATGCCTCTGCCGGTCTTTGTGTCGACTAATCGTGGACATAGCAATGTCAATGGAGAAGAAACTTTGGGCTCGATTCGGCGAGATATCGTTTTGGGGAGCAATTTGGTCGGAACCTGCCTGGCCAAATTCTGCCTGTTGGTATTGCAGCTACTGGTACAACATTTCGCACTACAGCTAGCCCAGTAAGCCCAATCATGGGCCCAACAAAATTCTACCCAAGGACTAAGGGCCAATTCAATCCACCAAGGGCTTCTTTGGACCATCTTGGTTCAACGCACAAAGCAGCATGGGATTGTTGTTGCCAGGTGTTGGCGTGGTTTGTTCCGAGGAGGTTGTTGACATCGTGGACTGAGGCAACTGGAACATCGTGGAAAAATGTCCATGACTGCAAGTTCGTGACCCAGCCATCATCCAAGACGTCAGCCCAATCAAGCTCCGACCATCCAAAAGCGCTGGGCTTCGATCCTCCTTGCTTGTTGTCCAACATAATTGGCTTATTACCATTCCAAAGATCCAACAACCAAAGAGCAATAGATCCATGCTTCGCTGTTGTCTCCTTCTGCTGACCCTGGTGGTGGGTACCACTGGGTTTTCCTCAATTGGGGTTCCAGGTTCAGTTTCCAGAAGTCCTTCTGCACGGTACATGTCTTCCTTTTCCGTGGATGGCTCGGAATATTCCTCCAAGGACTCGGACTACGTAGATGATGATGAGTTTGGCGGCGGAGAGTTTTCCAACGGGTACCGAGATCCCGATGACACTGGTGACAGTCCCACGGTAGAAATGAAGCCCGTACCCATGTCCAAGAATGCTGGAAACCGATTTGTGGCCTTCGTGTGGGATCGCTTGTTGGATACCGAGAATCGAGATCAATCGGAATTGCATCATGATCGCATCGACCTGACGGAAGATCACGTCATGTTTTGTCGAAAGACCAATCTGTACAGTGATGAATTCAATACCGAGAGCATGGTGGATATCCTGTTCAGTCGACAGTTGTAAGTGTGGCCCAAATGTATTTTTGATTCTGTGACATACTCGTGGTCAATTTGCAATCCACTTTTTCTAATCCTTGCAACAAACTCCCTGATGAATAAATAAATACCTCAGACTATCGTCGGATTTGCGAAGAACCATTGGGCACGCCTTTTGCATGGAATCCACGGAATTGCTGCACATTCAGGAACTCATGAAAAACGAGCCCATTATCAATATGCTGACTGAAGGAGATATTTCCAATATACCCTTGTATCGTTGGCGTCATATTCGGGACTATAGTTTGCGAGTAGACGACGGACGATTTGGTTGTCCTTGCATGCTGGTGGCCACGGATCATGAACCCGAAGAGGTGGGGAATCTACGAGCCGACGTGTGGGACCAACAAATGGAGGCACTCATTCGAAGTGAACGCATCATTGCCGCCGGGCCACTGCATTTACCCACAGAGTTGAAAGACGATGAAGCATCCGCCCTGGCAGTCGGGGATATGATCATGTTCAATGCCAAAAATCGAGACGAGGCTGTGGAATTTGTAGAATCGTTGCCATATGCACAAGAAGGATTGTACCAAAACATGAAGGTTCACTTTTACAATACACTTGATACCACAGGAAAGTTTGTATCCGAAGACCCACTCCGGGATTCTCCCTGTGAACAGATGCAGGAAGCACTGGATGTATGGGGATATCCAACGGGCGACGACCAAACTCCGTGGTTGAACTGGTAAACAGTGTTTTTGAAATAACGATCTGTAAAGCATGGTTAGTTTTTCAAGACGCTGTCAGTCTGCTATATGCATGCACATGATGTAGCTAGCAATGTATCTACTTAGCCAGTAATTGAAACGCTTGATAGAACAACAATATCGTCCTAGTAGCCAAAAGTCCATATAACTAACTACCAACGACACCACTTGCTATCCTATATTCTCATTTCCTTCTTTGGTGATGTTTCTCCTGCCAGCAAGGATTGAATCTGACGGTATGGGTACAACGACCTGTGACCGTCCGACCAGTCCACAGAGAGAGCATATTGACCGGTAGGATACATTTTCATGGGTCGGATTTCTTCCGAAATGTCCGTTGCCATCAATATCTGACGGCCTGTCATTTCCTCGACACAAGCAGCGCATCGACAGCTTCGTCGCAAATTGGCAGGGGTGATAAAGTCATCATCCACATTGATTTTGTGAGCAACGTCATCAAAACTAATTTCCGGACGCATCGAGTCCTTGCTATACTTGGACTTGGCAACTTCACTGACAACCGTTCCTGCTAGTTCCAGATAGGTCTTGGTTTGTGTACTTTCGGGATTATCGAGAACGTAGGGTGTTCCTGAATCTCCATTGGCCGCAATCTGATCCATCAAGGGCATGGAATACGTGTGTTCAATACCCCATTGTTCCGACAAGCGTGTTTTGTGTCCCGGTCCAAAGATGCGAATTTGTTGCTCGGCAGGAGTATTTTCCAAGACGAGTTGTACCAACTCGTCGGCCATGTCATCTGCTTCTCCATTGGCCAGAGTCCCCTTCGCTCGCAACTTTTCTGCAAATTCCTCCTTTAGCTTTTCCTGATCCACATTGTTTTCGACTTGGTAATAGGCCATATTCTCCACAACGGCCACACAGGGGACATTGACGGAATCAAACATTTCCACACCTCGCACGACATCCGCAAAACTCAATTCTTGTGGTGTCGTGACAATGACAGCGGCTGTAATGTTCAAACGTTGTGTCAGAGTGAGTTGAATATCTCCGGTGCCCGGCGGCATGTCAATAATGAGATAATCCATGGATCCCCAGTGTGTGACGCTCAGAAACTGATCCAACAGTTGCGTGATCATGGGTCCTCTCATGACAGCGGATCCTTCATTGACGTATCCAAAACTCATGAGTCGAACTCCATTGCGCTGGAGAGGAGCAACTTGTCTTCCCACAAATCGGACCACGTCGTTGTCCGGAGTCACCATGGTGGGCAGGGAGGGACCGTAGAAATCAGCATCAAAGATTCCCACCGTGGCACCCAATCGTTGCAAGGCAAATGCGAGATTGACGGCGGTGGTGGATTTGCCGACACCACCCTTGCAACTCGACACGGCAATGACGGCACCCACCTGTGTCATGCCGAGTGTTTCGGTATCCATGGCGGTTTCTTGGGCCGTCATGGTGACGGACACCTTTTCGGTCCATGCAATATCCTTGACGAGCCGTTCGCAATCGGAGGCAAAGACTTCCTTGACGGGGCACGCGGGAGTCGTCAATTCGACATCAAAGGAAACATCGCGATCATCCAATTTGAGATTCTTGACAAACCCCAGGGTGACAATGTCTTGATTCAAATCAGGATCAATTACATTGCGCAATGCTTGTAGAACGTCTCCTTGCCATTCTGTTGGAATGGGAGGCAGCTCAGTACTGTCTTCGCTGTCACTGGCAAACAAGGGGGAGATGCCAAAGCCTGTACCTGTGAAACTCGCAGCGCCCACTCGAGTTGGAACTGGTGTAACAAAAGCCCTGGCAAAGCTGGCAACTTGCACCAGCAAGCCACACGTCAAACCAATGAACCGTCGATTGTTCAGCCTCATCATTGTTTATTTTATTGCAAAAAAGTGTACACAAAGCCAAAGATTGAGATGCAACAAACAGGAGCTTTGTCTTGTTGGAATGTTGTCGAGTTGCTTGGTGGCAGCTTTGGTTGAAGTTGTTAGACTGACGTCAGCGTGACTGAAAGGTTTGGGAGTAAACTCTGCCCCCAATCTTCGGTGCCCCAAGCCCCAAGATCATCCCCTTCTCCGAAAGATCTCGTCGCTCGTCGCGGCCTCCAAGATCCACAAACGGAAACCCAATCTGCTAAAGAGGACAATGAGATAATCCCAATTGTATCGCGACCATGTCGTCAACACCCAAAGAAACTGGCTCCGGACAACCTCCAAGTCTGCTGACTTCAGCCTTATTTCTGTTTGGATCCATTGGATGCGCCCTATTCGCGATCCTGATCGTCGCTGGTATTCCCATGGCGTCTCCGCTACCGGATTTTCTCTGGCAGGTGCCGCTGACAGGAGTGCCAACGGCGATTTTCTTTGGGTGTCTTCATTGGGTGTCGATGCAGCTCTATCTCAACAACTAGCTATCACACACTCTGGTGAAAATACAATATTGCATCTCTCTTCCCGGCTAGCAAAAACTTCAGATTTGTTATTGGCCCAGATCATGAGGTGAGTTCTACTTTTCGTTTCGGTTATCGTGCCGTGTAGTATCCTTGTTGACTTGCACCAGAATGTTTGCTGTGACGAAGAACGGGCCGAATTTGGCCTTGACCCTGACTGTCAGTGAAGGTCTATAAACTTTTTAACTGCAATCTGAGCTCTCATTCTCTATAATAATAGCTAGCCAGCGGGTATTATTTGGGTTCATTGATGAAACACACCAGCAATCTCACAATTTCTTGTTTGTTTGATTCTTTGATTGATTCTTTGGCTCTATCACTCATGTTAGTGTCGCAAAACTGGCTGCCATGGCCATACAGTCAATCATGTGAAGGGGCTTCCGATGCATGGTTGGGTATCTTTCTCAGATTTCGTGCCATCCCATGACAGCCCTCCTTGCTTAGTTCTACAAGACTGAATGGGGTGGAGCAAGGTTTTGGCTGCACGAGTTTCAGCCTTGCACGCTTTTGTGAGTGGCGGCTCAGGGGAGCGCACTTGCCTGCCTCTGAACAGATGAAGCACAACTTCATGCTGGCGAAGTGCTACAAGCTTTGATCGTTCACGAATCCCTTCAAGCAAACCATTCTTTCTATCCTTTGATTGTCAACAAAGGCCCGGTGAGTACAAATCATCAAGGCAATCCGTTTCTCTCATTTGATCATCACAATGGCCCGGTGAGTACCATGTCGTGGTGATGATCAAATAAGAGAAACGGAGTGCCTTGATTCTTTGATTCTATTGTGGTTTTGCTGAGCGAAGATTATGAGGGGATTGATTGAGCAGTGAGAAGAGTGATAGATCGAAAACAAGTTACGTTTTGAAAGAGTGTTGAATGGATTCGAATCGGTTCTTAGCGCTTTGGCCACGGAGGGAAAATTCGAGTTTGCGCCCAAAACCCGACGAATAGGTTGCTGGCGTTGCACAACAGCTGAGCATACGATCTAGCTGGCCCAGACTGGCAGTCTGGGTTTGTGTAGCTACAGGATACGAAATAGCGAGTGTAATCCTTTCTCATTTCACAAATGCCTCGCTCAATCAAAGTCTTCGCGACAGTATGGTGACTCGTATCCCAGAGAGGATTGTCCCTGACAGTTGCCAAAAGCCTTGCGTAGATCCCTTTCCTCGTAAGGATGTCAATATGTCAACCTATTTGGGTTCTAGCTGTCGGTACCAAGTTCTCGTACAGTAGTGTCTTTGCCCTTTCCAGTCCAGCCGACGAAGCATTTTTGCCAACCCTGCTATCGGTATCGGTTTTCCTTTTGGCTAAATGACTTTGCTGGCTTCTGGCCGCGAAGCACCTTGGCCCCTCATTTTTCTCCTGGCCATCATGATGGCTCTGGTACCTTGGCATTGGAAGACATCAGCAGTCGTCCGAGCTGTCAGCTTGGCTTCTATTGTATCGACCTCATCAAGACTCTGCTATTCCGCTTATGCCTTTCCATCACTCCTCCCAAACCGAAGATTGCCCTCTCCATGCCACCTCCCAAATGGCCGCCGTTGCCATCTTCATGCGACATCCAGCAGTAGCACACAACAAGCCCAACTGGATAGTACTGATGTGGATCACATGAATTTGGCCTTGGAGTGTGCCAAAAAAGGTTTCGGTAACACGTATCCCAATCCAGCTGTTGGTTGTGTGTTGGTACGGCAAGAAACCAATCAAGTGATTGGAAAGGGATTTCACCCCCGGGCTGGGTATCCACATGCTGAGGTCTTTGCATTATTGGAAGCCACTGGCCATTTAGAGGATGGAGTCAAAGCCGCTGCTGCAGTGGTTGCGGGGTATCCTCCGGCTCGTGCCGAGAAAAAGAAGACAGACTCCTTGACCCAAACTCTCGACTTGGTCGAGGAACTCACCCAACAATACGCATCGGAAAATGGCCCAGAACAACTATTATCCGACGACAGGACCTTTCAAGACATTCCTGTTACGGCATATGTGACGTTGGAACCATGTTGTCACTATGGGAAAACTCCTCCATGTGCTGCCTCTCTCGTCCAAGCCAAAGTATCCCGGGTCGTTGTTGGATTTCGGGACCCCAATCCAAGAGTTGATGGAGGTGGAGTACAGCTATTAACGGATGCGGGTGTTCAAGTAGACATGATGGGAGATGGCGACAATGATGATTCTCTCAAAATGAACGAGGCATGTCACAATTTGGTAAAAGATTTTGTCAAGAGAATCACACCGCGTGAAGATTTCTCGGGAGATTATTCCTACGTTACAGGTGCCATGCGACGGGGTCTCCGAGCCCATGCATCAAGGCTCAAAGCCCAGAATAAAATGGCCGAGATGGTATGGAAGGGTCCCAGCTTATCCGATCAGGATGCCTTGACCGAGGAAGCCATTATCCAAGAGTTGTTGCCGTTTGACCCATCGTGGCTCGAACGATTGGACCATCTCTTGTGGCAAAACGAAGTTGTCCTGCTCCGCCTGGGCAAAGCCATCAAGAGAAAAAAGGGTGCCAAGTTGCTTGGTGAACTGATTGCAGAAGAGCTTGAGGCACATGTGGCGCAAACGGTAGGCCACACGGCATTGCTGTATCGACCCGGTCTGCCACCTGATTTGGATCTGGAGGCTCTGAGAGAAAAGAGTACTGATGCTACCAGTAGCTAGCTCGCAGACCGCATGGTAGTAACGCGATATAGACTATAGCAAAGCATCCTGCTTCTTCCGGATGCTGGCTGCGAAAAACTAGTGCTGCGACCTTACCATAGTTCCAACAACAACCAGCTTGACAAAAACTACGAATATGCCAGCTACTCAGGCAGTACTACTTTACTAATACCAATCCAGTAAATTGTACATGTATGAGTTCTTCATTCATTCATTCTAATTTATAGTTTTCATTGCACTGCAAAGTTAGTTGTTGACGTTCCGAAATGGCGTCAACCTCCCTCCTTGTTTTTCTTGAAATGAAATTCATTTATACAATATTGTCATCCTTGTTGCGCCATTTGCTGTGGCTCCTTCTGTGCGACAATTACATCATTAAAATGGAGCATCCGCCACAAAGGCAATTTCTTCTTGCAACGTTGGATGAAAGAATTTCAAGGATTTGGCATGAATGCAGGACATTTTGCCATTTGCCGTTCGTGCAATACGTCGTTGCAACTCGTCACTGGCGCAACTGGGGTTGGGTACCAGCTCGTCTCGTTCTTCCTTGGTGAGACCCCCATTGGATGCGGCATCCCCGTCAATACCATAGGTAGCATCTCCCACAATGGGATGTCCAAATGCCGCCAAATGGACATTGAGTTGATGCGTTCTGCCACTCAAGCTGGTGAGAGCCACTCGTGTGACGGGCAGTCCATTCAAATCTTCTCGTGCCAAGACTTTGTATTTGGTGAGACTGTCCTTGGGCAAATCGAGTATTTTGGGGAGCCGGAGTTGTTCGGGATCCAAATCGAGCAAGGCTCGTTGATGATTTTCGGTGGATACTCTCATAAAGGGAGGGAATTCGTAGTCTCGCATCAAGGGTAGATTGATAATTCCAGCATCACTTTCAACGTGTCCACAAACCAGTGCTTCGTATTTGCGTTCAATGGCACGGGTTCGAAAGACCTCATTCATGCCTCGTAGGGCATCCATGGTTTTGGCAAATACCATGAGCCCCGAGGTATCCATTCCCAATCGATGTACGACCATCATGTCCATGCGTCCCATTTCACATCCCACGGCATCAAATACAGACTGCGCCATGGAAGGATTGACAATCTTACCTGGAACCGAGAGTACTCCCGTGGGTTTATCGACGATAATCAAATCTTCATCTTCGTACACAATTTGAAGGTCCTGTTTATTCCAATAAATAGAAATAATAGGTGGGTGAGAGACTTGATAGAATCAGTAATAAATGATGATTGGGATAATCGTTCGTTCGCACCTGTTTGGACAGAAAGGTGGATGTTCGATCTTTGGCTTGCAGTCGTTCCATTTGCATGGCCAAACGAGCATTGATTTCGGCTTCGGTCAGAGGCAGAATCGATTCCACCCGTTGACGTTCCAAGGATGACACTACCGATTCTGTCACTGCATCGGTTTGTTCTTCTACAATCACCGTGGTACTTGGACGTTGGGAGGATCTCTGTTGTTGTTGTTCCGGTTGGGGTTGCAACGGACTAAAGGCATGGCTGCTGCTGCTGGTCAGGAGGACAACACAAAGGAGGGCGGTGACAAGGCGCATGGTTGGTTGTTTGGTTGCTTATTTGATTGATGGCAGAGTTTCAAAAAGAGGGAAAGGCAAAAATAAATGGACTGCAAAGAATTCTCACTGCCATACACTACTGCCATCAGCCATGGATCCATTGTTTCACCGGTTGTGTTATTGTTGGTTCCTTGACACTTGACTTGCTTTTGATTTATTTGGGATGAGGGTCATAACCCAAACAAACGTCAGCGTTTCCCACGGGACTGTAAGCGTGACTTACCCTCATTTTTCATCCCTTCAGCTCCAACGGCTTACCGGGAGATGACACAGTGAATGATCTTTCGTGGCAATGAAAAGCATTTCGACCGTTCGGAGTGGCAATTGAAGCTTCTCTTTCTTTGTCACCTTTGGACGACACACAAACAAAAACAACAATGAAGGGTCTTGTACTGTATCTTTGTGTCTTGGCGTTGGTCGGCTTGGGGCTTGTCCAGGAGGCAGCCGCCACGAAGAGGCATTTGAGGGGTTACCGAAAGGAAAAGGGTGTTCGCAAGGGGCGCATTGTTGTCACGCATCGAAAGCTCCAAGACGATAACGAACCGGAGGAAGAAGAAGAAGAGGAAGAGGAAGAAGAAGAAGAAGACATCTTCTCGTGTCTCGCCAACCAAATCCTTGAGAACCCTCAACAATGGATTGGTGGGGCGGAATTGGCTGCATGTTTGCCAGAGCTCATCACGGGATTCTTGGAAGGTGACGCCGAGGCCTTGACTACGGTATTGACTTGTATTGGAGGAGCCGTGGGTTGCAACCAAGAGGTTCTATTGATTCGTCCTAGCCCACCTGGACCACCAGGGCCGCCTGGACAACCAGGGCCGCCTGGACCACCACGACCGCCACAAAATGATGGCATGATCAATGCACCTCCCATTGTGGTAGCCCCTCCCCCTGGCAATTCTATGGGTGGTATGTTTGACGGAAGCAACTAACTAGCTTGTAGGTGTTTCTGTAGCAACTTCTTACTTCTATGCATACCGATACTGGAATATAGATTTCGGTATACTCTAGCTAGCACTCAGAGTAGATATATAGATTATTACTGAGTACTCGAGTATTGAGTTTGACAATGCTTTCGTCAGCACATGGGAACCCACCTCCATGGTTGTATGTATTACAAGCAAACCGACTTCGATAGTTGTACGTAGTGTTTTACTGGCTGGGTAGCTACCAGTATCGGTAAACGAAAGATGGCTACTAGGCAGAGCCCAGAATCTAGACTTTCTAGGGCTTGTTGCAAACACATATAATGGTTCCAAACACAATGGTGCAACAGATAGATCGCGCAGTGGAGGCGACTTGGCTCCTCGACGACCTTAACAGTTTCGTTGGTCGGAGATCAAATGCAGCATCATTCCAGAGGCAATGTGTGCGAAGCTTCTGGAGCAGCATGCGACCACTCACCGAGCACGTGCAAATATGCAGCTCGCGTGAATTATGCTTTGGTCAGTGTGCTGTCACTGATCCCCTACTCGAGTCAGAGTCAGAGTCGAGTCGAGTCGAGTGTGTTCGGTAGTCCTCACATGTTGCTTGCTCTGAGGGTTGCGGATTGCAATTCTGTCTCCTTGCCAATTTGCGGGGGTGGACATTCCTTGCTATGTGCGTCCCCGGCAGTCAGCCAGAGAGGGCACCCAGAACAAACCCATTTGCTACACGCAATGTATTATCCTCACAACGCGAAGTCCTGGGCATTCGGATATCTCCTTCGGAGGCTAGCACCAGTCTTTGCCATTCCCATCATTGGGTACGATGTACGGAAGTTGGTACTGGCCCAGCACCTGATCCAGGAGGCCACTCGACCGGTGCCGTGCGGATCAAAGTAGCGTAGATTTTCTCAACTAGCTAGACCACGATTCGTCGTAAAATCATGACCTGGATCGAAGAAGATAGCAATAATATTATTACAAAGCTTTGCACTCTGTGGCATGAGATCCAAATCAAGATGAGAATGTATTGGTACCGACTGTCACTCTTTTCACCAGCAGGACCACGCAGACTGAAACGGGGAATCAGTCAAAGCATTCCTTATTGGAAATCACAGGCTGATGAGGCTCTTGCTGGTTGCGACGATCCATCCTTTCTGCTGCGATCGACCGCCAAAAAAACTGGTCCGTCGGCACTGTTCCCATGGCGTCATGAATCGGATCTTCCAGATCGGTTGCTGGCGAGACAACGGGCCCACAATCACCGCATTCTGAGCTATGAAAATTCCACTTTTGCCATCAGCGCGCTGACTGCAAGATTGTATCTCAACGTTCCGCTGTGGAGAATGTTGGCCAGTGGATGGGGTCAGGATCTGGCTGACAACTGTTCATGGGCATTCTATCAAGCAGTCCAAGACGTGATACATGGTGTATATGGAGGTGCGTGCGATGCACTATTCGTGCAATCGAAGTAGAAGATGGGAATGAAGACTGTTGTAGCTTCTGTGTTGGGGTATCTTACTTGGTTGATTTCATTCGACTACATGTACGACAACGCGCAGGTTCGGCAAACTGCAATAGCGATCAGGATTCAGCTCTCGAGTTTGAGTACACCCACCAATCAGCGGCGGATCACAATATCCATAGCAATAATATTGAAGACGATTCAGAGTCCCAGAAGCTCATGGAACCAAACCTCTACAACTTGTATTCAGAGGCCAAAAAGAGTGGTCAAAACCAGATACAGGTATATCTGCGGACCAAGCCGACTCGTGCACAGCTGCATTCCCTCCATGCACTGCCGGCATTGAACCGCTCCATGGCTAAAAAACACCCACTCTTGCTTCGAGAAATTGAGCAAGCACAATCAAACAGCAGCACTGTCAGTACAGTGAATATGAAACAAATGGATCGAATTGTAAAGGAGACCGGAACGCTGCAAACTACCGTGTTTGCCGAAGTTTTGGTCTGGTGTGACGAGGTGTTCCGTGTCACGAATCTAGAGACTGGGGCGCTGCTGCAAGGCTATGACGATGGCAAGGAACGAGAGGTGGTTCATGGTGTGCGGCTCGAGATTGTCTCAACTGTAGTCCCAAGGAAGGGCAAGGCGAATTGGATCATTACCGACATTGACGACTTGCTGTTAGGGAATACATGGTACAGTCCAAGCGGCGCCCCTTGGTACCATTCGGGCTAGCCAAACATGCAAATCTGGTTGAGAGCCATGAATGCCTTTACACCAGATGCTACTGGTACCTATGTAACAGCATTACACAGAACTACCAGTAATCCTTGCCCGTTGCCGATGGCATCACTAGTACTGTGCCATCCACATCGCTTTGTAGTTGGCTGTGCCTCCATTGCAGCGGATATACCGGTCGCTGTTTTGGGATGGAGCGGGTACGAAAGCCGAGGTTGTTCCACATTTCCACTAACTCTGTTCTTGCTGTCTTTTGACATCCCACTCTTCGAATCGCATCCTATTCCCGTGATTCCCATCCGGAAGGACAGCGGCTTGCGCCTTTTCCGTGGGTCCTTTTTGAGACGTTTTTGACTGGGTCCTTGCGTATCGTACCGACACAAGCAACCGTGGCGGCTTGCAACCCACAAGCAAGCAACTCCCGGCATTTTCCGAATAGAAGCGAGTGGGGACACTTGTAGGCTCAGCCGAACGCTTCGTCCTCCAGGTTCTATCTCTAGCTATTGTGGTCACGGGTACGATGGTCCTTTTCAGATCCGTGCCAATGCCGTTGCTACCTGGATCGACCCAGTGGGAATAATAAGGAACTGCCGTTGCTTGGACCGCTGTGAATGATTGAAGTTCCATGATTGAATCATTCGTTCGATTCAAATGACTCCGCGACCCGATTTCGCGGGATTTTTCTTCCACGGTGGGCTCACTCTCCCAAAAATCTCATCATTTAGAGTGCTATTGGACTTCAGCGATCCGATCCAACACGAATCGAACTCACTCCATCTTTCTCTTCATTTCTATCGCACCAAATAGACAGCCAACGCATCGATTGTTGACCATACATACCTTGATCAACGCTGCCATTAGAGAGTGCTACAACATACACAAAGCATTTGACATCCGTTGCTCGAGTGCTGAGAAAGCATACAATCCATTAAGAGTGTTAGTTGAAATTTCCTCAGTGGGTAACAAGCAATCATGATGGGGGACTATCGAATGTCGGCACCGCCGAGACTCGCTGACCCTTACGCCAGCTTGATGGTGGAGGACTCATCGATGGTCACGGCCAGCACTAAATCTACCGGCGCCATGCACACCAAACGAAAGGATCGGAATAGCCCATGGTTCACTTCGCGGCAAATACGCCTCTTTCGCAAGCCGCCTCCTGCTGAACAGGCTGCATACACGGGTCCTCCTCGATATGATTGGGTTGATATTGTGAGTTGAAAACAAGTAACAGGAGTCTGTTTGTTATCTACCTGCCATTATCTCTGTATTGAGTTGACCATGGCAGTAGACGATGGATGGATATCCGTTGGTGTTACCGGTGCCAGCGTGTCACTGTGGAGGGTATACTTGAAAACCTTGAGCATGGCAACCCATGTGCGCGCTCGCATACTCACTCTTTTGTTTGTCCTCATTCATTCACGATGTATCTCACAGGAAACCGCTGCCGCTGTCAAGATCCAGGCTGCGTACCGCCGCTGGAGAGTCATCACCATGATGGAAGAACAAGGTCGCAGCACGGCAGCTGTGAGGAACTCGTCACGAAGGCGTCAGGCGGCCAAAGAGGCCACCATGAACCCAGCGCAAGATTTTGTCAATCTCTTTGCCTGCTGTGGGGTAGATCTTGGCTTGGGTGGAGGTAACCAGGAAAAGTACTTGGATATTACTAGGGAAATCGAAACTGCTAGATACCAGGAGACCACCCGCATGAGACAAGAACGGGAGGAATTGCTGCGAAAGTCCTACAAACGCAAGTCCACTGGAATGCGACACAGCCTCGTGGAAAATGTCGAGGTGGTTCAGTAGATTTGCTATTTACACAACAATCTACGTTCTTGATGACAAATTTATCCCTGGCTTGCTGCTAGAAAGTGTCGAAACTTCTCGTGTGGAAGACGGACCTGTACATCCGTTGTCGTCGTGGGTTTCATGCCATGAGCTTTCTTGTTTGGAGCGCCGACGTGGTTGTGGGGTTGTGGATAGCTTCGGTATGGATGTACCATATCTTTTGTTAGCAATCCAAACACGCCACAACCCCTCTACTATTTGTGTAGAATCATTGAACTCATAACACAACTCTATCCATCCCTGGTTTTTATCAATCCTCTTACTTTTATACCCTCAAGAGATCCTCTCTACTCTTTACTAAACTCACTACTGGGGCTTCCCCAGTGGGCAGATACGCTGTACCATCAGTCCGATGCGTAGTAGTCTGCCCAGAAGCTAAACCCAAACAATCCTGCTACTTGGCTAACCATGTGTGCAGGCTTAAAATGTTATTGGCGGACCCTGCTATGGTACCGGTGGGTGTTAGAAGAGCTGTTCGAAGTATCAAAGTGGTATGGAGGTGCAGATGGCCATGTCAGCGAAGACACGGATCGAATCACTTTGCCAGCCTTCAGCTTGTAGGCAGCTGATTGTAGCGAGCGGAAGAAGGCGGAAACTTGGCAATGTGGACAGTCCCAGGCCGCTCCAAAGCTGGTAGGGCAACAAACCATACTCGACACCCTGGGGTTGTTTCACGCAGTAAACTGCCTTTGGGAAGGGCATCCTGGCCAACCAGTCGCAGCAGTTCCTTCTCTCAAAGTAGTCGGAACTGTCACCACTACCACCCATCGGGCAAAATCAAGCTCGTGAGCAAAGCTCGCTGGCGAGAAAGAACGGAAGGGAAAGTGTGGGCCACTGTCACCTCGACCAGCGTTGTTGCTCTCTCGGTTTCGCTCTTTTCTGGGAGGGAAACAAGGGGGTCTGACTTCGTATAGAAGAAGCGCTTCGACTCTCGAACCCCAGGGCCGGTAGCATCCAATGGGAGACCCACAGATTCAACATCCGTATGCAAAAACACTACATCAATGTATGTTTTGCCCACGTCACTAATCCCGTTAGTGCCGTGATCGTGATCTGCTCCCACTCGCAAGTCGACGGGGTGGGGCTTTGCAATTGCTTGTTGAAGCGATTTGCCCACCACTGCGCACAAATGCTTTGATAACTTTTCAAAGTCATCTTTACAAGCTCGACGAGCAGCATTGACAAGTTGTTGTTGAACACGAATGACACACGGAGTATTCCATTCGATAAATGTGGGAAGCGTGGTGCTCTCTTGGAAACGAGGAGGTTTGGCGCCCGACATTGTGACCAGTACGTAGAAGGGTCGCTTGATTGCTTGACTATGACGCACTGTCATGGATTCTCGAACTTTTCCACCATTGTTGTTGTGGTTTCTGGTCGGTTCATCTTGAATCACCAGCAAGAGCCGTTCAGCAAGTTGAGTCATGTCCGCACTGAGACTAATCGAAACTCGTCGGAGTGCCGCTACTTCTTCGACGTGGCGTTTCCTTGCCTCCGGTGTCATCATGGTACGGGATTCGTACAATGAGTCAAGCGTCCCATGTTCCCCTAGAACGTTCACAACTGTTGTAAGCAGCTTCTCCAAGCGAGCATAAGCTATTTGGTCCACACCGTCTTCCATCAGAAAGAACTTCACAGCCTCCTTGCCCGCAGTGGTAAGCATCGTACACATGGCAGGCAAAGTGGGCTGTCGAAGCTTGGTCGACTTTGTGCGGGGATCTGAAACGCCCAAAATCGAAGCTGGTTCTAAGAATTCATCCGAGAAGGCCACCACTGCGGCGTTCCCACGGTCTGGGTGCCCCATGTCCTCTCCCACTGTGGACAACCAAGTGGATCGTCGAGAATCGGACCAAAGGAGAAACCTAGATGGCCTCCAAACTTCGTCTAGATGAGGAATCGCGTCGCTGATTGTATTTGCGCATGCAATCATGGTTTCTGCCGCCTCTAGCCACTGCCCCTTCGATTCGTGCAACGCCTTCAGAGTCAGAAGCCAACGAATGCGTTGCAGGGGTGCAGTCTCCGCAACAAAATAGCTCGCAGCTTCCCATACACTTTCTTCATCTGCATCAAACGCAAGTGATTCCTTGGAAGAAGAGAAATTTATCCTGGTTCCAACTATTGTGCACTTTTTGTCACGCAATCTCAACTCAATCAACACGCTGTCAAGAATTGCTTGCATGGCTCGGCAAAACGGCTTGAGCACTGGCAGCAGTTCCGGGTCAATCCTGTCGTCGTCGAGAGGGTTCGCATCCTCTAAATCTTGAAAACTGCGGCGGAGGCCCCAGAGAGAACGCTCGATATCCTCAAATGTTGAGACCAAGCCATCAACACTGAAAAGACCAATTTCTCGAGCCGCAACCTCAGGCAAGACAGCCGCAAACACCAGGAGGATGCTGTCAATGTTTCCAGACATATCAAACGCGCTGCCAAGAAGCGACAGTACAAAGTCAACGCTGATTGACCGCACCGAGAGAGAGGTACTATTCATCAGTCCGAGAATAACTCTGACCCAGTGCTGCAGGTTGTCATCAACGACACTTAGGAACATTTTGATGCCAAACTGATCCAGAGCCTGCAAAGCACCGCCCAGCGCCCGAAGATGAGTAACCGCTGATTGCGGTGTCGTCAGGATGTGCAGGAAAAGATCGAGTATTGAGTGAATCATTTTTCTCTGCTCTTTTGGATTTGACTCGGTGAGCTTCACGCATTCTTCGACGACAAGGTTGGTTGCGGCGCAAATGGTATTGAAACTCTCCTGAAGAAGCCATGGAGAAATGGCTTCGTCTATTTCTGCTGGATACGTACTGTGGCGAGGCTGGGAGGTGAAGGAAATAGCGCGTGTAAGGGGTGCGTTGTCATCTCATGCGGTTGTGATCGATGCGGGACATAATTACCTGGTCAACAAATGCTTGTAGCGTTGAGCTTGCAAGGCGCAGGAGTCGAATGAAACGGTGGATAAGGATGTCCTGTTTTGGGAAGAAATCACGGGGTGAGAACAACGCAGAAACTGCATCGTCTGTGGTGACGTGTGCTTACCGAAGGATCACAGTAGGACCTGACAAGACTGCGAATCAAGGCTTCAGGCGTCTCTTGCAGAGAATAAACGACGCATAACATCCAGACGGAGCGGACTTTGTGCGTGGACTCCATCCGAGCTAGCCATCGAACACTTTGCAGAGATTGAGTGAACAAGCATTCGGTGTACAACGCAGCGATTCGTCCTCTTGAAGAGTTGGTTTGAAATCTAAGGTCCATGGCATGACGGCGCAGAAGCAGCTCGTATGTTGCAGTAATTGCGTGAATGGCCAGTGACTGAAACATGAGCAGGTCACCACGCTCCAGCTGCAGCTTGCGCTGAGTTTCCCCTTCCCCTCCTTTGTTGTTGGCATTGTTCTGTGCGTGTCCGATGTGCGCTATCGCCTCCGCTACGACAGCTTCGCACGAGAGCGCGCAAACAGACAAAGCTTCGTTTGCGAGAAGAAATGCCAACCAGCCGCTTTGCGGCAACTTCCCATCCTCGCTACTCGAAACATAAGGGTACTCTTGTGTTTGTCGACTTTTTGGTGGTGCATCACGATCGCTGTACTGGACCTTCCAAGTTGAATCGCCTTCGTTATCTCTGATGCCCGGAGTAAAGAATTGATTGTCAGAAGAATATCTTAGGGGGAAGTTGAGCGCAAGGAAAGAGGGCAAGACAGCGAACTTTTCCACTGCGCGTAGTCTGAGCTGTCGAGACAGTCTTATTCTGTGAATGCCATGTTCTGTCCAGTCAAACTCCAGCAGACCGTCGCGGTTTTCTCTGATATGTTCATTCTCGCATTCACCAAGAGCCCTGAAGTAGCTTTCAAGTATACATCGCATGTGTTCAGGGTGTAGCACCGCAAAGAGGCCGGCAAAGAAATCCAGTATGCCCTCGGAAGCTGCAAGAGCCCGTGACAAAGTAGCGTCCTGATTATCTCGGTCGAAGTTCTCTGAGTACGCCAACATGATGCTTTTGGCAAGGACCATGGAAAATTGCTCAAGAGCAACCAAATGTTTTTCATCCAAGATTGCTCTAGCACGATCAGGACTATCTTCGAGCCTCAAACATACCGACTTCAGACAGAGGGGTAACAAGAGGTCAAGATGCTGGCAGAAACCGAGAAGAGCCCTTTTCGAGCCTTCGTCGCGCTTGTGATCTTCCCAAGCTTGTATCCACAGTAACAAAAGAGATTCGTAGATGTATCCAGCCCCTAATTGATCCCCTCGATGACTCGCACAAAACGTCCATGGTTTCTGAGCATGAAGACCAAAGCCTCGAAACTTGAAATACCTAGACTTTTTCCGTCGGGACGGATCGAAGTCGTCGTCTTCTTCATTATCAGATCCAGGAAATACAAACGTGTCACGCTGACAAATTCACAGGTCAGAGTGAAAACCATGGACTTCGGCCAACAACTCAGCAATGAACCAAGTGTCTCCACTGAACTTACATTGTGCCCAAGTTCGTCAGACGGTTCTCCTGACTTCTCTGTACTCTTCATAGCCTTCCCAGCAGATCTCCGTCTCCGCGACGCCCTGCCACAGTCTAGCGAAATTCGTCGTGGAGAAGTTGTCTTCCCAACCTCGACGCCGCACGGCGCAAGCATGACATTTGCAACAGTCTTTACTCTGTTTGCAAAGTCTCCGGTGGCTTTCGAAGCTTGCGCACCGGCTGCAGGAGTTGCAGCCGCCGATGAAGCGTTGATACCTTTCTCAGCGTGCAGTAGTTCATCCGAGAAGCTTTTACTATGGTCGATGGTGAAAAGTTTGCTCCCATTCTGGCCTCTGACTGAGGCAAGGTGTTGTTTCGTTCCTGCCGTAACAATGGTTTCGTCGTCGTCGAACAGATGGCTGAATCGTCGGCCCCCGCCGCTGTAGTACAGCTCTGCCTCTATTTTGAGCCTATCCGTTTTGCTGGCTCCGTATGCCACACGAAAAATGGATGCGCTCGATGAAACGTCGGCCCCTATTGAAGCCCTTCTTGTGAGCCGTCGTTCAATGCCTGTCTTCAACGAATCCTTTTGCTTCCAGCGAACAGCCCCTTCATCCAAGGGATCGTCCTCGTCATCCTCGAATTCCATCACACCGCTCTCTTCGGCCGCCGATTCTGTGTGCAACTCCTTCAAATCGTTTGATTCTGAGCCTGCATCCGTAGCTTGCTCCTCGGTTGCTTTGTAACCAGAGCTCTCCGAGTCAGACAAAGTCAGGTAGTCTTCTTCGAAATCGTCTGCTACCTTCTTAATCATGGCAGCAAGGCGTGTGCCATCCAGTCTTGCCTTCACTTTGTTCAGTACTTCGAACAAACTAAAGAGAATGCTATGCACAAATTCAACTCTGTCGGAGGCGGCAAACAATTGTTGGGTCGGGTCAATCCTCAGCAAATTGCTGAGATGAACGTAAAGCAAAAGATGAAAATGCCCGACCAAGGTTCCGTCTGATGCATTCGCGAACGAAGATGATGGGAAGGTCACCGTGGACGTGTCTTGAAGTTTTTGTCCCTCCCCTTGCGCGTCCTGAGTCGAGGAAGCAGGAAAGTCGCGAACAGCGGCGGCGACGGCAGGGTCTCCGATATGGATCGAACTGATGAGTCGACTCTCGATGTAAAACTTAAAGTCGCCTAGCCGAATGCGGTGGCATCCATTTGGAATCACAGTTGCGACCTTCTGGCCCCCAGCAGAGTCACTTACGGTGGTAGTGCTGAGAGGGATGGAGTTCTCGGCAACGGGGCGCGCACAAAGTTCGTGCTTTTCGTTCTTCTCTTCCGCTTCTATTTCAAACAATGTGAATTGCAAAAAGTAGGATCCATCCATGATTTGAGGCAGACGGAGCTTCAATTCGTCCTTCATCGCTTGTTCGGTCTTGCCATTAGTTTGGCTCTCGTTCTTGTGCTGACGAAACACCGGCAACTTGGTATACACTTCTTCCAAAAGAGCCGGCCCGGTCCAAGGAGTAGGGCTGTGAAATGCTCCTAACGCCGTTGTCGAGGACGAAATCTTCCCATTCTGGTCGACGTCCATGGATGTCCGTACAAGACGGGTGCGAATTGAGTACTTTTTCCGACGTTGGTGCTTTTTGGCTTTGCTTCCATTCTGCTGTGGTTGATCGGGTGAATATCGCAGCAATTTGGGGTATAGATAAAGCAAGTTCATGAGGGATCGGAACGAATGCGGAATGTCGACATCGTATGTCTTCTCGGCTCGAACAGGCAAGAAGAGCACTTCTCGTATTTCGGAACTCGCAGAATAACCTGCTGGCTTTGTGTGACATGGAAGCCTAGACAAACTAGACCGTTTGCTGCTTGCACCCTTCGCCTCGAGCATGACAGCAAAGTCTCCAGAGACGTCGCAAAGAAGCCTAGGCAAATTGGAGCTATTGGTTTGTGTTGGTGACGGCTGTCGGGAAAGCTTGACCCCGCTCGCGTCAGTTGGTTCTTTTAGCATGGCCTGCAGCCAGTCTGCAGTTAGTACCGACGTGAAGATCCTGGTTGTTCCCACCAAAGGCGTTTCGCAAATCTTGAGTGCACCGTCATTTCCTCCTTCATGTGAGTCAGCGCGAGTCGCCTTGCTGGTTTTGTTGGGGCTCGAGAAGGACGAAGACGCAATCGATCGTGTTGCCTTTACAGGAGACATCCAGATTCGCTTTGTGATGTGTTTCTTCTTCCTCCTTGTAGCAGGAGAAGCAGCTCTGCGCTTTGAGTCGTTGGACCCACTCTTGTCCATATTCAAGCAGTTTTTCATTTGGTGTGAGAAATCAACATGCCCTGAACGATCTGAAACAGAGGAAGCTACAGAAGCCAATTCTAATGCTTCCACAGTTTCCGGTTGCTTTTGCGCCGACCGACCTCCCAGAGACGACGAAGGACTCCACTTCTCTCCTCCGGAACCAGCCATGGTCAGTCTTGAAAGCCGTTGAACAAAGTCCTCTTGCGATTCAGGTACCGACGGCGCTGCCACCAACTCCATGTCGTGTCCTCTTCCCTTTGGAAAGTCCATGGCACATTTTCCCTCCTCTTCGTCGTCGTCCGGAGCAGCTTTGTTCTGCAACACACTCGTCACTCCAAAGGCCAACGGTGACATGAACTTGGTTCCAAACTTGTCAAAGAAAGAGCCAGCACTCTCCTGGTCGGCATCCGTGGGAGTACCACTACGCATTGTCTTTGAAGATGAATTGGATTTGCTTTTAAAAAGTCTTGTGACACCATTGGTTCTTCTATTGGAGTGATGATAGTTTTCGTTGGCCCCTCCATTGCTTTTGGAATGATGCAGGTAAGCCAAAGTTGATTCTTCATTGGCCACCTTGAAGACTTGCAAGACCCAAAAGAGACATGTGTTGTCTCCACAAATAACCAAAGGATCATATGAAAAGATTGCCTTGTGTTTCTTGTCCGACCATGACTGCATCAGGTCCTTCTCCGTAGCAGTAGCTGTCGTATCTGCGGTTGCACTGTTAGGAAACTGCAGGTAGGACGGATCCAGCTCGACTTTACCATCCCAATTACCTGCTGGAAAGAAGAATTCTTCCGAAATCTTTCCATACGCGCGACCGGTACCGTTTAGATCTTCCTGATGGTTGTTGATTGGTAAGTTATACAGAGCCAAAGAACACAAAAGTGGCTCAACATCTCCAATGTGAAAAGATACATTCAAGGGCCACGACAGCAAGTATTCCATGCCTGCGGCTCGGTCACTAAAAGGCCTCGGTCTCCACCCCAAGGTTTTACTGTAGCTAGCATCCAATGGTGGCGCTAGAACCGATGTTCGGTTTGGCTCCAGCAGTCTTTTCTTTGTCATCTTTCGTTTCTTTTTATCCTCACTTCTGCTGACTCCTCGCATTGTGTGTGATGATGTGGTGGTTGTTGACGCGGTTGTCGATGTTGCCGTAGTGGTACAATCATGGGTGCTGTCCGCGGCCAAGAGAATGGATGTCTTTTTGGAAAAGTGCAGTGCATTCATTTCCTTGGCTCGCAGCAGGTCTCTTCCAGCCCATGGCATTCCTTCTAAACCACCACTATTCCATTGCTCGTGTTCAGGTGAGATCTTATTGTGGCCACTCCAATCTTCTTGCACCACTGCTGTGCCTAGATCATCGCTGGTCACCAAGACAATGATTCTAGGACTGGCTTGTTCCCATTCTGTTTCGTGATTGATTTCGGCAGTTTTTATTTTGATTTCATCTTCCGATGCCCCTGGGAACCCCACATCCGAGCGCATGGGTATTCTTGTCTTTCGATTGGAAAGAGCGGGAGGTACCGTGGGCAATGCAGACACGGTGGCATGGACGGGGTGAATGGATCGATAGCGACCATCTCGTTGCTGCAGATCTGCCAGACTGCTAGTGCGTCTTTTGAGTTGTTTGTTTGTGTTGTTGTTTTCGCCAGTAGTCGTCTCTTCCTTTTGCGGCAATGCCTCTTTCCACCAGGGTACAAAAATGTCACTGTCAATTCCTACACTGGGACTGAATGCCAATTGTCGAATGGAGTGTACCGATTGCATGTAATGTAGCAACTTTAAATGCTGCAAGGATGGTGACAACTTTTTGTGTGCCTTGGAGTTGCTATTCTTTTGTTGTGATTCGAGTTGCTGTGCTGCTCGGTGCCATTCTTCAATGGATACTGGTTTGCAGAGTTCAAATGCGGATCGTTGGTCTACATTGACGGGTACAATGGCCACCGTCATGGCTTCATCTTTGTGTTGAAAGTCCCCACGAAAATGCGGTTGTCGGCTTCTGGAAGTCTTGCTGCTACTGGACAGCATTCGTTCGTCGTCTTCTTCCTGCACATTCTGAAGCTTTTCTTTTCGTTTGGTCGGAGAATGAGCCGTATGGCGATAGCTGTATTGTCGATCTTGCATGCTAGTGCTGGCGTCCACACTCAATGGAGTGAAGGACACATGGTGTCTGGTGACGCCACCCTCATCAAACTCGTCACTGAGATGCCTTCGTTGATAGGTTCGTCCCAAGAACAAACTTTCATCGTCTAGCGTGTCCACTGTGGGCGCGGCGTAGAGGGCCAAAGGATCACCATGAGCATTGATGCTGGCGATGGGAGAATAAGCAATGGGGCTCAATAATGGAACCTGTACTGGCACGCTGCTGGCGGATTCCTCCGGTGGTGCGTGGCTTTCGGCGTGGCTTCGATCCTTGTTCTTCTTCCGACGGTGGCGCGACAACATGACGATGTACCCACTTGATAGAACTACCTCTCTAGCAGGCTCTCTAGCTAGCTAGAACACAACAGTAAACAAACAAATACAGATTGAATCATTCAACACTCATCGGTTGATTTTACAGTACAAAGATGTCTGCACCATTGTCACCGAGCATCATTGGGTTGACCGTAACGGTCGGAAAAAGCATCGGACGCGTTCTTTCAGAAGGGCTGGGCATGGGCTTGATCGACCGACCGCACGTATGACCAGTCGATTGAGCCAAAATCGAATGATATTCGAATAGAACTGATTTTAGGGTTAATCAAGGCGCCAGCACGCAAGTTGAACTTTTGGCTCTTGCGTCAGATCCAAATTCTGCTTGGAAACAATTTGGAACAAGAACAATCTTTGCTTGGCTGGGAGAACAATAGAGCATGGACCAAAGTGCAGTAACAAGACGCCACTTCCAAGACACTACGGGCAACACAAATAACAGCCACCTTCAGCTCCGCTAGAACAGGAAATAAATGTTTGGTTTAGTTGGGTCCCGACTCGTAGCGATCCAAAGCTTGCTTGTGGTGTTGGTCATCATCCCTTTCTCGTCGCAACAACCCGCATTGGTCAGTGCGTTTTCTTCTTCTTTTGCTTCAACGTCACCCAATCCAACGACAATCCACAACCTTTCCGTATTGACAAGCCAGCGGCACCCACAGAAGCAGACGCAAAGACATAGGACACACAGTCTGCTACCCATGGCAACGCGAATAGATGAAATTTCGCTCTCTACGGCGGGCGGCAGCATTGCCCAAAAGATGGATCCAGCCAGTACGATGATGGAGGAAACAGCACCAGAAGAACTCGAACTAGTGCCAACAACCTACGCCCAAGCATTCCAGATCTTCTTCTTTTCATCCCATGGCACGGGACCACTCCTCGTCAGCATTTCTCTGGTAATCATGCTCGCCACAAGGATGATGCTGCTGGGGCCACTGTCTTGGATGGACGCTGCAGTGTTTATGGGCTCCATTGTGTTTTGGTCCATCCAGGAACATTTTCTTCATGCACAGGTACTACACTCCAAAGTGGACTGGTATGGCAAGCAAATCCATCAGGCCCACCACGACAAACCATACTTCAATATCACAATCGACCCTGCACCCATGATGCTCATATGGATGGCAACGGCAGGAGCTTTGCTTCGGTGTCTCTTTCCTCTCCCCATTGCCATTTCAGCCACTCTGGGGTATGCCATGGCGGGGTTGTTTTACGAATGGGCACACTTTATCGTACACACCAAAGTACGACCGGGCAGTGCCTTTATGAAGCAAGTGCGAGACAATCACATGAGGCATCATCAAATCGACACAAAGTACTGGTTTGCCTTCTCGTTGCCATTGGTAGATGATCTCTTTGGCACCAACCCAGATGTAAGACAAGTTGTGAAACAAAAGAGAGCCGCTGCAAAAATGGCAAAAACACACACAAAGCAATCATAGACACACCATGCATGGATGCTGGCACAGGACACCAGGCAGCCATCTGAGGTCGGGGACAGCCTTCGTTGGAACCGGCTGAAGATGGGTTCACTTCTGTGTTGCCGTACCGGTAGTCCCTTTGTTGCAACTTGCTCTGGAGGCCCCTAACTAACACCTCTACATGCACAGCCAAGTCAGAGATTCTAGCTAGAGCCAAGGACTGTGGTGAATAAATGTAACCGAGTTAAAAGCCCATCAAATCTGTATCGAAACTTGTTGGTGTCTCTATTGGCGCTCTCGGCACGGAGGAAGCGAACAGCAGAATGTCGTCATGGCGATTGATGGACGGTCAAGAAAGAAGGCAGCAGCAGATGCGCCTGTCAAGGGTCTTTTGACCCGAGGAACAGAGACAACTAGCCAGGCCGAATAACAGCAACAGCACCTGCTAGACCCAGGTCATCGTGTGAGCGTTGTGCCACAAGAAGGATCCAAAGTCACTGGCACCGTCAGAAACAGAACGTGAATTTGCAGTAACCTTCAAGAAAACAACACGCTTTCTTCTCGTTGCTACGAATCGAATTCAAAACACTCGCCAGTACGAAAAGGCAACCAGTACCGTACCGGTAGCCATGCAGCTGCATCAGCTTCTTCATTTACATAGTTCGTTAAAGGACGATCCAATGAAACAATGAAACCTGCTCGCTCTGTCTGGCTCTTGAACAGGTGGTTCAGCATGCAGTAATACAGAGTCCTGTATAATGTACAAAGCGATTCTATTTAAATACCAGTGCCTTGCTTGGGGAGCCTTCGTACCGTACCGCACCGTACGGTACGGTTTGTTTCTCGAGTTATCGGCAACCCAATCGGACCCAACCGCCTACGATGTAGCAGAGGCGACGCCTTGTTTACGACCCCCGTTCCACCTGTCATCCTAGTAATTAAATCTGTCCGACCATCGAAGAAAGAAGTGGACGCGCCGAAAGCGTCACGACTACACTTTTTAAGTGTGCGACGTGCGGAAAGTTGAGTTATAGGATCGGCGCTATAGAGCTTAGTTCCGTTGAAGCATGGTCCCAGAGAGGTAGAGTAGAAAGCGCTAAAACCTCTTCATGAACTCCTTCATTGATCCAATTTGCTGTTGCTGTCATCGTACGGTAGGAAGCGTTTCGGCAGGCCATGCAACAAAATATCGTCTTGTCGCTTGAGCGTCGTCCTACGATTCATTCCATTTGTTCATCGTCGTCATCACTGAATAGAATCGTCATATTTTCTGCTGCTACGGGAGGACTCAAGAACAAGCGGCGATTCGCAATGGGAGAGAACATCGTTGACTTCGTTGACAACGAGTTTCCCTTTCTACGCGAAGCAACGTTTTTCTGCTGTTTGTTGCGCGCAACCTTTGTTTTGCCATGATGGGCATTCGCGTTGCGTCGATCACTTTCTTGGACCCGGGCTTCACTGTCTTTGTCTTTGCTCTTCATCATCGTTCGTTGTTCCGATGTTCTATTTGGAGGGCGACGAGTGGAAATGAAAAACCAGCAACGGCTCGATCGAAGGCTGCCTTTGCGTCGACTGTTTCAGTCACGATTGACTGTCGACTGTGACTAGTCGACTCGACTCGACTCGACTCATCTACTTTGTTCGTGCCGTACCGTACCGTACCGTACCGTACCGCACTACCTACCGGCACCGGTACCGGTACTACCGTCCGGTATATTGCAACACGCCGAAGTAAAGGATGGTGAACGGAACATCAGCAATCCGTTTGGTGCATTTCTTGAAGCTACCGGTATTTGGCGGGGCTGTCCACCTTGAAGCGCAGAGGGTCACTGGACGAGCATTGAGATACGGTACCTCAGTGGCCACCAGAGTAGGGAACTATGCATAGCTAGCTAGTACCAAGTTGCATCGTTTTGTTCTCTATTACTACTTTGCATAATGAAGTATCGGAAGTACATGTATTGTACTGTAGCCTTGGGAAGCAAACCATAGCTGTGGCATCAAGCAGGCAGACAAAGTCCTCCGGTGGCCGAGGATATATTTCGCAGCCTGCTGGCTTTCAGGCATAAATCCTTCGTTCCCATCGTCCTGCTCACAACGTTCGCATCCTGCGGGGCGATGCATGGTTTTGGCGATAACTGGATACGCATCCACTCCATCACTGTCCAATCGATGCGAAAGTGGGCTTTGTGATCCATCATTACAGATAAACCCCAAGACATACACAAGTAGATGATGGGAGTAGCATTGCAGTGAGTGGACGGTAAAAGCAAGGCAACCAATGACATCCGAGCTGTATCTTTCTTTTCTTTGATTGACTCAGACCAGCAAGAAACACAACAACCAACATCACCACCATGAGCTCCAACCAAGAGGACGAACCGACCCAATACCTTGCAGTAAGTCCAACCAGAATCCCGACCAGGGATGTTTGACCGTTCTTTCGCTTGAAACTGACGTCGTTATCTCTTTCGCGCAGCCCAGGATATTAGAACTCGTGAAGGGAGCAACCTACTTTCCACGAGGACGATACTCGACCAACTTTGCGCATCTTGTCTCGCAAGATCCCCAAGTCCAAGAAGACTACAAGGATGGCCTGGTAGCACTGTCTTGCTTCTTGGGTGGATTTTTTGTCATCTGGGGACTTGTCCTTATCTTCCTAATGATCAAAGGGAAATCTGTTGGTTGTGCATCTGGAAGAGCTTTCGGGAGCATTGGCAGCGGGCAACAATCTACAGGTTCTCAAAAACAACCACAAGACGAGAGCCACAGCTCTGTCCATTCTGAAGAAGAGCCGCCAACTGCAAACGAATATGCTAAGGATGCAGAAGGAGGAGAAGAGCTGGAAACGGAGTCGTTTTCTTCCTCGCTTTGCTCTTCCGATGCAGCATCCAGGTTCGACTCATTTGACACATCAGCCAGCTTTAATGACGGTTCCATAGACGCCAACCATCGATTCGAAAGCCCCAGGGCAACCCGAACACGAATCGCTTTCTTGGTCTTTGCCTGCATTGTCTTAGCTTGCGTACCTCTAGCGCTGGCATTCGCCTTTGCGCCAATGAAGGAAACTACCAAGTCCGTTGCTGGACAAGTGGAGGTAAGATTGATACCCCAAGGCGCTATGTCTGATATGCTATGGCAGTCTGACAGGGCTCGCTAACATTGTACTATCAACTTATGAAGGTGATCGAAGACGTTCTCGTCCAAGTTCGTGCCGCCCTGAAAACAATATCTACGGCATCCGAAAGTACCAATGCCATTCTTTCTCAGACCAACACGAACCACAGTACCTTCTGCCCAAACCTCAACAATTCACAATTTGATCAGACGTTGGCAGAACACCTTCAAAGGCTTTCCTATCTAATAGGAGAACATTTCGACTATCTAGACGGCCGGATCACAGGCAATACGACCGAACTACACGAATCACTCGATACTGTGGAAGATGCAATCCTTGTCATTGACGGATCCAATCATCAGGTCGAAGGCATTGTTTGGCTTGTGCCAGGTTTGCTCTTGGCAGTAAGCATTGTATCTGCATTGGCGACATTTGGAGTGATTCTTGCATGGAAGCAGGACTCTGGGGTTCGGTTGCAGCGCTGCATGTCGTATGGTGTGCTTCCAACGCTTGCGGCACTATGCATCATGTGTGTGATTCTGGCAATTGCTACGACCGTGGCGACCGCAGCATCTTCAGGTGAGTTTACTTTTTCACTAGCTAGTACCACGAACAACTCTGGAGGACAAAATGGGTGATCGAATGCACGAAGGTCAATGTATCAAAGGCCTCACTCACCACTGGATGTGCTTTCGTGCCGCCAAAAGACTTCTGCTTGCAGGGATCATCGTCTGGGAGTCCCGATTTCACGGTGCCAGAAATGCTTGTGGCTCACGGTGACTTTGCAAACAGCACGAAACACCAATTCTTTGTCGCATACACAGCTGTGAGTAAAGGAAGGTTTGCTTTTTGCTTGTTTCATCAACAGATCTTGTTCTCACATAGGGACTGACTCTTTTCGATACGGCAGGGATGCACTGGTCCAGAACCAACACGCGCCCTGGAAAATCTCGAGAGGGCATCACAAGATACAGTGGACGAGATATGGACCCGCATATCAGCGGTCGACTCATATGGCAGGTCGCAGGTTGCAGAAGCATGCGGTGGTTCGGGGCTTGATGAAATCATGAGCGCAGCACGAAACATAGCCAAGCTCCTGACCAAGGTTCGACGGGCACTGGACAGTGCAAGTGACAGCCTTGCATGCGATCGAATCAGCCCCATGTACGAAGCTACAATCCACACCTCTATGTGTACAAACTTCGCCGCGGCCACTGCTTGGGGATCAATTACCTTCTTCATTCTGGGTACTGCAATCATGGTGTTGATTAGTCTGAGAGCCTCGTGGCGTGTCAACATCGACGAAGACAGAATATACCACCATGAAAGCGAAGTAGCTGAAAACATGATTGTCGATGAACACGAAGAGTACCTAAGGTACATTTCGAGGTACAAGCATGAATGGCAGGAATACAACGGCTTTGGTTCTGCCGGTACTTCAATGTCAATGAAGAAATCCACCAGCTTTTCAGCTTCAGAGGGAGGAGAGGATGATCTCTGTTCCAACTATTCAGAATCCGGCTCTGTCTCTCACACAACTGACTTCACTGGCAGGTCTGAGCAAGACGATGCTACTTCCATAGATTCAGGAGATATCTCATTCCCTTCCCTGAATGTCCTCCCAACCGATGACTCCTCTGCATCTGCAGAACAACCACTAGTACCTATGCCTCCGCCACTGCAAACGACGAAGAGAGCTGGCATGACAATGTCAAATTCTGAAAGGCTGCAACAAATACCATCAATTTTGCGCCGTACAGACGAAGAAAAATCTGAAGACTCTGACACCAACCCTGGCGCACTCTCGGAGATGTCCGAAGAAGAAAGCACAGACTTCTCCTCCATTGGCAGGGCTGCTAGAGCTGGACCAAGTTCGGCACTTTACTGGAGACACCATTGGGGACTTGGCGCAGAGGTCGCCATGTCAAGTGTGTCGGATTCGCTCGTCGTTTCTCCCAATTCGAATGGTGAGATTGATAGTTTTGATTTGTCCAAAACTCCAAGTCCCAGGAGAAAAACCTTCTTGGATGTCTCTGGTGCCAACCTGCTCAATTCAACTCCGGGGTCAGATCAGAGCCCTCCGAAGCCATCGGAAGAAACGAATGGCAGCAGATTTCTATCTCGGACACGAACCGATCTGCTCAATTCAACTCCGGGGTCAGACCAGAGCCCTCCGAAGCCATCGGAAGAAACGAATGGCAGCAGATTTCTATCTCGGACGCGAACCGATCCACTGCCTGCTGCATCATCGCTGAGTTTGCTTTCTCGTACCATTTCTGCCAACCCGATGTCAAGGACTTTCAGCGACACGCAACGGGTAAGCTTGCAGTCTCACTTTCACACTACTAGTACTGCATCTGGGATCTCGTCGCTTCGAGTTGATACAACTTCCATGTCTCTACACACGCATCCACGAGTACACACGCCTCCACGAGTATCCTTACTCACCCCACCAAGACCTATTTCCAGTACGCCGAGGACCCCCAAGACAAACGACAGTTCAACCAGTTCCGGTCAACAGAGCGACTCAAGATTGAGTCTGACAAATTCGACCACCCCTGTTTCCGTCAAATTTGAAGAACAAGAGAACGACTTCTCCTCTCCCAATCATTCGCATGTACAACAGCAGGTTGTTCACTTCTCGAAGACTGGTCCTAAAGTTTCGGAACGCCCCAAGACTCCAATCAGGAACACGCAAAAGCTACAACCTCTGGTTCAAAAATTTGATCCCAAGTCGGGAGCGTCCTCAGAAGACTATCAGACTATCTGATACCAGACTATCTGATACACGAGCGGACGACCGGTATAATATGTCCTGGGTTCATCTTTGTGGCCGAACCTACAACTATCTCTGCTGTTGTTTGATTTTTCGTATGAACTAGCTAGCTATCACGTTGAAAACAAAAACTAAGTTGTTCATGCCACGATAGATGTCGTTCTCGCGCTTATTCTGAAGTACTAGCTAGCTAGAAGCGGTCACCCAGCTTTGGCTATGTATTCTAGTTTCAGGAGCCAACTAGCTGCAACACCATTCGTTACGATTACTTTGGCGTGCGTGTTGGCAGAGGTCGACTGGCCATTTTTTCCAGGGTATCAATACATGAGAGACACCCGATAACGCCACTGTCACCAGCAAGTGGTTTGTCTGCTGCTGCCAAATGCTGAGAGACATCCAAAAACCCTTGGGCGGCCACATCTCTGTTCTGATGTTCCCCTGGCAGCTGATCCAACACTCGAGCTTGCAAGTAAAACACTTCTTGCAGTCTCGACAGATCATGACACGCCTCGAAATGCCGCTGACTGTTCGTCAAGTCACGTACCACCGACCGAAACAGGCGCATAGATGACAGTTTGTTGGAATGAGCTGCAACCACCGCTCCATCTTGTTTGTCAAATACTCCAGCCAGTTGCAAGCGACACTTTGACAGGGTCAAGAATGCTTCCCCAAGGTACCAGACATGCTCCGTTTGTAGCATGGACGGCAAGACAGCTTTGAGAAGAGCAATAGCACGGGTTGAATTCCTCATGCGAAAGTGTACCTGGGCCAAGATGGACAAAGCTGACGAATGCAAGCCATCCATTTTATCTTGGTGTGTCATCGACAGGCATTCCAACAATGGAGGCAAAGCCAACGTGCTCTGGCGTGGATTCTCATCCAAATGCACCAATGACAGTTGCAGTAACAGAGCGGCTTGATGTGGCTTGAGCCTCTCCTCTTTTGCGGTTTGGATCAGGGAAGCCAAGAGCTCCCTGGCTTCACCCCACTTTTGCTGGCGACTTAGCATGAGACTCTTGACCGACATGACATCAATCGTGACCTCCGAATAATTATGGAGTCTGGGTTGGAGGAAACCTTGCAAGGCCGAGTTAAACATTTGGGCTTGTTGGAGCTCTCCTCGTCGCACTGCCCATTCATGAAGGACCATGGTCACCGACAGGAGAAATGCTCCATCCACTGGTAGATTGAATTGCTTCCAGCAGGATATCAATTTGGTGAGTGCCTTGGCGTACACGCAACGTTCCTCCGCACAATCCTTCGAGTCACTGGATGCTGGTGGAGCACGCATGATGTCTTCCAATACTTTTCCGTTGAACTCGTTGGTGATGAGGGCAGAGGGGGGAGAACCAAACAGACTAACACGGGCAAGGTTTTGGACCGCGTTGACAAGATCATGCGACATGATCTGCTGATCAGCATGACAATACAATGCAACAAAGGATGACAAGCCCGAAAGATGTGTTTGCCCACAGTAGTCCCACACACCCGCGGACACTAGTTTTTGTCGTGCCAGAGTATTCATGACATCTCTGTTGCTCGATGCCTCTGTCACATGAGTGGGTCGATCGACAGTAGCTCCATCGTTGGCAGCATCGAGGTGACTGGAAGCATCCGCAAGGCTGTTCCAAGCCGTTTCGGCAAAACCTCTATTGTTGTTGCTGTTGTTGCTACCAATGAGAGATCCTCGCGGATGCTCAGGCTCTGCTAAGGTACCCGACATTTGGTATCTGGTTTTGGTCAAATTGGCTCCGGCAGCGAGTGGCCATATTTGTCCTTCCAAGGCTCGAGTGGCACACCGCTGCAACAGATCTCCTGCTTGGTTGTTTGAGGCAGATGAGGTTTCTGTCGAAAAGATCCATCCCAGAGCAAATGCCACACAAGAAGCGTCCATACTTTGCTGTGCCACACGAACAGCTTCCTCCGTGGCCAGTTTGGACATGGCCGTGTCTCCAAAGGAGTTGTGGGACGATGCCAACAAAATGGCTGCAAATTCCAAAATATCTCCCTCGCGTTTCCCCTGAATAATTGCATAGTCAAAGTACCGGTGTAACGAGTCCATGGCTCCGACCCGTTCTCCGTGTTTGATACAGTTTAGGAATCTCAAAAAGTGTGCCGATGGCAATTCTGGGTCACTCGCCAAGACACGCTGCAGATTCATTTCCATTTCTTCAAAGGACATGTTCTTTTCCACCATATTGCTCTTCTTCTTGTCGTGTCTAGAATTTTCCAGCATTTGAAAACACTCTTTTCTCAATGCTCGTTCAATCTGCGAGGCGGACAGAGGCCAATGAGTGGCACCCATGTCTAGTGCAGTAGTGTCATTGTTGGTGTCTGGCTCATCATCCGTACTGCTCTCCAATTCCTTTTTGGCCATTACAATTTCTCGTTGCATATCGGTCCATAGCAACGACATGGTCTCAAAGGAAAGCAAGTCAAACCCCAAACAGACCTTGCGCAAAAAGACGCCATGAGCCGATGCGCTGTCCACAATCCCCGCCACCACGGCATTCTTCAAGGATGCCATCAATTCCATCAACCCATCCACCGAAGAAGCCGCCATGCTGACATAATCCAGCAGCAATTCACACAAATCTCCCGCTACAGATTGGAGTTCCAAAAAGAAATCCGACAAGCTCACAGCATGAACCATCAACGCGTTGTCATTGGTGTGACTACTACTGTTCAGCATGACACAATTTTCCAAAAATGCCGACAGGCTTTGCTGGGCTTCCTCCGAGGGATGGAACTCTTGATGAAGAGGAGACGATGGATCCGATTGCAGGGCAATCAGAGTGCAGATGGAAACTGAGTATGGGGTCGGTCGGTCCGCCATGGTCAACGAGTAATAAGTCAACAGCAAAACCTTGAAATCAAATCTGTGCGAGATGACAGCCACAACGCATTTTTCGCGATTTGGTTTTTTGCTTCCCTTAGGTTTAAGATATATACATGTACTAGTATTCATTACTAGTAATTGACGTGCACGGTGACAGTTATCGGGACCTGGCGATGAGAGTACCAGTACCGGTACCGGTATCGGGAGACCGGGAGGTATCAGTAACCATGCTTTGGCAATCGCTTCGGCTGTAGAGCTGTGCCTCTCATCTCTTCTGCAGAGAGTAGGAGCTTGCAGCTAGCTAGGTTGCTTCCAGTGGCTTGACCGTCAAGTGCTCCGTCAAGTCTGCTCCTGTGATTTTGACTTGCACATCATTTATTTTGGTTTGTGCACCTACCATATCAGTCTGGCTTGAATGATTCCTTGGTGTATACGTTATCACTGTAGCTGCGTCTGTAGGGCTGGTCCATCGTTCTCTTCGGCTTGGAGCCAGCAACAGCCGCGTGGGACATTGTTTTTCTCTGCTCTGCCTCCTTTGGCTACTATTTAAAAAAACGGCTGTCACATCTGTATTGCTTCCTGCTCCCTAGTCGTCCCTCTTTGGTCCCACGCACCCTGTTCTAAAACTGACCCCCCCCCCCCCCCCAAGTTGTCTTCATTGTGGACAGCTATCCCCAAGGCTAGTTTCTCTATTGTTTGATTCCACTGACCTCACAGTGCATTCCTCCACTAGACTACCTGGAGGTACCTAGCTAGTAGCTAGCTACCGGTAGATGGCCATTACTCTTATTCCGCAGTCGTACAGGAAGCGGTACCAGGTACCACCTACAATATTCGATACGGCTTGGAAGCTACACGCTCACTGAAAAGTTGACGGTCTTGAGTTTGAGCTCGAGGGAAGAGGGCTCTGCGAGGGATCTTTCAGGTCGTATTGAGGCGCGGATGGATCCGAGTTTTCTTCTGGACTGTCAAATATCAGTATTAACTCTTCTAGGTCCGCGTTGTAGCCGGCCAGTCCTGGTGATAATTACGTTGGAAGGAACAAACTGGCCGTCATAGAGTTTTGCCCGTTTGCCTCCAAAGCGTCCAAGCCAAAGTGAGTGCGTTGTCTTGGACATGGACGTGAGCCGATGACGACGTGGCGATCACAAAATCGATCATCCACATAGCCACGGCATCGTCAGACACATACTTGAAGACAGAGAGCAGCCCACAGCATAGCAACCAAAACTTACCTGTGGTCCAGTCAGATAACATCTCACAACTCTTTCTACCCTTGCAGCAATTGCTCCACATAAATTTTTCTCAGCAAACGAATAGAATTCTAATACTCAACCATGGGCAAAGGAGGACGCAGCACACCCGCTTCGAAGCAACCCGACGATGGAGTATGGAGGTCTCCCTACAACCCGTTGGATCCCAACGCTCCTGAACTTCCCACCAAGGGTCAAATGAAGGCGGCTATTCCTGCTCATTGCTTCAAACGATCGTACTTTTGGTCAATGATGTATGTTGTTCAAGACACTATCATGTCAGCAGCATTGGTCTATGCTACCTCGCAGCTATTATCCACCCAAATTCCTTCCGATCCAGTTGAGATTCTTGTGTGGGCTTTGGGATGGTCTTTCTATGGCTTCTGGCAAGGAGTGATCCTTACAGGACACTGGGTCTTGGCTCATGAATGTGGACATGGAGCATTTTCTCCTTCTCAGACATTTAATGATATCTGGGGTTTCGTCATGCATCAGGCACTCTTGGTCCCCTACTTTGCCTGGCAGTACACTCATGCCAAGCACCACCGTAGAACGAACCACCTTGTGGATGGAGAATCTCACGTGCCCTCCACTGCAGCGGACAATGGACTTGGGCCAAACAACGAACGTCTCTCTTTCTACGCTGTCATGCATGAAGCCATGGGAGATGGTGCCTTTGCCGCCTTTCAGGTCTGGTCACACCTCGCCATTGGATGGCCACTGTATCTTTTGGGATTGGCATCCACCGGCAAGGTCGACCACAAGGGAGAACCTCTTGGAGATAGGATTATGGATCACTTTCGACCCAACTCTCCCATGTTCCCACCCAAGTTGGAAACCAAGATTTTGATGTCAACCGTCACCGTCGTGGCTACCTTGATTGGACTCGGATACCTCATGTACCAAGTTGGTCCCATGCCTGTCATTTTGTGGTACTGGAACCCTTACTTGGTCACCAATGCTTGGTTGGTCCTCTACACATGGTTGCAACACTCGGACCCATCCATTCCTCATTACGGAGAAGGACACTGGACATGGGTTTTGGGAGGACTCAGTACCATCGACAGACCCTACGGAATCTTTGACTTTTTCCACCACCGCATTGGATCCACCCATGTCGCCCATCACCTGTTCCATGAAATGCCCTTTTACCACGCAAAGGAAGCCACTGCTGCCCTCAAGGCATACCTCGAACCCAAGGGACTCTACAACTACGACCCCACACCATGGTACAAGGCCATGTGGAGAATTGCTCACACATGCCACTACGTCGAATCCAACGAAGGAATTCAGTATTACAAGTCCATGGAGGATGTCCCACTCACCAAGGTCCTCAGCAAGAAGGCCGACTAATGGATTGGTTGTGCTCTCTCAATTTGCCTTGGCTTATCCGGCTACACCGGTAGTACTACAATAAGACTACTTTAATTTAAATGATTTGTATATAAAGGATTGGTTGGCAACCATGTTGCTGCTAGCTCGTGTTTCCTGTTCATTTGTTTAAGGCTATGTACTTCGTATAACGTTTAATTTCCCTTGGAAAGAGGGAAAAGTTGTTTACGAAAAGTTGTTGCGAAGAGAGCAGGTCCATCAAACAACAGCTTCACACTAGCTAGACATCAACTAGCTTTTGTCACCACTGAAGTGAGGGTGGATATTGGGTAGCTCATCAGAGGCCACTTGCCCGAGATGACTTTGTATTCCCATCTTTGTCATGCTACCGGCTTGAAGCAATTGGCACCCTGTCTGAAAGTTACTGAAGCGAACACAGCTAGGTACCAATCTTTCACAGAAAGATGAACTCTACTGGGGAACCGCGACGCAATTTGCGGTCTCCAGGAATGTTGGGACAGTCTGCTTCGGTGTTGTCAACCTCAGCCGTACGGTAACTATAATCTCTGAAAGGTTTTCAAGTACGAGACCTGTGACCAACCAGCCACAGACAAGACTTTGTCTTGTGATTGAAGCAACTCAACTTGTTCGCTTACTGGGAGTGCCGACTGCCTCTGCCATTGATGGAGGCAGAGTAGCTGGTAGCAGTGCCAAGCAATGTCAACCTCCTCATCGGCCAGATGAAATTCTTGCTCAAAGCATCGTTGACGTCAAATATGAAGCCGCCGAAGCTATATGAAAGACTGGCAAACTTGAAACATCACAACCTCAGTTGGTTGGCTATTATTGTCATCCTCTTAACCAAGCGCTAGCTAGCTCGGGGTTTGGCAACGTACTGCTCGTTCACCGTGCGCAAGATATCGTGCACATTCAAAAGGGGACTTGCCTCCTGCTTTTCTGCTTCACTTCGTTTCGTCTGTCCCATCTTTACACCCAAAGCGGCGCGATAGATGCTTTTGTATGAGCAACCCCCTGACACATCAGTATTCGCAGCTTTGCTTTCTTCGAGCTTGACCAAACACCTCAGCGTCTTGAACAGGCGATCTTCAACCGATGTCGCGAGTGTAGCCATAGTGCTGATCCATTCGGCTTGGGCCTCTACCGTCCGGCCTCTCTGTTCAATCGACTCAGTCGAAAACGCGTCCATTGTATCGATGTAGCATTTCAAAGCCTGGCAATGGCACTCCTCTCCAGCTTCTCCGGAAACTGTCGAATAAAGGTTTGAAAGATCGAGGCACAGCAACACGAACGTTGCTTCGTTGCCTCGCAATGACCTGGAGAAAAAGCCATGAGCAGAGTTGTAGTGTTTGAACGCAAGCGACAGCTTCTCCCGAGTCTGGGCCTCGTCTCGCTGACAAGTCCAAACCTTGGAAAAGAACTGTGCCAGCTGATATTGAACAGCCGCCGTCTGATGGAAGTTTCCAGACTGTTCGTAGATGAGCAGCGCTTTCTCCATTGGCTCGACAATCGACCTTGTTTCCCCGGGAGACAGGCGAAGAATATGTAGCAATGTTGGGACACTGCCACCGCCCAACAACGCTTGTCTTCGTCGGACCCCGAGCACCAACAGTGTCGCTGCGAGTTCGTTAGAAACCATGTCCCACGTGAATGGGTCTGCATCTCGCTGACCCATCATCTCGTGCGCTGCTTCGAGTTGTTGGATGGCACATTTGAGGTTGGTGTCGGCGTGTGAGACCGCCGGAGCCTTGTCTCCCTTTCTTCCAGCGAATGTGGCGTTGGCTCGCAGCTTGTAGCACTGGCATATGTTGCAAAGTAGCAAGCATGCATTTCGAGTGTCGCCAGACTTCTGAAACACACGTACTCCGGCCTCAAAGCAGTGCTGGGCAGAAGCCAACAGGGGCGCAGCAGGTTTGTCGAATTTTCTGGCCGCACCCGCCTCGTGACCATGATCTGTAGTGTGGCCGGCTGAAAGAAGTTGTCGTAACTCCTGGAGAAAGAGTTTGCCGAGCTCGTTGTAGGCATCTCCCAGCCTTTGAAATAATAAGATAAGCAATGCGGCTTCTTCTGGTACGAGCTGTGTGTGGAATGACGTCTCGGCAGAACCAGAACCAGACTGATCGCGGCCATTTCCTCCTTGACGGATCTCATATTCCAGCGATGCTTCATACGCGGCCACAGCACGACGATACGAGATACAAGCTGCAACAAGCACGCGGCGTCGATCTCTGCCTAGCTGGCGTTTCATATCCAACAGTTCCCTAGCTGCCTCCAGTGCGTCTGGTTCACCATCATCGACGAGGCCAGATAGCTCGAACAAGTCACCCGCTTCTTCCAACAAACCTGCCTGGTAGGGGGCAAACAGGTATTCGGCCCTAGACGCTGTTCGCGGCGACACTGGTTGGTTGCGTTGCAAAGGAAGCGCAGCCTCGGCATCCCGTAGCACAGAAACAACGTCGTCGCCTGCAGCATGACCTCGTTCTCTCCATAAGTCATCAGCTGCAAAAGACCGAGCAAAATGCCCACAAAGTTCCCAAAGTCGTGTGTATTGAAGCTGTAATCGATGCTTCCACATCGACAGCTGATTCCCCTTGTCCCCATTCTTGGCAAATTGGCACACCTCGATTGCGTCCGCCATCGTGCGAGCGGCCTTCCGTAGCGACTGCATCGCCGAGGAAGACCAGTAAGCCCCCATGTGGTGTTCAGCAAGCCTCAAGGCAATATCAATAGTTTCGTCGTGGAGTGGCATGAGCTGAAACGCAAGTGCTTCTCCTTTCACTTCAGATTCCAATTTCGCCTCCTCTTCCTCTTCTTCGTCCGAGCTACTGGAGTCGGCTTCGATGGAGACAACTGTATTTTGCAGATCTGTGCTTGAAGAATCATCGGCGGTCTGCTTTTTCTTTGTGGCAACAGTTTGTCTCCATAACTGCCAAAGAGCTGCAGTACCACGCTCCAGATAGTCCAATGCCTTGCTGAGTGAATCAGGTTTGACGGCACTAAATTTTGGATGCAATGCTTTTGAAATGGCTGGGCATGGTTGGCTTGGATCTGACTGCTGTTGCTTTTGCTGCCCCCCCAGCGACGCATCTTCCATCGATGCACGAGCTCGAAGGAATGTACCTGCCAATTTTTGGCACACTTCAGCCACCAACAATTCGTGTGGTTGACCACCCATGTCAGCAAAATCCTCCAGCAAGGACAACGTATTCTGCAACAGACTTCGTTCCCGACTTCGAAAGGATCGTTTCAGAGCATCAGTCATGATTGCATCTGATGACAAATGTCTCAATCGTTGAGAGAATCGATAGGACATCATGGCTAACACCCAGATCCACTTCTTTTGCCGTTGTTGACTACTCGAGGTGATATCCAGAAGTTGAATGTTGGATTGTCCTGCTTCTCTGTGTAGGAGATATGTGGCATTGTCTTTGGTACAGTTAGCCTTTAAAAAGTTGAGCAATGACGTGGCGTTCATTTTCAAAACCTTGGGATCAAACAGGTGATCTGGGTCGGAGGGTGAGGCGGGGGCTGTGCTGGTTGGTGTGCTGCTACTATTGCTGTTGCTGCTTTGGTGCAGATTGATGACTTCAAATGGATTGGATGTATCATATGTTTCCTTGTTCATCAGCGCCGAAATGTGTTCTGTTTGCAACAACTTGACCGATTGAACAAACCCATGCTCCCGCAGCACCAATGCCAATTGAGGCACGTTGGCAATCAATTGATCGAGATAGGCATCGATGCATGTGCAGATGGGTGATGATAGAGCTGAAGTACCGTCGGAAGTTGTTGGAGGTTCCGAACTAATGGAGAATTTTTCCGCCAAGGGCATATTTGTGGAGGGGAGTACGGTGGTTTGCAGTTGAAAGGACGCATAAGTATCACCATTCGATTGGTCAGGGGGAGCACTACAACCCTGTGAGGGTCCCAGTTGGCTCTGATTGTTGCTCGGACCACCAGGCTTGTTGCTGTTTTGTTGATCAACCATCAATTTTCTAGTTCGCAAAGCTTCGGCATAGGTTCTCTTACCGGGGTGCTGTTGTTGTTGGGCATTCTTTTCGTTCTGATCTTTCGACTGATGATGATGAAACATCTCCAATTGCTGTCTCATGACTTCAGCATCTTCCACCCGCACTGTCAGCGATGTCTCGGGGGTTGCCGAACGGTAGACGATGGCATCTGATCCCACTAACATTTTCATTCCCGAGAATTCCCAAGGATAGTACTCGGTTGGCTCACTGGAGGATTTTTGCTTTTCAAAAAGTTCAACAGCCTTGTCCAAGGCGGGGTGAGGCATATTTTTGGTTCCGTGATCGGCAGGAGCAGTGGAAGTGGCGGTGTCCCCCTTTTCGATGATGGAACTGATCACTGCAAGAGCCGCAGAATGTTGTTGATTCGTAACGGGTAGCACCATCGTCTCGTCCTTGTGTTTCCTTTCTTGCTGTTCCTCTCCAATCTTTTCCTGGTTATAAGAGGGTTCCCTAGCTGTGGCATTGGTCAATGCCGGATCGGCATCAATGAGCAAACATCCTTCGACGTTGTGAATTCCCACGCTGACGGATTGGTTGGAAAATGGCAGAGAAAACAGCTTCAGAACACTCTGCTTGGTTCCCACATAGTCCAGCAATGCCCCATTATTCCCCTCTGAGTTTCCTGCAGCCGATGCCGAGCTTCCATCCATTAGTAGCGTTTCGGCTGACGTCGTGGCCGTTGTGGTAGTTGTTGGCGTGGTTGTCGTAATGGTCCCTTCAGGGGTCGGCTTGCTATGGGGAGATGGATGCAGCCCATCATCACCCTTTGGCGTTGCGGTCTCTTCAGTGGATGTTGATTCTTTCATGGAGGTGTCAAGTTCGCAAATTGACTATCACTATAATAGCTAGCAAGCTACTAGTAGACGACAATGAAAGCAGCCATCGAAGTTTCTGTGATGTTTTGTGGCAAAAGGATGGATGTGTGCTGCGATGGTGGCAGGGCGCGAAGATCAAATCATCTTTGGCGTTCTTTTTGGTTCGATTTGGCCTTCGTTCGTTGCACACGGGGGTGTGTGATCTACGATTCGGTGCCAGTTAGTAAGCCAGAGAAGCTGTTCAGTTTCGGTCATGGCCACCACCAACAGCGTCTTTGGAGGGATAGCTACCGTACGGTACCGTGTACAGCGCTAGCTAGCTAGATAGCAAATACTGTGCCAGTCTTTGTTCTAAATAAAACAACGAACACATAAATAGTGTTAATATCTACACAACCTCTTGGTCCTCGGCCAGTGGGGCATCAGGTTTGCTTCTCATGGCTGCCTCTTCTGGATCCTCCCCTTCTTCTACTTCTTCATCTACGAAACGTTCTTCGCATTCTGAAGTTTCCGCTTCCCCCTTTGTCAGCAAATCGTCTGTGTGGCTCATTTCCCCTTTAGATCTCGTAAACACTGGTGCAGTGTCCTTGGCCTGGTCTTTCTTTCGCTTGGCCAGGAGTAACGCAACAATGCCACAACCCGCAAGAACCGTCAGGGAAACGCCCACAGCAATGCCGGTTATTGTCTTACTGTCCAAGTTGCTTGACATGGTTCCATTGCAGGCGTCCACTTCATCCGATTGTCCAATCTGGTCACACTTCAAACCGAGTCCACTGTACACAACAAAGAACGATTCCACCACTGCTCCAAGGCCATCACGGAAGGGAGTGCCCGTCAAGGACAGATTGTCCTCGATAGTTTGAGCCGCATCACGGTCGACGTCTTCCACGAGCGGAATCACCACGTTGGCGTATGCATGACCTTCGACCAGATTGGAACTCAACGACTTTTGCCGGATACCTTCATTCACCATTCGTTCCGAAGCGCTGAGTGTGGCTTGGATGACTGGAACCAGAAGGAGAGGCTCCAATTCGGCAGTGGCTTTGCGGAGCTCGGAACAGCTGCGACTTAGCACGGCACCACGACCAGCGTAGAGAAGAGAAACAATCTTGTCGTTGACTTCTGCCGACAGGCTAGCAGCTGGTGAAGGAGACGAACACGTGTCGAATTCGGAGCAATGGTCCTTCGCGAGGGCAAAGAACAACATTCCCTCACGAGAGCCACCATTCTCAGTTCCTTCCAAGTGACCAATGATGGACGCGGCGGCCTTGTCCCAGAATTCAGCCGAAGTGGTATCTCTGACAGCTTCGTTAGCTTCGCACTCGCCAATGGCCTCGTGCATTCCCTGCAACGCAGCCATAAACATGATCATGTATTGGCATGTTCTCACTGCCAACAGCCGTCTTGTTTCGACGCCGTACTGTTCGTTCGTCATGGCATCTCGAACGATGTAGTCAGCATACTTCTCGTTTCCATCAAAGTACCGGACAAACGAATCGAATTGGGGGACGACAGATCGGGCCGAGGTTGTTGCCAAGAAACTGAGACTTGTTGCTTGGCCGGCATTCGAGTTGGTGGTGTCCTGTCGGATGTGCTTCCCGTTGGCATACAAGTCCTCTGCAGCCCGGTATGCTCCCATTTGCATCAGGATGTCGATTTCACGGATATCCAGATCAAATTGAGCAAACTGTAGGATTGAATTCAAAGCAAACAGATGTTAGCAACGAAACAACGATTAAAGAGACGTCGTACCGCGATAAGCTCACCTCTCTGACATCACTCGCTGGTTTGTACCCCGCCAATGGAGTGAGAACAGGTGGGTCCGTACAAGATGGCTCAATTTCAGATTTGTGCACACCAATGTCTTCGCACTGAAGCCCCAGACAAGGCAATGTAGACAAGATTTGATCAATGATTGGTTCAACTTCGACAACATTCAGAGGTGCATTCATCAACTTGTCTCTGAGATAGTTGAATGTAGCGGGGTTGCACGGTGCCAGAAGCGGCACGACAGCGTGGGCGTAGACCTTTACGCGAGCGGCATCATTCTGTCGCATGTAGTGGATAAGCGATTGGAGAAGAGGAATTGTCATTTGAGCGACGATCTTATTCACAATGTGGTAAATGCGATTGTATGTGCTTGGATCCGCCGCACACGCGTCGGGGAAAGAAAGCTCGATCTTCGCTTGATGGAAGAGCCTGAGGATGTTTGTGTTGGTTCTGACTTGTCCCGGAAGATCCATCTGGAACTGCTCTCCCATTTCCTCGGCAAGTGCATAGAGCAGGTGGCCGCGTTCGGCGTCGCCGGCAATTTGTCCATCTCCGATCCAGTAGGCCACAGCCTCGTCGATGGCGTGAGCGCCATCCTTGTCCGTCATCAAGCCGTTCTTGCAATCATCAAGAGTTTTGTGCAAGATGTGGGCAAGGTACATCCATACATTAAGGGCCACTGCAGCTTCTGAAGCCAACGTCTTCGCCTCTAGGCTCTTGACATTGAAGGCGTCGTTGACGATCGAATCAGCATATTGCCGGGCATCTTTCTCCATGAAACGGCCGGAGTCGTCCTGTAAAGAGTACACAAAGAGGTTCATCAAAGGCTCCTCAACCATTTCGGAAGTTTCTGTGGTGGCGAAAGCCTTGACACTTCGATGGCCAACCGTGATTCCGTTATCGTCGTAGATGTCAGAATTCTTTCCTTCTGCATAAATCAACTTGGCAAACTCGAGTCGACCGTCCTTCAGAGCATCTTCCATTTCCTTGATGTCGATTGCAATATTCGCCCTGTCTTGCACATACGTAGTGGTCACATAAAGATCGTCTCCTAAATTGGTAGGAGTTTCGGGTGCTGGTCGAGACGAGTCGTCCTGCACCTCACAAATGCCTCGTGACTCTGGTCTCAAGATTCCAACTTCATTACAGTCAACTCCCATGGCATTGATGGCTTTCGCGAAAGCATTGAAGACAACGTGCTTGCCGCCGGAGACGGGACGCCGGTTTAAATCGAAAGCCATGTTGTTGTAGATAGCCGTCGCACTCTCCGGGTTGACAGAGTCCACTATTGGCAACACGGAACCGGCTAGGATCGACCCATCCGCCACAGCCTTGCTCGTTGATCGTGCCTCGAGCTTTTCGTTCGCGGCGGCGTGGTATAATGTACCTTCAATCATTGACACAGGGAGGGTGGTCAGCAACACGTCGTTGTAAATCGAGGAGGCGGCGGCACAGTCCTTTGCTGCCAAACGCGACTGCATATTCGTCAATACGGACATGATGCGCTTGTTGATCTCAGCGTCACCGGTCGACGAGCAAGCATCGAAATGTGGACATTGCTCCTTTGCAAGACCAAAGAGGAGCTCTCCGTAACCACCGAAGATTCCACCTGCTTCAGGCCCTTCAATAGAACCGACGAAGTATGCAACAGCAGTGTCTAGGTATTCCTGACTGGCCGTGCCACTTTGGCAGGCATTCACAGCAGAGCTGAGCATCCATAGAACAGCCATGTACGAAACCATTGTTTGAAGGGAGCGCACGACAATCTCGTTCAGCTGCAGGCGCGAGGCGTTCTCATAGTCATTCTCCTGCCTCAAGGCCGCTGTGATGATGGAGTCCGCGTAGTTGTCATTGTTGCCGAAGTAGGAAGAGAAAATAGTAAAATCAGTCCCGACGCTCTCTCTCTCAGGAGCAGTGGCAAGATACTGAAGTGAAAGGAAAGCCCGATCCGTCTTCAAACTGTTTGCGCCATACTGGTAGTATTCTGTAGCGGCTTGGTAAGCACGGGTTTTCATAAAGACGCCAATCTGGCGAATGTCGAGATCGATTCGGGATTCTTCCGAGACATCGAACGTGGCGACGTATCCTGCCAACTTGGTGACACCTTTTGACGAGTCCAGCTTCTTACAGGTATTTGCAACGATCTCTTGCAGCTTGGGACTTGCTCGGCTTGTATCCCCTAGGTCTTCACAAGTGATCCTCATGCATTGCAGAAGCGATCCCATTTGCTCGTAGAATGCATCATTGATCGTAACATCACGAGAGAAGGAATCAATGAGGGCGCCCTTGAGTTCTTGGTATACCTTTGAGTCACAAGCCACAGCCTGTGGAATCACTGACAACCCATAAAGCTCGGTGTAGTCCAAGTTGTCCTCGCTCATGAAATACATCAGTCGTTGAACCAGCGCAATAGAGAACTTCTCGATGATGCGAGAGGTGAGAACACGCAACACTAGAAAGTTGTTTGGTTGGCTAGGGCAGAAATCTGCCAAAACCTGAGCCTCGTTCAGCATTTCCATCAAGTCAGAGTTCACCGCTGATTCTCCTTCATTCATACCAAAATCCTTCGCTGCCTGCTGAGCAACGGCGTACATCATCCACCCACTGTTAAACTTGCCCTCTTGCTGCTCTCGGCCGATCCACAAAGCCACTGCAGAATCAATGAGATGTGATGGATTCAAGCCTTGTTTGCATTCTCTTGCTGCGCGGTAGAGTCTGTGCTGGATGAGGAAGAACGCATTCATAATGACGGCAGCCTCGGCCGCCAGTTCTGCGTCATTTCCATGGTCAGGGCTCAAAGCTAATCGCACAACCATGTCAGCAAAAGGCCAACTAGCATTGCCAGTCGTCGACTCGAAGGTCGACTCATCGTACAACGCGTATCGGAAGTAATTGAAAATGGGATCTTCTTTCATGTAAAGATGCGCCTGAGAGCTCACGTCGGACAGACTCATCAGGTTCACTTGACCATAAAGCCCCTGCTGAACGTTTTTGCCATTGACGTATGTGTTCTCAGCTTGTGTGATATCACCAGCCTGTCGAATATCCTTTACGTCCAACGCAACAAGGGAATCCAGCATCGGCGCGTCGGGAGACTTGAAGGTGTATCGTCCAAAGGCAAGGTCGGAAACGCTTCCAGTATTGTCCGCATTGGGGACTGGTTGTGGTGCTGGTGCGGGAACTGGTGCTGAATCTGAATCGGGATTTGACTGCGTGCCACCTGTACTTGTTGCACTCGAGCCACTCTCGTCCAAACACAGAGAACCATAACCGTTCAAATTGCCAATCGACTTGCAATCGGTGGACATGTGAGGAAGGGAGTCACGAAACGCGTCGACCACTGCATCGAAGCCTTGCGGTAACGGTTTGGAGGTGAGCTGGAAGACAGTGTTGGTCCTCAAACTGGTCGCGCTGGAAGCATATACTTCGTTCATCCGTGGAAGAACACCGCGTGCGTAACCATACATGGCTCCGAAATCAGTGCTATCAATTCCAGTAACCAAGTTAGCGGATTTGGAGGCGTAGTACAAAGTACCCTGAGCAAGAGGAACAAAAAGAGCCGGTTCGATGGTGTCGTGCAACACAGCTTTCGCTTCGTCGCAGTTGTTGTTCTGCAACGCCGTTTTCCCAAAATTCAAGGCATTGGTTATCACTTCGTTCGCTGCAGAGTCGTTTGGTTCGCAGGTTCCAAAGCTTCCACAAAGCGTCTTGGAGGCCCCATACAAAAGCTCTCCTCCTGAATCTCCGCCCGCCGAAGAGCCTTCAACGGACCCAATGAAGTAAGCCGCCCCACCATCCCAGAATTGGTCGATGGCTTCTTGTGTCCCTGAAGAGGGGCTGGCGGCGTGGTTCTCGCACTCGAGGACAGCCGATTCTAGTTCTCCAACAGTGGCGAGGTACATTACGACACTCTTCAACACTGACATGACAACTTCGACCTTTTGGTCGTCACTGGCGTTGTCATCGAAGGGGGCAATTCCATCAAGCACGTCCAAGACAATGTCATGAGCCGAAGGATCGCCCTCAGCTTGAAAGTAGGAATTGTACAACAAATACTCTCTGCTTTCGAGCCATCCGGCCTTGTTCGTTGCAAGGTCAGCCAGACTATAGAGACTGTTGTATCCATGAAGGTAGTAGTCTTTGGCTGTTTCGTAAGCTTCCCATTCCATGAAGAGTCGGAGCTGCATCATGTCACGGTCAATGTATGACTTTGCCCGAACATCTGAGACGGGAGCGTAGGAGGCCAGACCGGGAGGACCGGAGGTGGCATCGATGACATCGCTGCACTGCGGGATTTTTCCATTGAGGTAGGATCCAATGTCAGCACAGGTTACGTCCAAGCAACTGAAGATGTCTTGCACGGTTTCAATGGCATTCAGCTGGTTCTCAATGGTAAGACTGTTGAATACCATCCATTCCAACATTCTCTTGTACTTTGTCGGCTCACAGGCCGCAACTCGTGGAAGCAAGGCTAGTGCGTACAGTTCAACCATGTCGGAGGCTCCTTCGTTTTGGATTTGGACAATGTGATGAATCAAGGTTTGGACCAGAGGCACCGTCATGAAAGACAGGACTTTACGGATCTTGTCTCTCATTTCGACGTAGCCACCCTGCTGAGCACAAGTTCCTGAGGCAATGTTGAATTGGATGGAATTAATTTCTTGCATGATACCAGTGTTGACCCGTGACTCTCCTTCGTCTTGCCCAAAAAGCTCACCGGCCAACTCTGCTAGATTGTAGAGCAGGTGACCCTCCAAGTTGTCACCACGAATCTGATCTGCTCCAATCCAAAGCGCCGTAGCCCGATCCAAAGCTCCGTTCATTTCGTCCTGATTGTTGGACCGACAGCCTCTCAGCACGGAATGCAGCTCATGAGCTACTGCCATCCAAACATTGAGAACGATGGCACCTTCTGTTTCAGTTCGGGTACTGTTCAACTCGAATAGATCCACTACCAACGTATTGGCGTATTCTTCTACGGGGTGTCCATCAAAGTTGCCTGCTGAGTCGTTTTCATTGTCTACACCCAGGTCATAAAAAGCATTGCGGTAGATGTTGTAGAGAGGATCCCCACTCATGACACCGCTGGCTGCCAAACTGAGGCCGGCCAACGAGATGACTGTGCGTTGCCCACTACTATCTTCATAAAAGGCGTTCTTGCCTTTGTAGTAAATATCGCTCTTCAGATCTAAATCCTTGTCTGCCTTTCGCATCTCGGCAGCGTCCAGCGCCAGGTTGAGGCTGTATATACACACATACATACATGTAAATGAAACAGTGGGAAGAAGAGGTACGCAACAGATTGTTAGTAACAAAGCATACCCCACTCTTTCTTCCCATGGCTGCCATTATCTAGCACTTCTTCTCCACGAATTGTACAGCAGTACTTACAGAAATGAAACATCGGTGGTGGCAACATACTCAAACTGAGAGTCCCCGTTGACCAATATCCTACTACGTTGCTTCCCGTATGCTACCTGACCCCAGAGACATAACAAAAGCAGCTTCACCAGGAGCTCTATTCTCACTTGAGATAGTATCATTTTTTGGATTGCTGTTGCTGTGGAAGATAATCAAATCACTGCTACCAATATCTGGCCGGAAATAATCCCGTCTCTACTTCTTCCGAATGAAACGAACGAACAGAACAAAAGAGGAGGTTCAGCGTGTGGCCTCCTACAAGATGAAAGTAACTTCTATCTGGATGCCGCTGCGGTGGAGAAGCAGAATCAGCAGTGCAAGAGAATCGAGGAACTCCAACGTTGACTTTGTCTTCTTCTTCTTGCTCACTTTGATGGCAGCAAAGCTTTCCTCTCTTTTGTCCCTCTTCTGTGGAGGGACGTTGTGGTCTCAATTTTCTTTCCCCAACCGCCTTTCGACAATTTTTCCTCAGAGCCCCTTTAAACAAACAGCACTAAATCTTTTTAAAGTGTGTTAATGCTCTGGTTTTGAATCGTGTGATTTGAGATCACCTGAATGCTTGAATGGCTTGATGATGATGCCGCTGGTTATTGTAGCCTACTAGTAGTAGTTTTGCGACCTGGCATGAGCCATGACCCCAACAGGTAAACTAGTACGGCTGCTCAGTAGTAGCTTGCTCTAGGTCAATACATGTAGCCAAGGCACGTTCAGATGATTGGGATTGCTCGATATCGTTACCAATATAACTACAGGAACCAGCAAGCGTCTTGACCACTACTCGGGACGGTTCCTCTTTTACTTTCTAAAGGGATAAGCTCTGGTGCGGCATGGAAATGATGTCAAGGAATGGACTGAAGCGAGAAAGAGACGAAAAAGCTACTCTGGCTAGCTAGTGTATGATGACCCCAATTGTACCGTCAAAGTTAGTTTTCATGTAGAGTGGCAGATGGAAGAAGAAGAGAGGAATGAAGGTATCGGATACGTAGTCTTTTACATTCCTTGCCTTTACTGTAGAGGAGTTATTCCACCTACTTCGACCCAATCACACTGGTATTCGGGACAGGTCGTGTCGAAGGCTTCAAGCAGCTTTGCTGAAAAAAATAAGGATTGTTGTTCATGAACATGACGGCAGCAACATCGAAACGTTGAATGATCGAACCGATTCGAATCGAATCAATCATTTGGCTCGAATGATCAATCGAACTTTCAATCGACTGCATTTATTCAATCGACTGCATTTATTTGTTTCGAGCAAGTAGCCTAAACCCTCTACTTTGCTGTCACGGTTTTGGAGTTCGGGCCATGTTGAAACCAAAAGATACGAAATGGATCTTTGCTGGATTGTTGACACCTCTGGCTTTTCGTCTAGGGGAATCCTATGGTTTGGGATTGATGTTGGATACAACGACACGTGTTAAAAATCGTAGCAAGATCTAGAATGATTGATTCTGGAGCAAAGATTCCCCAGTTTCAAGTTCCCAGTGACGTGTTTTGTGTCAAAGAGATAGCAAACGAACGCAATAGGAAAGCTAATTGGCACTGCACGACAGCTCCAAGGATACGATATACCGGATACCGGCCTTGGCAGCTGTTGGTCTGGGTGGTTGCGTCGTCGACTCGGAAGATTGGTCGTCCCAGGTCCTGGCAGAGAGGCGTTTACTTTATTGTCACTTCTCGTGTTGAATACATCTCCTTAGTCCTTTCAAAATGAAGCTCGCTGTTTTCGCCACCCTTCTCGCCGCCGCTTCGGCTTTCTCCATCAAGGCTGACCTTGGAAAGGTATGTCATACGTTTGTCGGATAGATCATGGAGCTCCTTGACAGGTGTCAATTTGCTGTGATACTAGTAGCTTACACCTCCGTATCTTCCTCTTTTTTCATCGCTCTTAAGGCTGCCTGCGCTGGTGCCGTTGTCTTCGGTGTTGCCACCACCCCAGCCTTCGCCGCTGATGTTGATGCCGGAGAGACCGTCTTCAACGCCAACTGCGCTGCTTGCCACGCTGGAGGACAAAATGTCATCATGCCCGAGAAGACTCTTGAGAAGGAGGCCCTCGAATCATACCTCTCTGGAGGACGTAACGAGAAGGCTGTCATCAACCAAGTCACCAACGGAAAGAATGCCATGCCCGCATTCGGAGGACGTCTCTCTGACGAGGACATTGCCAATGTTGCCGCCTACGTTATCTCTTCTTCTGAATCTGGATGGGAGTAAACCTTTTGCTAGTACTGGACCTTTCTTTTATTTATTTGCTATTTTGCACTACTGATAAATAGACAAGTACACTGCTTTGCGTAGCTAGTCTCACATCACTCCCCGTTACTGAAGCGCCCGTACGTAGTGAGGTTGAATGTTGACATTCATGGAGGATTTGAAGCCCTCTTCGCATGCAGCTTAAGGGAGTTTTGCACAAGTTGAAACCGCTGACAAGTGCAAACACAGAGCTGTGCCATGCCATGTTTCTTCATTCATTCGATTCGATTATCATTCATCGTTGGTGTTATCGCTAACAACGATGTAGGGCTTCCATCGGCCGATGGAAGCTCACGGGAAAGCCAGGTCCCATCCAAAGTTCACTGAAGAAGTTGGGGTGGATGTCCTGAACGAGCGGGGTTGGTCCGGGTAACCGATACCAGGGTGAAGCAACTGTCCTTATTAAGGCAAATAGAAGCAGCCCATTTATTGCAGCCAGTCATGGAGGACCGAGACGCCCTTTTACCCCCCAATCCCACAAACGCTGTCCTGGATTTTGGCCCCTCTTCCAATGCCGATACCCTATAGTAGCGACAAAGCCTGCTTGCTACATGTATGATGTATGGTACTGTACTCCAAGCCAAGCAGTGGCAGTATTAATAGCAAGCTTGGCCATCTGATGTTGTTCGCAAACTGTTTGTCTGTAGTAAATGCCGGGTGTTGGGAGAGAAAACTCAGTCTCTGCCGAGATTGCATTGCAGACCGACTGGCTGATAATTTGTGTGTCAAAGAAAGCGTCTGCTCTTGACCCCGACATGCAGCAACGCCTTTCGCATCGATGGCATTACAGTATTTGAAGAGCAGCCTTTTCACGATTATGTTGGGTTGGCCGTGGTCACATCGTGTCAGGAATCAATTATCTTGCCAAAAGCCTGACTTATTTGTAACAACTTGCAAAGGCAGAGGACAAGGCGATTGCGATTGCTGCAATGTCCAGTGTGTCAGCCAAGAGAAGTCGGGTTGGTTCTGCGACAGCACGAAGTGAAAGACCTTCTAGCAGACAGAAGAGAAAGAAAAAGGTTTCTGGGAATGTTTCTGCCACTCATGAGGGCGAGACGAATAATGTCCAGCTTGTGGGTGTGATGGGCAATCAACGAGTCAGACGCAGCCAAATCCAGCCAGTTCAAGTGAAAGTGGACGATCTTGCAGAGGGATTGATTCAGTGCCCACATCCAGACTGTCGCGCAAGGGGACTTGGGGTAGTCATCGGGGATCGCGGTTGCAATGTTATTACTTGCACGCATCATCAGGGGTTTTATTATTACTTTTGTCTCCACTGCAAACAGGAGGCAGAGGGAGGAATTGCAAGATGTGGTTGTAGCAGGAGAGGTGATAAAATAACGAGGGCCTCTGAGCAAGAAAGAAGGAACCAGAGAAATGAAGAGAATCCAGTAGACCTGTTCTCCGATGATGAAAGGGGAGATGGCGACAGCAACGACAATGAGAGTGCAACTGTGAATGATCGAGCAAGGAAATTGGGTGCAATAGCTGCCTCCGAGCTTGAAAGGAGGAACAGACAAAACAAAGAGAATCCCGTGGAACTCCTGTCCGATGACGAGGCAGACGATGAAGAAGATGACGAAGAAGACGACGAAGAGTCGGATGAAATATCGTCAATGGAGGATTCACTCGAAAACGATGAAGCAAATCACGCAAATCTCGGGTCCAACGACGAAGATAACGAGGACACTCTGTCAAATAGTGGAGACCAAGATGCCGACAACAATTCCGCAATTGAACCCCCATCATCGAACAGCAACGACGTAGTCGAGCTTTCATCGGATGAAGAAACCGACAATGATGATCACGTCGAGATAGTGGCATCTGACAAAACGGAGCGCCAACGAAACACTCATGCACGAAGAAAACTTCGACGTCCTTTAACAGCGTCAGGTAGGCAAAGCACGAACGCAAGAAACATTGACGCTGGAGATGCCGCAGAACAGCCAGAAAGCGGGATACAGGTTGTGAAGTTCGGTTTTTCCTCTTGTTCGACGCAGCTTTTCCCAGAGGAAGGAGAACTGAAGGGAGTCATGAATTTTCGCCTGAAGCAAGACGAGGCTACTGGGTTGTATTCCATCCCTGAAGGTGTCACGAAATTTGAGGCAAAGCTGTTCAATCCGTGCTACAAGTTTGGTGCTGGCCGCGAGCTTGTTTTTTCTGGAAACTTTCTTCTCGAGGAAGGACCACGAGGACGGGTTGAGATGGATTCAGGCCTATGGTTGGATCTGTTTCGATCTGACGATGAGGACGTCTATGGCGACAAGGAATACTTCAACTTGGTACGACCTGGACTTGTTGACAAGGTACAACCGGACGGTGCCTCCTACATTGGTAGTACCAAATTCCAATCCTACAACTGTAACTTTGCCAAGTGGCAGGAAGAACAAGGAGGAATATTGGAGTTCACAGCTCTCACCACGGGCATTGCGACACACGGTTTAGAATCGACCAGCACAATCAAGCTTTACACGGCCCTATCTGCACACCGACCTTTCGAGGCCCAAAGTCCAATTCCACGATACGTGTTTGGGAGCTCACCGGATTGGAACTTCCTGGTTCAAGTTGTGGAGGCTCGGCACCCAAGAAAACGCGACCGGGCCATCGATTGGGCCATGAGAGCCGTGGAACAATACAAACAATTTCTGGAGTTGAAGATTGAGAATCAATCGTTTTCCAGAGCCAGGTTCTCTCCTTCGAAAGCCATCGATGGCATATGGAAGGCTCACCTCAGCTTTCCGGAACGGTACCAAAAGGATATCATCAGCATGCTGAAAACCAACAAACGCATGATCGAACATCTACCTGTGTTTGGCAAGGAGGCTTACGACTCGTATTGTGTTGCTTATAACAAGCACTTCTTTCGCATGGCAAAGAAGGGCAATCAAATTGACCAGGAGTTCTGGCCAAAGCCTCCGCAATCCTGGATTGACTGGTAACGCGCATCATGGTTCAGCACAGGATGGTTCAGCTCTGGGTAGGATAGAGGCCTTGTCGAGCTCCTCTCTCTTGACCAGATGAGAAACATTGGGTGAAAAGGTGTGGGCAGACTAGGCATCCTGCGGCGTTGGTTTGGTCCGTGTCATTTGAGCCCATGCCGGTAGGCACGGTAGCTCCAAGACCGGTAGCACTCTTGATATGTAGCGAGCTACTGGGATGTAGCTACGGTACTTGGTACTATTAAAATAGTATCGTACACCCTACATGTAGCTAGCCAGGTTGTGTTTTTATACTGGGCAGAACCATTCTTTTGTGGTGGTGGTGGTGGGTCAATACTAGTGCTAGCTGACTACTAAAACACTGCGAGTCGCTGGTTGTACTGTACCGGTAGGTGGTGGTACAAGCACAATGAGTGAAATCCTCCATCTGCGTTCCCGGTGTACCGGTATCTCTTACAGCTCTGCTGGTGTTTTATTATCTTCAACCCTAAGCAACGTACTCGCGCGCCGTCGCTAAAGACGTTATGACCTAAATGATGACGGTTATAACGGCAGAGCATTGGAAATATTCAGTGGATATTCTGAATGTTCCCCGTTTGTTGGATATTTCGTCCGAGATCGTAGCAGCACCATTGCCATCACGTTGGAGCGAGACGGAAGCGAAGATAGAACAAGAGTATCAATTATCAATAGCAACAAAGGAATAGCAAGATGCAATCTGGTTCAGGCATTCAAGAGCTCATGGCGGCTGAGACGAGGGCATCGCAAATTGTAGCCGAGGCCCGTATTGGTGAGTGCTGTCATTGGATTCAACTCGTTGGTAACCAGTACTAGCGTCCACGCCTTGTGTTGGGCTGGGTGCCAATCGACTGGGAATGTGATGCTGCTGACATATTATGTTATTGTCCTTTGTTTAGGTCGTGGAGATCGCATGAAGCAAGCCAAGAATGAAGCACAGGAATTGATTGATGCCTACCGAGGCGAGAAGCAAGCAGAATTCAACAACATGGTGCTCTCCAAGGGAGGGTCTGAGGGCAGTGCTTCCGCTAAATTGCAGTCCGATACTAACAAGGATATCCAGGAAATGCAAGGTGAATTCCAGAAGAATGCCCAAAAAGCCGTCGACGTGCTCTTGAGCAAATGCTGTGAGGTGTCTTTGGAAGTGCCCACCGCCCGTGTGCGCTCCACCCAAAAGCAATACGGTATCGTGTCCACCTTTTAGGACGGGAGCTTATAATGGCGAAGCAGCAATCAACATTTCGTTTGAACCTGCCAGAATGGTTCAATCGAGTGAAAAGAAATGCTGTGCGCAGAGAGAATGGAGTCCGCAAGTAGAAGTACTGTAGAAGCCTTTTGAGACAAACCCCGCAGCAATACGGTCGGTTCTTCCTATTGTTGTGTATACTTATTCTTTTAAAAGAGCTATCCTAATTTGATGATCAAAACTAGCAATTCCCACTTTGCACTCTAGATTCATTCCTTAGGAGTATGCATTCCCACTTCAACGCTTACGTCTGCCACCGTGAATGACTGCAATGGTTTCGTTGAACCGTCTCGTTGCTTCATACCATATGTACATGTAGGAGGCTCTGTTTCTTGTCCTACCTACGTACCTTACGCAGATCCGAACTTGAAAGCCCGCGGAGTGTTGGGTTGATTGGGGCTACTCACGGCAGAGGCCGGAGACGGTGAGCCATTGTATGCATAGGGACGCCCTTGCTGCTGCTTCTTCGCAGAGGGTGGCGAGGACAGCTGATGAACCTGAATGGCAGGGCCACGAAACGTCGTCTTGGGTAAAGGCCGTGCTTTGAACCCCCCTGGGCTATTACGTTTTCCTTGCCCCCTAGTCTTGGACTTCATATCAACCGCAAAACTGAATGGTTGAGGCGAGGTGACGGTCCTTTTCTTCTCGGGAGTGTTCCTGAACGCTTTCACATTCTTCTCGGGAGTGTTCCTGAACGCATTCACATTAGAGGTGGAAAGAGGCCGTGGTGGACTTGATTTCTTTGATGAACTAAGCTTGAAGGGCATTGGTTTCGTCAACGAGCGCTTGGACACCTTGGAGAGACCAGCACTACTTCCCGTGTGCAGACCCGGACCAGACTTTGGCTTTGCCCTAAAGGGATTGTTGAGAAACTCATTCATTTTTTCTTGCTCCACTTCCGTTGCGCTCTTTGGTTGCGACCGTTTGTGCGTGGTGTGAAACTTTGGCGCTTGAGGAACGGTAAGTCCTGTAGTCCGCTTCACAGGTGGTATCGGTACACCCCGACTCCCGCGGAGAGAACTGGCCAGGAGTGTTGTACTCTGGGCCAGTGTCATGGATGACCTACGATCGCTCTCCTCAACGGCACGCTTACGCCTCACAGTTGTGGAAAATTTGGGAGCCACAGGCACTGTCAATGCATGCTTCTTCGTGGAAGCCACGGCAGTGGGAGAGGTGTCTGAACGAAGATTCTTCCCAAAGAAGTTTCCACTTTGGGCCATCGAAAGCGTAGCTGGTTTTCGCTGATGAGCCTTGGCAGATGATGTTGGAGTGGCAAAACGAGGCGAAGTTTTGGTGGTACCCATTGTTGTTGTTTTTCGTTCCCGAACAGGCTTGGGTTTTTCCTTGGGTTTCGCGCCAACGCTGAATTCCGCCCCCGTTGTTCCAAACAGCCTTGCTTCCTGCTGCTTTCTCTGACGCACGCGCTCTCTTGCACGAGCCACAGCATCTTCTGTAACAGTCCTCTTTTGTGGAAGCCTAGTAGAAGAAGGTGGGCTATTGCGAGCTTTGCTGGCGGCAGTGCTGTTCATGAGCCGACTCGGCCCATGTGGGACGTTTGGCCCTTCCCTCTTTCTGGAACTGGAGGTTTGAGGAGTTGATTTGGTGGAGGAGTGGGCAATTTGGGATGCTGTGGGTTGCATGAACCTGTTTCGAGCCTGCGTAGGTGTCGTATATAATCGCCTCTCATGTGAATATGTCGTGCTCGCTGGTGAAGCCCTTGCAATTGGCTTGGAAGGAGACCGCATCTGGCTCTTGGAAGGCGAAAACGTGCTAGCAACCCTTGCCCTCGCAACTCCACTCGATGGAGTGCTTCCCATTCCCGGGGTTGGTATTTTGGATACATGTCCCCTTGAAGCGGCTGTCGGCTGCATCAGTCTACTTCTACTAGTTGGAGCCGCCCTAGACCTGGTTGCTGGACTAACTGATGCCATCGTTGCTTTGGCGGTGGTGGATGACGTAATGTTTCTCACTGCCGTTGTCGGTACTTGGATCGATCGAGGTGGGCTGGAAATTTTGCTGGCAGAGAATGAAAGAGCGGGTGCAGGGCTAGGTTTGGGATGAGAAAATCCCTTCTTCTCAACAGCAGGAAGTTTGACTGAGGGGGCATTGATTTCGGTAGTCATTGGACTGGTCGGGTCAATATCCATTGCATCCTCAGCGTTAGGAACTGCGCTCGATGGAGTAGCCGGGGCATTCTTCTTATCCACTGGTTGGATTCGGCCGGTGCCAGAGAACGATGCTGCCAGAGCCGAAATCCCTCGGGCGGTAGCACTCCTCCGATCCTCGTTTCCATTCGCAGTTTCCGTTTCAACATTTCCATTTCCTCGATCAGTGTTCTCGGGCACGAACATTGGAGCTTCGGAATAAATTTCGACTTTCCCATTACCTGGTTGATTGATCCCGGTCGACACAGCAGGAGGTTTCATTTCAACATCTGCATCAGTGTCGACTTTTCCAGTATTGCTTGTTTGAGAGATCCCCGCAGTCGGCTCTGGCGCTCCATAAATGTCGACGTTCCCATTTCCAGGTTTGTCAATTCCCATTCCCATAGGAGAGTCAGCCTGCTCTGTTTTGGAAGGCTCGTAAATTTCCACTTTTGAATCATTGGTGGCTTCCGCAATCTTGGGCTCCTCCGGGATAGTCTCAGTGCTTTCAACATTTGGTGGTTGCGCCTCTTCCTTGTATTCTTCCAGGCGTGGTTCTGGGCTTGGAACTAGTGGTGGTAGCGATGGCGGCGATTGTTGTGGTTGCTGCTGCGAGCCAGGGGTAAACATTCTTGAAAAAAATCCCATCGCACCCTTTGGTGGTGTGGCTTCAGGAGGCTCCTCATTTGTAGCTTCAGCTTCCTGCTTGTCTACATCGGGCTTGACAGGAACTTCTGCTTCGTAAATGACTGATTCTGGTTGCTGTTTGCTAACCTCTTCATCATTGGTAGCGACGGCGGGCGTTTCGTCCTGAATCTCCAATGCACCAACTGCATCCGTTAGAGTGGTCTCATTCTTGTTTTGTTCAACACCCAATTCTTCAACACCCAATTCTTCAATTTTGGCTTGGATAGACCTAGCCGACTGTATTTCAATATCAGGGCTCTTACTACCGGCAAAGGAGTGAGTAGTCTTTTTCTCTTCTTTCTCGTCATACAACAATTCCGAGTTTTGTGTGGATGTATTCTCCAATGCGACTCGCTTGAGATCCGTGTACGTGAGATTCGTGGACGGATTGTGGCCGTAACAAGGGGAAGCAAAGTCCTCTGAATCGTAGCCACTCGTATCAGTGGCGATAGAGACTTTTGGAGGGTCTCTCTTGTCGATGAGGGCAATCCTATCCATGTTGGCTTGCAAGTCTTGCATGATATCCCCGGTCTCCTCAACGTTGCTGACTTCCAATTCGGGATTTCGAGGCGACAATTCGTCCATAAACCCTTGTAAATCCTCTTTCAACGCCGCATCGGCGCTCTTGACAAAGTCGCGAAGAGAGTCTGGGATGAAATCATCATCAATATCGTCGTCCGAGGAATCAAAGGCTGACATTGTGGACGAGCTAAATAAATAATTGTCGATTTGTGGGGAAGGAGTGAACCGAAGGACGCGCCTCGGATCTAAGGATAGACGCAAACAAGCACTATGAGGCTATCCGCTTCAAAGTCGATCCTGAAACAGCAATACCAGAGCCAGGAGGCGAAGGGAGACCAAAACAAGACAACAAGAAGACAACAAGAAGACCAAGGCAAAATGACAGCGATCTGCCCACTTGAAATTTTTTGATTTCAAACGTCAAAAGGGTTCATTTATTTTTGATGCGCGCCGTCAAGAAGCGTGACAGCATAACCCTATATAAGGGTTTTGCTGCAAACTTTTCTGTTTTGGAAGGAAACGTGACGATGGCGGTCTCGAAGTCTCTGACAATCGCTTGGAAGAGCTCTTGGAACTCACTCTGAAATAAATGTACAAGCACAAAACGCCACAGCCTGAAGATGTCGTTGAAACAAAGTAAACATGATTTGGATGCTTTCCTGACGACGCTCGAGTCAAAAATGCGAGCACCTTATTCTTCGTTGGATTTGGCCAAAATCATTGCGACACCCTCATTGCGAGGAGCCCTGTCGAGTACCGAGTATCTGCAGAACATTTCCCAAGTGTTGGCTCGAACCGACAAAACGACGCAATTGCGGACCCTGGTGGGATTGCTAGGACTAGAACCAGGAACAGAGACGGATTCCGAAGTCTACCAGATTTTATCGCAAGCACAAGACGAAGATACCTACGAAGAGTGGGTCCGAATCATTGCAGGTCTTGCCCGTGGAATTCTGTTTGTCGACGACAATGGGGAAGGTACTCGAGAGAGCTGTCGTGGAGAGGAATCGAGCGAATTGTTGAACAGAACCTGCAAAGAAATTGTCAGTCAAACTCGAGAATTGGAAGAAGAAACTCAAACAGAAGAAGAGACGGCTGATATGTATCCTCTCTTTGTTTCATACCGATACTACATGCTAGGCCCAGATTTGCTGGACCGTGTCATTCCAGAACACAAGAAGAATCCACACTTTGAGGTCAACGACAAGGCGGCTATTCTGTCGATGGACGACAACATGGAAAAGGCATGGGCCGAACAAGCGCATGCTGCCAAACCAGTCAAACCTCCCGCAGCTCCAGCCGCGCAAAGCGGCACTGCTGGTACTGCCGCTGCTGTAGCACCCACTCTTCCTGGATCGACTGCAACGGCTAAAAAGAATGCATCCAAAATACAAAGAAAGAAAACTTCCATGTTTATGCCCAAAAAACGCGGAGGAATGGGTGGAAGGGGAGGAGTAGGGCGTCCAGTTCCGGTACGTTGCTACTAGTATCATTCGTCTACGGAAATTCACAGCGTGGCCATGTTAGTTTGATACCTGGCGGTTTGTTCTGACCAGTTCTTTGTTGGGCACAATTAAAAGGTCAAGGGTACCCTTCACACGCGCAAAGCAGGAGCTGCCCAAACCTTACTCGGCCAGCAACGAGGAAGGATGGGAGGTATGGGTGCTGTGCGATCAGGAGCAAATGCATCATCGGTCGGTGGAAGGGCGCAGCGATTAGCCAACAACAAGTCCAAAATGAAGTTGATTGATGTAAGTTAGTGTTGTTCCAACTGACGACTGGCCAGCGAATCGATCTTCTTCTTGCTGTTCAATCCACAACGAAGCCATTCATTTTACTCAAATGAATGATTCGATTCCATTCGATCTCCAATCTACCTAAATTTAGGTTTCAGAGGTACAGGGATTGGGCAAACAGAACACAAAGCGAGACAACAGATTTGGAAAGGCGGCGACCGTAGAGCAAAGGAGAGAAGCACGAAAACGAAAGATTATGGAAGCTGCCGCTGGAAAAGGTTTGGTAGGGCAAGGTAAGGTGCAGAAGTTCGATGAAGAGGCACGAGCCGCGAGAGAAAATGATCAATCAGGCGGGTTCTTGTCAGCCTTGATCAAAGAGGGCGATGATGATGATGATGACGACGACGACGACGATGATGACGACGACGACGACGCAATGCCCGTCGATAACTTTGGGGTCGCCTCACCCTCCGAAAACGACGATTCAAATGAAGAACTGCAAACTATCCTGCGAGAACGCTCCAATAAGCTGTCGGATGAAGACCGGACACGAATTGAGCAATTCTTCAACGAACGATACAACCCCACTCCAGATCAGATGTTGTACAAAATGAAGCTTCACGAGGAGCGAATGCAAGATTCGAAGGAAACTTACTACTTGGAGCTGGACTATTCAACCTTTACCTCCAAGCAATCCAAGAAGACAAAGCGTTACTGAGGTTGCATGTTGTCAGCATTGCGCTGATCTTTTCCGTCTGCTGGGCTTGCAGTTGCCAACGTGGCTATGTTTCCGTGCGGATTGTCATATTGGATGTGATAGCTAGACTAGCTAGTATTACTGGTGTGTGATGTTTGATACATAGAACATGTACAGTACTAGTATGCATGACATCGTTCCCTGCTTGAAAGGCTGTGGCGTTTGGCGAAGCGTACCGTACGGTGGTACTCGTACCGGTGGCTCACTTTTGACACCAGACAACAGACGGATGATTGAATCGAATCATTCGAGTCGAATCGAATCGTTCGATTCAATCTTCCAACCTTTGACACCACCCCTCCTCCTTCGGAACAAAAATATGTGGCTGGGAGAGCACAGGACCGATGCCACTTCAACAGTTGCACTGTCGGGGTAGAAAAGAGAACAATTGTGTCACAGAACTTCAGGGCAATTCCAGAAGCAGATGGTGACATCTAAATCTGGTCGCAACACGGTGGCGAACTTGTTGTCCAATTAAATTTCGTTGGCTATTTCTCGATTTGTTCTCAAAATCGTTTATTTTAACACTTTTGGTTTTGAACATCACAGCAAACACAGAAGCCGAGCTCTACTCGAGCAAGACCCGAGCAAAGAGCAGAGCAGCTTGCTCGAGGAAATAATTCCATCAACTTAGACTTTCTTTTCCTACTAGCTAGCTACTCGTAGCTAGGATAAGATAAGGGGTCAAGAGTAGGGAGGTTATCTACAGAAGCTGGCAGAGGGCCAGGCTTAGGAAAAGAAAAGGTGGAATTCAGGTCTAGAGGTTCCGTTGGATAATGGGCGACAAACTGGGCTTGTATTTCCCAGCTCCAAGATCCCTTCGAAGGTCCACTGTACTGTAGAAGAAGAGAAGAACAGGTTTGTCACATCAGGATCACCGCCCCCAGTCAATTCTTGAAGGCTTCCAAGTGCAGCACTTACTTGTTCGTGTACTATCTTGTCACGATCCTGTTCCACTGAACAAGGCACAATGCCATGTAGACCACCGAACGCTGGAGCTGTTGGTGTTATCCGCATTTGGTTGCAACGGCCACAGGGCAGCAGCCTTCAATACCGGCAACGGAGAGCTCGATCGAGATGCTGGGTCCTCGACTCGACCAGTACAGCTACATATCCCTACAAATGGAGGCTGGAAAGCGTGTTGCAGCAGCTGTACGCTGTTGCAGCCAAGCACGAAGATGAGCCGGATGAGTACCGGTACCGCCCAATTCATGCACCTTGCTTCCCGTACTGTATTGGTACATATGTTCGCTCGAGAAGGCTTCTCAGCTTGGGGTTTTCGGTGCTTTTTCCCTCTCGGGTTGCTCGCCAAAAAGAAAAGTGTCTTTTCCATTTTTCCATGATTTGACTAAATTAAAAATAGTGAAAAGATTAAAACGTCTGAAAGTTAGTTTTCTCGCAGTCGCAGCATTGGTCGCCACGGTGGACAACCTCATTGGCTCTTTCTCGGGTGCTGTTGCACTGTGACAGTCGCAGACCCAAACTTCATCCTCATTGGTCGGAGCCACGATACCCTTGTTTTTTTTTCCTTTGGTTGTTTCATTTTTGTTTCAGCACCATCGCCGAGCGATCCAACTGGTTCAAGTGCCAGTGCTCTTGAAACCATTAGTTTGGAGGCCGAGTCTTTGGGCCAGATGCCCTTCTGAGTCTTTCTGCCAGCGTTTCTATACCTCATCACTCATTACTTGTTGCTGGCCGCCACCATCGCCGAAGCCTTTCATCTCCGTGATTCTCTCTTTCACTGTAGCGTTCTAGTTGTGTAGTCCAATGGGCCAGCAAGTCTCCAAGACCTTCTGTTACTCTTCTTCGGTGGATGGCACTTCAAAGTTATCAAAGCCATCAAGGGGCGCCCTCAGAGCTGCTGCATCGCGCTCCTTTAGCGATGACTTCTCGTCAAAGTCCACTGTCAGTTCGGAAGATTCTCTGCCACAGCAGCCGTCGCCGGAGGTAGCAGTGGCCTCAGCCAGCGCTTTCTTTGGTGCTTCCTCTGCCAACGATCAGCTTGGCACTAAGGCACCCTTTTCCGATTCGGGCTCTCCTTTGGATTCTCGACAGGATGATTCGCTACCACCTCCACCGCATTCTCAGTCGCCTTTTCTAGTAATTCCCAACACCAGACCACCAACGAACCCTGTCAAATGTCCTCCAGCACCTCGTCGTGATCTTTCGCATGCTTCCGGAGACTTGGAAGAGTGGCACGAAGATGATGTTCAGCATCTTACGCGGTTGTATGAGCAACGGACATGGCAGATGTTCATGCTGATAACTGAAGCGAGGAAACAGCAGAGATACCAAGGCAGGGGCTACCATAACGGGGGTATCACAGCAGGAGAGACGGTTTCGAACCCGGACGAGACACGACAAGATGCATCTGCGTCGGAGCTGTCCCCCAATCACGAGATGATCTTTTCCTGTGACTTGTGACCTCGAATGGATGGATGCGCGATGGGGGAGATGCGGACCAAGAATCAGGTCGTCTTCGTCTGAGCGCTATAATGATGTGTCCACATCATGTTTATAATATGAGTCACCCTTGCATGCTGCAGGGAAGAGCTAGCGTGCGATGTTCGGTTGACAGCTATTGCTACCTATGCATTTTGAGCTAAGCTACTACGCTACTACGTGACTCCATAACAATAGCTACTATTCATCAGTTTTGACTTCTGTCTGCACATGTAGAGTAGTAGTCTTGTATCCGTGTGCAAGTCAGATTCATACGCAAGACACTTCGCCAACGAATTCCGCAACTTCGCACCTCCTTCAACATTCCGACTTGGCGAAATTCAAAGGAACAGCATCGAACTGAGCATCCTGTGGCAAGGCAACCCAATCAGCACAGTCAAGACCTTTGGGACACGACACTGCAGCCTATGCAATAGGGAGCGACTTGAGATACTGAAACGATCCAGAGCATCGCTAGAAAAGCTGATCAACTCCTGCAACGAAATATACGGAGCCTGCCCACATAAACCATGATTTCATAAGTACCGGTACCACAATTGCCCAAGCACTGATGATTCCCATGGGGGATGAAAAAGTCAAACAAACAAAAGTCACCACAGAGTAAAGCCTGTGTTTTAGGGATTGGCAGTTTGTGAGTAAACTTACTTAGTTCAGTCACTTTTTGCTAAAATCGTATGACAGTGATGCTATAGTACGTGTTCTGCTCCAGAGCCAAACCAGTTTAAATTACTTATCGGAGCGGTAGAGGGCGATCAACTACTCCTCTGAACGCGATCGCAAGGCAATATCAGGACGGCTCCTGATCAGCGTGTGCAAGGTGTCAATACCGCACTCCCTAGAGACCTTGGACAAAAGGAGAGGGAACAGCTTGTGCTTGTCGCCGACGGACCAATGAAGTGCCTGAGGAAAGCTTTTCAGCACTAGGGCAAATGATTGATCCCAGGCACGACCATTCTGAATCATGAGGTTCAGTGGGAACTCGCCAGAATTGTTGCGTGTTCGACAAGCGTCCGGGTACAACTCAAACAGCATTCTCAAAACCCCGAGTCGACTGTGGCAATTCGAGCAAGTACCATTGGAGCAACCATTCAACAGTGTGTATTTCTCAACCGGAATACTTGCTTCCACATGCAAGGGGTAACCCTCTTCGTCTTTTATCCGCGCTTCCTCGGGATAGAGATGCATGGCACGTCGGATGAACGCTGGATCTAACCGCACGTCGCGTCGATGGAGGGAAACGCAGGCCATCAGCAAGCTCCCCATTCGGTCTCTGTCGTCATGTTGTGATGAACCATAGTGAAGAATTTTCACCAATGTCGCTAAAACATCAAAGGCCTTTTTTTGCCCAGGCTTGTAGTCTGTTTTGGAATTGCAGTGGCATCCGCTTCTGCAAACCGATTGGAACTCCTCCATGGCAATGCCAATCGGGGTTTGCCCAGCCATGTTCGGGGTGAGAAGAGGCGGTTCGTTGTAGGATAGTGCTACTTCGCGCACTACCTCAGGATCGACGCGCCGAAAGCAAGCCAGATGCAGTGGTGTATCCCCGTAACTTGTTTTCATGTGCAGTGCATCCGGAAACGCTCGAATCAAACATCGCAATGCTTCGATATCTGTCTCTTCCCGCATGGCAGAATGAAGCGGTGTGTTGCCTGTCATGTCCACAACGGAAAAGACACCAGGGCCTCCAATCCTAGAAAACGTTGTAATAACCCTATCTTGCAACCTCGCGTTCTTGCACATAATTTGTAAAGGCGTGTATCCAGCATTGTTTGTGCATTTTACCCACTGTGGATTGGACATTGCCAGAGTTTCAATGTGCTCGAACGGCGAGCCCCGAAAACAAGCATTGTGCACTACACATACATGTACGTCATGACAAAAAGTATCGAGTGAGTTCCCTTTTTCGAAAAGCAAAAAATCAAAACCAGGGTCTTTTTAAGAGGAAAACACAAAAACTTACATGGAGTGTTTCCAATCTTGTTCGTCATTTGTCTATTCCGAATCAAAGCAAGTTCGGCAGAACCGTCGGTATTGATCTCGTATTGTGTGGTCAAAATTTCAATGACTCCGACACATGTGCTGGGATTTCCGCAAGCCGTGTGCATGGGTGATTCGCCGCCGTTGCTTTTGGTGGCCACACTTTTGGGACACACCTTGAGAATTTCTTCCACAATTCCCATTCTCGGCTGCACGGCCCCACACACACAATGCAACGGGACAAACCCGTAGTGATTTTTCTCGGTCAAAGCGACGGGATTGGCTTGAATCAATAATGCCACCGTTTCGGTGGATTTGTTACAGGCACATGCCAACGAAAGCGCCGAGTCGTTTTTTCTGGTTTTGGCCATGGCTCCTGTCGGATGTGCTGCAAGCAAGCAGGAGATGACATCCGTGGGCGCACCCACCTCGGCGGCGTGATGAATGGGTAGATAATTGTTGTTGTCTGGAATAGAAGCGGCTCCCGGAAAACAATCCACAATGCATGCTACAAGTTTGGCAGGCACTCTTGTATTTTTGCAAATAAAATGGAGTGGTGTTTGTGATTTTTTGGCGTCTCGGGCACATACAGCCCTGGGATCTGCCTCGAGCAACGATTGAATCGCCGGAAGGTGGCGCTCTCCAACATTTTTTCGGCACAATAGATGCAAGGGAGTTTCCAAAAGCGACGTGGTCCTGGCGCTAGCCGCAGTTTGTTCATATCCCAGTAGCAATTTAATCAATTCGAAATTGGCATTTTCTGCGGCGTAGTGGAGTGGGCTCCATCCGTTGGTATCGACAATACGAATGGCATCTGGCGCAGCGGATAGCAGCATCTGTGCTACTTCTTTGGAGCCTTGTCTTCGTTGACAGTGCAGTGACAGAGGCGTTTGGTTTAAATTGTTTACCCGTGTGGCGCTGGTTCGATTGGCTTCTAAAATTCGTCGAAAGCATTCTAGAGGAATCATGGTTTCGGGTGCTTTGGCTGCAATGTGCAATGCCGTGTCTCCGGATCGATTGCAAACCGACGCTAGGACCGATGCATTTTCTGCCAGCAATGCATCGATAGTGGCACCCAAAGCATGCGTGTCCATGGCATGAGTGTTGATTCCCACCAAAAGCAGATGAAGCGGCGTATTGCCCGAGTTGTCGATTGCCATGGCTCTCCCAGTATTCACGGCTAAAATGGCCGAAATGACATGCAGGCAGGAACAGCGCAGACATGCCTCGTGTAACACCGACCGCCCAGTCCGTGGTTCCGTGTAATGGACATCGTCGGGATATTCGTTGATTCGATCCAGAATGGGTTGGCATCCCCTGCCAACTAGACATGTCGTCTCGGGATCTTGAACCAGTCCGTGTAGATAGGACGTTCCCTGCTGAACCACACGATGGTGGAGCAAACGGGCAGCTACAATGCCACCACCCTCGTCGTCGTTGCCATTGTCTTCCAACGGCATTGCCACGGGAAGATCTTCATCGTCGTCCGGTCGGTCCATGGTCGAGCTCTTACTTGGGATACAGTAATCACAATCAATCAATCTAATAGAGTGTTCTGCTAGCTACTGTAGGAACCGAATGAATATCTACTAGTATGACCAGTGCAGAATCGAATCGAATCCACTTGGCTTTTCTATGTCAGTCTGTGGTCGACAACTTTCAAGCCAATGCTCGATTGTGAACCAGTGGCGCGGGAAGGACGTGGAATGGGGGTCGGGGTTTGTCGCTGCACGAATGCTTTTGATAAGTGTGCGTCTTCTCGAGCAAGTGGCAGCGGTACACTCGAAATCGCTCATGAGGGTTCGAGTTGATCTTGCCTTACACGTTGTCTACCAGCGCATCAACAGCAAAAGACCATCCACCGACGTGCATCAAAGAGGTTGGCTTTTCAACCTGTGCTACCGTGCATGTACCCAGAGTCGAGTCATTGGACATATAGTATAGCATACGAGCACTGCTGTCCTGCATTGGTGATTCGCGAGGTGACTCTTGTTGTGGTAAAGGCGACAGTCTGGTGGGTTATCAGGTCCACTAGCTAGGCGGCGATCTATCTAGAAGTTTAGTTAGAGAGACAAAAGATACACTGGACATTTTGATCAACTGATTGATATCTTGAATCGAATCAATCATGGTCGTGGCTGAAATACCTCTCTGGTTGGTTCACGCTGCCGAAGCTGGAGGCGCTGGTGGCATTGGTAATCCTGGTGATGATGATCCATTCCATAATAACGATCAGTCGGAGGAAACCAAAGCACAAACCTCACTCTCCCTCCTGCAAAGCTCGGGGCGGGGCAAGAAGTGTGCCATATACGGAGTAGACATCAACCCTGATGGAAACAGAATAGCCACATGTGGTGGTGATGGAACCGTGCGAATATGGAGTCTGTCAGGACTTTTCTCGCGAAAGCGATCACGCTTTGCCGACGATGGAAACTACGCCAGCAGCGAAGCTTCAGCAGCGGGGGAGAGCAGCTCCAGTGATGATGCCGATGAAGACAATAACAACAACAACAATCCTGAAAATGGAAAAAAATCAGCCAATGGTGAAGACAACGACCCAGCACGAGAAAGCGTTGTACCGGTACATGATCTAACCAGCCTCGTACGGAGGAAAAAGGGAGGGGAAATGCCTCGCTCCCCCACAAAACCTGCTGCAGACAATAATACTGATACAACAACAACCAAGGAACCGGAAAAGAAAGCAGCACCAGAAACGAAAAAGACGTCACTGCCACAACCACAACAACAACAACAGCAACAACAACGTCTCCTCTGTACTTTATCGGCCCACACGGGGTCCTCCGTACTCGCTGTACGATTCTCACATGATGGAAGATTCCTGGCATCGGCAGGCGACGATGCTGCTGTTTGTATATACACCAAAGATTCATCCAGCTTGGTGGGGAACTTGACGGACAACTCTCTAGAGCACTGGTCGCGGATAAAGCTGTGTAGAGGGCATGGGTTGGATGTGGTGGGCTTGGCATGGGCACCGGACGATTCAACGCTCGTCAGTTGTTCCCTCGATTCAGAAACTCCCATTATTGTTTGGAAATTGACCGATTTGGCATCCAATCAAGGGCACGTTACACATTCCAACATTATATGTAATCCCTACAAGGTGCTGGGGAAGGGAACCCACACGTCAACTGTCAAGGGCGTCACATTCGACCCTGCAGGTACCTATCTTGCTTCATCAGGTGACGACCCTTCCGTCTGCATTTGGAGAGCACATGATGATTGGGGCTTGGAGAGGAGAATCGATGCAGGTTCGGGTATCTTTCGTCGTTGGAAAGAGGACAATTCGCAATCTCTGTCAAGTCAAACTCTCTTTCGGCGTCTCAGCTGGTCCACCGACGGTGCATACATTTGTAGCACAAATTGTGTCGTCAAAAATAAGCATGTCGCATCAACAATCAGCAGGGATGGTTGGAATGTGAGCACGGCTCGTACTGTTGCGGCTGGAGCAGCCAACCTCGTGGGTCACAAGCAGCCTGTGGTGGTGAGTCGGCATTGCTCCAAGTTGTTGGAAGCAAGGAGTAGTCAAAACAATGAGAATGGCGAGAATGATGGCGGCAGCGACAATGGTGAAGAGGACGAGCCAGCGTATGCAACGCTACTAGCATTGGGGGATCGACATGGGTTTGTCACGGTCTGGACAACCCGCAAGTCCAGACCCATTTTCAAGCTTCAGTGCAGCGAAAGCCGATGCACTGTTACAGACTTGGCCTGGGGAAAAGTCAAGGGTAATGCCATGGTTCTACTTGTCTCATTACTGGATGGTCACTGTGTGGCCTTGCGATTCAAAATTCCTGAAGAAGTGGGTCCACTGCTGGCCGATAAAAACAAATCGAGGCTATTTCGGTATCGGTATGGAATCGATCTGGATGATGCCGAAGACTTTAGCAGACGCAGGCTGCTGGTTGGTGAAAGCTCAGGACCAAAGTTTATTGAGAACACTTTGCAAATGTCGCTGGAGAGCCGATTGAACGACGACGACGACAACAACAACAATGATGAGGACGAAGACGACAAGGATGATACAGGCGAGGGCGGTGCTGGTGGAAATCAGGAGAAAGAACAAACCAGTGCTGAAACTGGCGTGGAGCCCATGGATGTATCAGGCATGGATACTTCCGTAAAGTCACAGCAGCAAGAGTCTCAAGTGAAAGGCAAGAAGCGAATTCGACCTGTTCTGATGAGCGTTGACGATGACGAGGTAAAGCAAAAGAAACCAGCCCATGACAAGACAGCAGATAAGAGCGAGAAAACAAACGGGGAGAAACAACAATCGTCGGACCCACTGCAAAGTGCATCCAATGTTGCGGAGAAGGCGGCTTCTCTCTTGGACTCTGTGTCTCAACCACAGGGCATCGCTACCTCCGGCGACCCGGGCCCACCGGATGAATCTGCTACGCCCACCTCCAGCAATATTCAAACTACGCGACAAGCACCGGTATCTGGTTTTGCCATCTCGACCACTGCCAAACTTCCTCACAGGACAGACAGATTCCGGTCTGTTGATCTTCCTGTGAAATCAAAAGGGTCTCTGCCCTTTCGACGGAATGGAGAGAAGGCGTCTATTGCTGAATGTGCCAACTCTTACAGGGTTCCTTTAGGGTCAAAAGGGGGGTCTGTGCCTTGCATAGACGTTTCGATAAGCAAAGAAGGCGCAAAGTCCTGGAAGGATCAGATTGTCGGCACTTCGTGTTCCGCGTTAGCCGCCTCCGACAATCTGCTGGCAGTGGGAACTGCCGATGGATCCATTCAACTTTACGGGACGTCTCCTTCTTTGGGTTGGGATTGTGGCACAGCATTTCGGTCTCACCCTCTCCTGGTTTTGGGGCACCCCATCGTATCACTTCAACTGCATGATAAAGCGAAAGAAAAGGATGAGGACGAATCCAAGGTCGATCTTCTCGTCGTCACAGGCGACGGGTCTTTTGGTGTCTACGAAATCTTCCCTGTGCTTCAGAAACGATACAAGGGATCACTCTTGCCTGCTATGAGTCACATGTCGATGGGTGCGTCGGGTCAGAATGCCAGCGGCAACCCTGTTCCAAGACTTTCTCGCTTACAATTGACGGAGTCAGACCAGCTGCTTCTGCTGTTGTCGTTTGGTCAATCCTCTGGGCGTTCCGCTCCTGCCAATTCAGCTCTCCGCGCAACTTCACGTACTCAAACGAGCAGTGCCTACGGTGCTATCCAAGCGTTCGTCTACAATCTGCCTTTGGAGATGTGGCTCCGAATATCAGATGGAAGATTTGTCCTGTCTGATTTCTACACTTCCTTGCCCGCCTCAAAGTCTGTATCTTCTGGTACATTATCACAACTTGACGATGCTGTTCGCATAGGAGCCCTGGATTCGACGTTGGACCCATCACATCGGAGTCGGACAAGAGAAGTATACCAACACGCCGAGGACAGTGCTAGCTATCTCGCTACTCGGTCTCATTGCGAAGACCGCATGGCTTGCGCAGTGGCCGTGGGATCTTCACCTGAATTCAAGCATTGGCTACGTTTGTATGTTCGTACTCTGTCCCTTGGTGGCCATGCCGACCTGCTCCGTGTCCTTGTGGACATGATTGTGGGACCACCAGGGAAGAAAGCTAACAGCACAGCCCCATCACCTTCCCATTTGGCACATGGTGATGTCCACTGGTGGCTCTCCACAACTCCAACAATCCTTACTCTTGATCGCAAGTCACTGATCAAGAGTTGTGTCATACCGGAAATGAGCAAGAATCGGGCTCTACAGCGTCTAACCAATGAAGTTGCCTTGGAGGTTGAGTCCCTGGCAAGCTGCTAGCTAGGTATATCGTGACAGTTAGTTGAACTACTATCACCTCTAAAATCCAACTTTTCCCAAACTGCTTGTCTTGGGTGCATTTCTTTGGTTCATCATTTGCCAAGCAACTAGTAGCCAGAAGATGCACAGAAGATACATACCAACACATCAACAATAAAAGAAACTCTGATATAGAAGTTTATGTAGTAAAAATCTAGCATACTGGTACCTATGCTGCTGGTTTTCCAATTCTTGACTTGCACGTCCTGTTTGACCCTCTGGCCCCCAACCATATGCTTGGAGAAGCTCCCTGGATTTACTGCAAGGCTCTTGTTGCGCTACTCTGGGTCTTCAGGTCAACAGTACTGGTACTCTTTACTTTTACCTCGGCAGGTAAACTGCCTGAGTTCTCAACCCCTTTACCTCGGCAGGTAAACTGCCTGAGTTCTCAACCCCTTTAATGCTATTTCCTATTACGTCTCCTCGAGACGACGCTCCTTTTAGATTCCCCCTCAGTTGCACTCCGAAACCGATTCGCTCGCGTTTACTGTGTAAAATAGTGTACCCGCACTTCAGTTGCAGAATCAACGGTCATGTGTATCTGTAAGTACGAAACTTGTATTTAACGTTTTTAAACGTCTGTACAGGTGTGTGCGTGCACATACGGTAACGCGACCGTAACCGCTACCGGTACCGGTACCGTCACCGAAACCGTTAACGTACCAGTAACTGTCATGGAAACGGAACGAGGAATACGTCAACTTCTGTACATTGAAGTTCAAAACCCGATGAACAATGTTCGAACACGTCAGAGTACGAATTTGTATAAGTTATTTGGAATTGGTTAATTGAATGCTGCTTCGGACTGTAACATTTCATCGTAATTGTCGGCGGAAAGAGTATCGAAGGGAATGTAGCGACTGAAAGTTTCCAGCATATGCACCATTTCGTCTGGCATCTGGTACTTTGTTAAATCGAGCGACGGTGGTTTTCGCAAGAAGAGGCCTTTCATTTCTCTTACTCTTGAAAGTACCACGTAAACCCAATTAACTGCATAGTGCCAGTTCCACACCAACAGTTGCGATGCTGTGTATCCCTGCAACTTGTGTCCTGTGGTCGCTGAATTGCTAACAAGAGGAAACTGGATTCCTTTCATGCGAACCTCAATCTTAAAAGAGAGAGATACAACGGCGGGCGTTCGAGGCCATTATATCGGCCTTTCTGTTGACATTCTATGATGAGGTGGTATACGAGGAGAACGATGGCTTAATTTAATTCACTGTGATCGAGAAGTATCGAAATACGAAGAAAAACCTGAAACGATTGAAAGGAGGCGAAGGAACCCAGCTCATATGTCTTGTCCACGGTCCTGGAGGCAGTGGCAAAACTACCGTGATCAACCTTACCACAGCCTACGCACGCGAAATCTGTAAACTGATTGGCTCTGAATTCACTTCACGAACGATAGTTATTAAAGCCTTATCAGGCGTAGCCGCTACGTTACTTCACGGTGAGACAACACACAGCGCTATCGGTATAAACCGGAGAACAGTCGAGGATGGTGACTTCTTACAAGGATGGTACGGATCAAGATTGGTGATAATTGACGAAGTTTCATTTGCGTGCGAAAGCCATATCAACAAGATTTACAAGAACCTTCAAGACATAAAGGGAAACACATTCAAGCCATTCGGAGTACTTAACATGGTTTTCGCGGGAGACTTCTCACAGTTAACGCCACCCTAACGAGATCCCCTTTACAAACGATAATGCGCTGCTTTTCAAGGTTCTTTTAATGCGTATATCGAGTTGGATGGAATGCATCGATTTCGAAATGATATTCCTTGGGGCGAAAGACTTAAACGTTTTCGAGCGGGGAAGCCAACAAAGGATGACATAATGTACATCAACCATCACTGTGTCGTGTCAAAGAACCATAAACCGAGCTCCAACATTCAAGTTGCATGACACTATAATTGGGAGCGAGACGTGGTCAACACTACAGTTTTCCAGCAATTCTGTGTCGCAAATGCTCCTGCGGATGCTGACAATGTTTACATGGGGGCAATTATGATTTTGATGGACAGCATGGGAATGTACAATGATCACAAGCAGTACGTTCCAGTAAAAAGCAACCGCATCAAGAAACAATTCTGGACAACATGTGGCGAATCGGATTGTGACATGGACAACGGACGTGTTGATACGGCATTGAAGATGTACTACAACTTCCCTCTGATGCTGACAAAGAATGAAGCCGTACCGAATGGACAGGCAAACGGTTCGAGAGTGTTCCTACGCAAGGTACATGTAAAGCCCGGAGAACAGCCTTTCATCATCAAACTCTATTGCGGTGTCAGAATCCGTGTCTTCCGTGTAACCCAAATTGACAGAATCACAGTAAAACACGAGATGAAAGACATGTTGCCAAGATGTTTCGATGTCAAGACACACGGAGTGTCCTTCAAGTGCAAGATGAAAATCGAAAAGGAA